CGCGAAGCTTGTTAGCCTTCTCACGTACTCGTTAGATTAACCGCCTTTGATAACGAGAGATATGCCATCTCCAGCACGTGTATACATATTTATCTGCCAGACCTCTAGAGTGTGTATTAGGTGTACTAGGTTAGTGCAATTGGTATCTCAACACAACTGTACAGATAAACGAATAGTAAAACGAACTCAATTGGCGAATGTGTCACAACTCAAAATGTATTAAAAAGCTCATACAAGAGATAATTTTGAAATTGAAATTGACAGAAAATATTGTTTTAATATATATAACATAAAAAACAACCATGTGACCAACCACAACAATAACTTAAGAAATCTGTCAACTATTGTTAGTTGTATGTATAGGATCACTGATAAGATCTTATGTGTCAATTTTTTAACAAAAATATTTACTTTTATTCACAAAAAAGAACTATTGGTCTTACCGAAATACTGCAATCAGGCATTTTGTTATATAACAGATGAGCTTCCAGGTTTTTTCAACTAAAACACACATTTTAAATTCATAAAATGTTAACTCAAAATTTTAAAGGTTGAAGGTTGTTTTTGAATTCTCATTTACTGGTTTACTTATCAAAAAGTATATATTTTTTAATTTTCAAAATTGATTTGATTTTTCTTCCGTTTTAGTTTTTACTTTAGCTTAGAACTCTTATAAGACCGATTGAGATCCCGATTTCTTTAAAATAATTTCTGGCCTTGCTTTGAATTGATGTTTTTTTGTAGTATCACAAAAGGAGTGTTGTAGTCGATAACATAAATGATTTAAGAATGGGAACACCTAATCACGAATTCGCACCTTTTTTAACCAAATGTGAATAAAAGGAGGAGTGTTACAGATTAGAAACATTTTTAAACAAAATGGTTACAGAGAATAATATTTCGAAAATTAGATCATGAAACAATTTCTGATAAAAACGAAATAAAACTTTTTATTTTGTGTGCAGACGATATTCTCTGTCCGGTTTGCCGCGGTCGACTAATAATCATAATTTGCTGGGCCCAAGAATTCCAAATAAAGCTTAGATAATAGGCAAAAAATCGGCTTCAAAAATTTCCAAAACTTTGTAATTTAAGAGTGCAAGCAAAAAGCATTATTACTATCTCTTTATTTTAGAAGCTTCATATGAATGTACATGAGAACAATCATTTGCAGCTAAGGATACAGGAATGTGAAAGTTTACAGTTTTCAAGTAATCAAGACCGACAGTTTTGAAAAATTCGCTTATCATATGTCAGCTTGTTTCAAATTCTTTAGCTTCTATTCAAAGAATATAAAAATTCAGTTGATTTTGGGAGTTTGCAAGTCGCATTTGAAGTCTCTTTAATTACCTTTTTTCCTGCCAACCCAATTGTTTCAGGTACAAATTTCAATAAATGCTGTTTTAATAAGCTCTTTATGTTTGGAAAGTAAGAATATATAATTCTAAGCTTCCTAATTAACTACAGGGTATATTATATCGGATAGTTCTGACCACCGTTCAGCTGATACTGTGCCAGAGCGAGAGGGGAAGTCTGAAAGAGTTGGCGATTCGAGTATTTTTTACCCATCTTATCAGCTAGGTTCAGTGAATTTCGTAAGCGAATTTAGCTTGTCGTTTCGTTATACACTTATATGAATATTTTTGATGAACTTGCCTGCCGTAGTTTCCGTTTGCTGATTTTGTTGCTATTATTGGATCGATTCTTGTTATTTTTTGTGTAATAATGTTGTGATAATTTATCAGCTGCTGTCGATTTTTAGGGGTTTGTGTTTTTCATTAACATTCGCATGGCGACGCGACGCTTGCGCTTTAAAATAGTAGACATATACAAATATATATAGCCTTGCTCGATTTTTGAAGTTTGGAGCGATCTTTTGGTCACAAAGAAAGTGCACTTCAAATTCTACTTATTCAGCAAACGCCTTTGTTTTTGTTTCTAATACATGTGAAAATAATCAAATAAATTATATATTTTCAGGTACGTACACACACACATAAGGCTTTTTTTTGTTTAAAGCGCTCTCTTTTGCTTGCGCAATAAGTAAAATAGAGAGCGCGAGAGACACTCACACAGGCTCGCACGCACCGCTCTCTTAGCTTTTTCGCACGTTGCTTGGGTTTTTATTTAATTTCTAATATTTTTGCACTTGGGCCACACATATATATTTATATTATTTGCGGCACAGCTGTTGTGTTGTCAAATGGCGCCTTTCAGGTGGCTGCCGATCCGATCCACAAAAATAAAAGAAACACGCGGAAAAGCGACGCGTGTCTCCGGCCAACAACAACAACAGAACTATGTGCTTACGATTTCCATATGTGCGCACTTCCCAAAAACGGCAACGTCACTCCAATCCAATCGCGAAAAGTCAAACGGAACGGAATTAAATTAAGTAAAAACCAAAATAAAACTATTTGCGGGACGACGCGGCAAAAAGAACTCCGCGCGCGGGTGACTTGACTAGCTTTCAACTGAAATTTAACTGATCGCTAAAGCGAAAAAGCGAGAGCAGATTGTGAGCGGCGCGAGAGAGCGAGGCGTCACTCTCTCCCGCTCACGTTTGGTTTCTTGTGTGTGTTGAGTGCTGCCTGAGTGCGGCGGCGCAACATCAGCTGTTTACTCCAGGGTATCGGATATTCGTTTCTCTTATTACCCTAGCAGGACACTATTTTAACCCCAAATAAAAAACAAATGTAACCTGGTCAAATTGATGTCACCACCACACTTGTATAAATATAATCGGTCATCAATTCTAATGTTAAAATTAAAACATATGTACATATGTATGTTAGCATTTCTATTACGTTAGCTTTAATGTTACATTTTTAAAACTCAACCAATACAATTATGTTTTTTTTTAATATTTGAGAGTACCTTTTTTTATCGTAAAAAAACAGTAAGGTTATACAAAAAATCGATCCCTTTAATAACTTTATTGTTGATCTCCTCTAATACGAAAATAACATAGTGGAAGATCAAGATATGTTTACATGTTCAAAATGACATGACAAATAGTATCTTTAAACATTACAAAATGACCGCCACAAATCGGCATGATTATTATTCCGTACATATGTATATGGAAACGTTGTTAGGCAATGTTTTTGTATTTAGTAAGAAAGTTAAAAATAATTATTCAATTTGTTTAATGTTATCTATTTTCTATTTCTAAAATAATATAATACAATATTAGTATATAAGTGCACTACTACTTATTTTTGATTCGTTAGAACGGGATATTTAGGTAAAAGCTAATAACTTTACATATACAATAACTTAGAAATAAATAACACATAATAAAATTAAATAAAACGTTTCCGAACTTTTTTGATGACCGTGACTGTGTTGGCTTGACAGCAGGAAGGGTGTGACAAAACAGAAGCGGATTTGAACTTGAATTTAAATTTGAATTTGCGCCGTTAGCTTAAAGCAAAAAGCTTAACTATGCCACAGAAATGGAATAATTTAACTGCGGGTATAAAGTGTAATATTTTTTAATGATTCTCTTAAGGAATTCTTAAGCTTAATATAAATAAAAAACCTTTGAATGGGTCAATAATTAAGACCATTAAAAATTTGCTAAAAAGGTATGTGTATATAAATATACATATGTGATCTTTTAATGATCAGAAACGTTATCTGCCGGATAAAAAATATAGCTCACTCCCGCATTTCTGCAATGCTAACAAGTTCAAGGGTGAATTGTCGATTTATAGAAAACCAGACCTTGCCATTAATCAGCAACTTTAATATATTTCCATTAATCAGTGAGTGTTAATTGATATGTACATATGTACATTTCATTTAATACAAATTTATTAACAAAAGGGCATCGATCTGAACCTATCCAATGAGCTAATAAGCACAACTTAAAAGAAAAAACGTTTGTTTGTTTTAGGAATGTAAAACAAAGTGGAAGACAAGTGATACACAGACACATGGGTATACATATTTTCATCGGCTTTAAACTTTCCTTGTGATACTTGTTTTTGCTTTGCCGACAACCCCAAAACGAATTTTTCAGTTTGCCATTTTGCGAGGTATAATGAGTCACGCGACTCCACATTTGACCAACGAGTTTGGCCAGCAAAGACGGCTGAATTAATTACTGGACAGCACGACGATTAGCTGTGAGCAGAGAACCAGCCCTAATTGAGCCCGACCGCCTTAGAAAATATTTTTAAATTAGGCGAACATATCATACAAACGTTTATGCACATACATATTCGCAACATAATTAAGCAACATGCTTTTGTTGATAATTTATGAATGAACGGATCAATGTGCGCCGAGATCAGGGACAATCTTTTAAAGTTCGTTTGCCAAATGAATGACATCATTTATAAACTTTTAAATAAAATTCAGCCTGAAAAGCTAAACGACAGTCTCTTTTCCTTGACCTACCCTGGGCTACATTTTAATCGCGAAATCTTATTAAAATTTTGGTTACATACGATTATATTTCATTGTTTTATTAAACACATTTTACAGAATGTCTGCTAAAAATGTAAATTAGATACAAAGGTATAAAGTGTAAGTTTTAAACATGAGTCATACAATGCAACAAGTAGGTAAAATGTTAAAACAAATAAGTTCTTGTTTTAAGTTCAGTTTTAATTCTATAGGTATATTTTTTATAAATCAAAGCTTACGTAAGTCTTAAATACTTTGTAAAACAACTGATTGGAATTTTTTATATTGTACTTTATATTTTCCGAATCAAAATTCTAACAAATGATAATAATGACTGTAAGTAATCCATGTCAATTTGCAATTATACACTTTTTTACATGCATGTTTTCCTGTGTTATTTAGCGATCAATAATTCGTGAAGCCCACTTTTGGGCTGAATGAAAATTTGATACAACTAATGTCTCTTGGTATCTTATCCATTAACCATTGTAAAGCAATTTGTGGCGTAAGTAAATATTTTCTATTGATAAGATTCGGAATTTCGACATGCGAACAAGAGATAGCTTCTAGCAAGATCAGTTTGAGATCATCCCTGCATCAAAATGCGAGCAGCCAACGGATTTAGAGTTTCTTTTTTTTTGATATTTTTCCTGCTTCTGGTCTTCAGTTTTGGGACGAACTTAGCTGATGAAGTGGCCAAAGATGTCGGATCCCTAGAGCCAAGTAAATTTACGTTTTGGGAACGTATTGTGAGCGGTGTGAAGAACTATCCCTGGAAAACTGATAAAATAGAAAAAGAGAGCCCTGAAACTGCCCAAAGAAGAGCCGTTTTTTGGCAACGGCTAACGATGTCCACGGTTCTTTAAAAATGCTTGTAAATTACCAATAAGTCTATTGGTTCTGCTTTTATCTGGGAATCTACTGTATCTATACAACAATATTGTGAAATAAATAAACAAATTATCAAATACACATATGATATAGCAAAATGCAATACAATTTTCTTTGTGCATGTCCACGTTTATTAATTATTTTTGAAAGCACTTGACATTCTTTTCCATCTCGCAGTAGCCGGACTTCTGGTCCCAGAAAAGGCCCTTGGGACAGGAGGTGACCACCGGCATCCCGCCGATGCAGATGTAGTACTTACTGCAATCCTCCGGATGGGACATGTAGCTCTGCTTGGTGGATGGACAGGTCAAGGTGGTGATTTCTGCCCGAGGTGGAGAAGGTTCCGTGGGAACGGGAGCCAACTGTGTGGTCTCGGGATCCGTAAGGAATTGCTGGAGGGTGCTGTACTCACTCGATCCCACTATATAGCAAACGGTTACTGGAGCTCCGCTGCTTGGAGTGGTGTCTCCCTCGAAAATTTCCACATTCGTGAGGGGTTCTGATACCACGGAATCCCCGTAGCAAACGGCCTGATCGTTCAACTGACACTCGGACATCTCGAAGTTCCAGGAGGTGCCACGCCCACACTGATGACGGTGCAGATGTCCGTATGCGCAGATGAAGTACAAGCCACAATGTTTGGGATGTGGCAGGAAGTAGGCTCCATAATGACGGCACTCGATGTGCTCCGGATCGTACTTCTCCATGGGATTGACCGGCTGGCCACTGGTCACATCGACGGCCACGAAGACCGGGCGTGGTTTGTGTGGCCACCAATAAAGCTCGGAGTTATCCACCGAACTGCCTTGGGATCCCGCAGTGGATACGGGCGGATCACCCTGCCGACAATTGGAATTCCCTGGCAGATCGCAGATACCACGATTTTCATTGAACTCCAGACCCTGATCGCAGTACATGAGAGTGGGAATGCGCGAGCAGGAGAAGAATCCGTTACAGTCATTGGGATGGGGCACCAAGTCGCCTTCCTGGTGACCCAAGCAAATCTGAAATAGGGGTTAATAAGTGTTCGAAAGCGGATCGTTTATTAAGGTTATACAACATGAGCACCCTTCTTAAATAAAGAAATAACCAGGTATCAATCGGAACCGAAAATATCTTCTCTGAAACTATTAAACAGGCAAAGTTCAATGAAGTTATTTAAGTTTATTAAAGAAAAAAGCAAATAACTCAAGAAATAAAAACAAAAGTAATTCAGAACAATTTTTGAAACATAAGCTAGAAACCTTTCGGGAAAATATTTGCAGTATAAAACAAGGATCTACCTTTAAGTATACCCTGGATACATTTTTAATTAGAGTATTTTGTTTTCAAATTCTCAAAGAATTACTTTTAATACTAGGACATTTTAGTAATTGATTCTACTCACATGGCTGAGGTCACCTATGGTCACACGAACTTTGGGCAGTTCCCAACTCCGGTCCAGGGCGTGACCTGCTCCCAACTGGAAGCAGATGCTGAGGACCAAGACAAATGCCCAGGAGCATTGCATTGTAGTTGTTAATTCCACTTGAATTCCGATGCTGGTTCTTTGCGGTTCCAAAGTACCTATGTTAGTGGCTCGGCGTTTCATGATCGACCCTTTTATAAGGTCAAAAAAATGGGTGTGCCAATTGTAAAAGCTAATCGAAAACTTGTGTTTGCAATCTGTGCGGCGGTTTCTGCGAGATCGCAACGTTTGCGTTTTTAGATAACATTCTATAAAAATAAGCGTGATATGCTCACTTCTATAAATACGGTACAGATCTAAATTTATCTGCCTAATTATTAGGAAGGTTTTAAATAAAATAATTTTGGGAATTAATATTTTTGTTTTGTTTAAAGTAGTTCACATAAAGACATATAGACGGTGATGCACTATGAGCTTGTTACGCACGGGCTCTTCAATCATTTTGGGCGAAAAAAAGAGTTTGCTAGGAAAATACATATGTCTAAATTTAGACAGGATATATCTACATATATGGAAAGGAACAAAGCTAAATAAATTGTGGTTGTCATGCAATATTTTCAATAATTATAAAGGACACAAAAGGGTGCATAGATACAAAAGGATGCAACAAATTTTAAATAAAATTTGTGAAAAGAAACCAAAGGCAATAAGAAATTACTAAAAAACGAAGACGGAAGCTAACTTCGGCAAGCCGAAGTTTTAATACCCTTGCAGACTTTGCTAAAAATGAAAAAGTAGCGAAACGAATAAGGTATATTGTTCCTATGGGAGCTATAGGAAATAGACGTCCGATCGTCACGCGCTTTTATCCTAATCAAGGTATGCATAAAAAAATACGATTTGGAAAGATTCATGTTAATAGCTTTTACACTGCGCGAAATATCTTCCATTCTTGCAAGCTATATCCGATTGTTCCTATGGGAGCTATAGGATATAGACATCCGATCGGGGCGGTTTTCAAACTTGATCTGCGTACACATGTTTTAGGACGACTGTGAAAGTTTCAGATCGCTAGCTTTTAAACTGACCTCGCAAACGGTATTGAAACAGACGGACAGACGGACATAGCTATATCGAATCCTCTATTGATCCTGATCAAGAATATATATACTTTATGGGGTCGGAAACGTCTCCTTCACTGCGTTACAAACTTCTGACCAAAATTATAATACCCTCTGCAAGGGTATAAATATCACAAGAAAGTATTACTAAGAAAAGTCTTGACTTGACACGGCGGGGATTTGAGCTCAAATAAAAACATTAAGAAGGATTCGGTTCATTTTAAGTAATTTCGTACCTTAATTATTCGTAATACATTTCTCTTGGTGTATAAATGTAATTTTTAATTATATTTCTCATCGAAAATTGAGCCTTTATTTCGATAGAATCAAATGGCCCTAAAACTAAAATCCTTTTAAATCGAAAATGTATGTGAGCTGATTCACTGGAGCCGTTTTGCCGAAGGGGTAGTCTAGCCTAAGGTATCTTATTCCTATCTCATTGAAATAATCGAATTGCTTGCGATCGTAATTTTATTGCCTTTTATATAAGCGGAATACTAGATGGTAAGAACGTAGAATCTTGTTTGCAGAGGGTCCTGTGGTGGGTTGCATTGGGCCTACTCTTTGGGATCAGCAGTGGTAGCCTCGTCGGCTTCAGTGGTCGCACCATCCACGGAGGCTCCCAGGCAGGCTCCGTTGGACCCCACATATTCCTTCAGACCGGAATCGGGGGCACATGCCTGATAGGGACTCGTTGAAGTAGTGATCTTCGGGGCAGGGGGTCTCGGTGGGGTCGCCTTTTTCGGGGCAGTACAAATATTTGCTGCAGTTGTCCGAATCGACGGCGTTCACAAACATCGTTTGGGCGAACAGGCAACGGTTGCAGGTTGCAACTGGAGTGGCATCCTGGCGGAGCACGCACTTCTTGCCGTTCACATCGTAGTAGTACCCGGTGGCGCAGGCCAACTTGGTCCACGTGCCACTCACACACTCCGAATACTGGTTACAAACGAGGGGATCGGCCTTCTTAGAATCGGCCGTCGTGCAGGACGTTGCCACGTTGCTTATCGGGTTGCCAGTGACTCGGCTGCATATGGCAGCGGTTTTATAGCCGCAGTTCTGGGCTTGAGGATTGAATGCCTGGAAAATCAAATGCCATTAGTGAACAGAAAAATAAGAGAAATTCCTCATTTAGCGAAATTAAAGAGTTGGGAAAAAAGCAAGCATACTCTTGCAACTCATAAGGCCAAAGGGCAGATCTAAATTTGCTTCCCTTAAAAAATCATTACCTATTTTTGTTGTTTTTCAAAAAATAACCATTAGGTAGGAAAGGATTTTGGTATTCTTTGACAACAATTTTAAATTTGAATATTGCAAAAGGTCAAAGGAAAATATTTATAATATTTAGATAATGGTTTTTTATGAATTTAAACTGTTAAACTCTTCAAAACAAGCTTAAATTATGAGATCATTGCTAAAAACATTTGTCATTAAGAGCCACCGGATAAATACCAAGTCCTAACAAAACACTATCCAATTTTAAACCATAAATCTTGAGGAATTTGACAGAAAGATTAGTTAAAAAATCGCTTTAAAATGCTATCAAATCACAGAATGGATATAACCGTTGCGGTGGTTAATTAAAATTGAGGATCTAGTCTTCGATTGGTTATTAAATGAAAGTTTTCTAGAATTATTTTGAATTAGAGAAAAGAACGTAAGATCAGAAAAATACGTCTAAGTGTCCTATTGAATGCTACTGACGAAAATAAAGTGTAAAATAAAAGGAAACTCACGGGCATTGCTGTTCCGCAAACACCGTTCTTTAGTGTGACTCCGGTGGAAGAGGACTCGCATTTGTACCAGATGTCGCATGCCTCGGTGTCGCCGAACCAGATGCCAGGGGGCACCACATCGCAGGGAGTGGAGAGGACGGTGCCTTCGGTTGCCGTGGAGTCAGCCCCGTTGCAGGATCCCCACTTGCAGGCCTGGGTGGTGGAGTCGAACACCTGGTTGGTGGCACACTTCTTGGCCGGCGAACACGTGCCCTCAGTGCAGTAGTAGTATCCGCCGCAGACGGAGGTGTTCGGGACCCAGACCTTGTCCCTTCCGGTACAGGGATTGTCAAGGCCCCAGTAGCAATTCACCTGGCTGGAGGGGTAGCAGCTGCTTTTGGCCAAGTCGTAGGAGTAGCCGTCTTGGCAGGAGCTCTTCTGGGGTCCGGTCGAGGTGCAGACATAGTAGGTCTGGCAGGACTCGATGCTGCCCAGCTGGGTGCCGGTCTTCACCGCCGTGCAGAAGGCCGTCACATTGTAGGTGCCCTCCAGGACGTCGTCGCCCAAGGCGCTGCCGCCCATCAGGCACAGGATCGTGGCCAGTAGGAGTTTGCCTGCAAGTCAAACACACACACTCTCAATTACGAAAAGTCCTTGTGGATGATAGTCCACTGAATGGGGCCGCAGCCACACTTGCCTGTCATCGTTAGTTGGTTATTCGCTGGGCTGTCGGGGAACACGAGAACCGCTTGTATTGGCCAATGAAAGGTAGTCGAAGACTGATGTTGGAGTTTTCCCATCGCCTGGTTTTTATAGGTATACGCTTCGAACTTAACCATCTACATCGTAAATTGCCGCCTGCAGATAAGCCCGCTGTTCCAAGGAATTATAGACAGAGGTACACGATTCAATTTTTTTTATTTATTTAGTCCGATACGCGCCGAACATCTTGATCGGTTGTTATTTTACCAATTTTAATTAATACTAAGTTGTGCCTACTCCATATTTCTATCTGTTCCGCAACTTAATAATTAAAAAAGAAGCCATTGACGCAGCCACATTTTTATCAATGGGTTTATCTTATGGTTTTCCTTGAAAACTATCACATCATGTTGTAAGCCCATGGGATGTAAGTTTATTAAATAAAATTAGAGGGGAATTTTGTTTGGATAATGTAGCAGAGTAATGTAATTGTGAAACGCAGGTATTTTAAATGAAAATATTCGTTACGTTAAAAAAACATAAGAATTCACATGATAAGAAAGAAGTTGATAAATGGCAAATAGCAATATAACGAATTACAATAAACTGCTTATCTTCCTTGGATGACGTGTTTTCTAGCCAGTAAACTTTTTTCGGGAATATAAAAATCCGTAGATTGAAAAGTGTTTACTTTCGGGTTTATTACCATTCGAATGGGGTCTAGAAAATTTTGGCTTACGCTATTTTTGAGATATTGATTTATGTTGATCGGAAATTGTATTGCAAAACAAGCTATAAACCTGTGTTGTACAATAATAGTGAATGGCTACGACTTCCATTTATAAGGTTTATATGCCTTTAGTTACATTTGAATTTACATGCAATAACCTTACATTTTTAAAGTTGTAGCTATGTGATTATAACAACTTATGTTTGCTTATCAGATAGAAATTTTCAATATGGGCTTGCATATGCCGGAAATTTCAATTCTGGCTAACTTTGGCTTAATAAGCATTTGTTTCACAGCTTACTTTATTTAGAGATTACATTTGTTTCATAAAATCATCATTTTATAATTCGAATTATGATTTATAAGTCAAACTGTGATTTTATGAAAATTAATTAGGATTATATGCGATCCTAGGTTTTATTATCAGGGAGTGTAGTCATCAAAAGTCTTATTATTATTTCCTTGATTGGAGTTGAAAATCGCGTCCTCAACTTAAACAAAACCACTTATTAGATTATGAATAAAACCAAGTGTTATAAGAGGTCGCATGCACGAAAAACATTGCCATATCATTTGTGGTTTAAAAATCGGGTTCCTCTATCGATGTACAATGGTTTATTTATTTTTATGCAGTTATATATTTAATATTTTTTCAAAATGCAAAGGAAATGTAACAGATTATTTTGTAGAAGTAGAAGTGCCCGAAGAGGTTCCGGTAGAAGTTCCGTCGGATTTTGCCGAAGAAGTATCCGTAGAAGTTCCGTCGGTTTTTGCCGAAGAAGTATCCGTAGAAGTTCCGTCGGTTTTTCCCGAAGATGTATCTGTAGAAGAGCCGGTGGAAGAAGATCCAGAGGAGGTTCCAGTGGAAGAAGATCCAGAGGAAGTTCCAGTGGAAGAAGATCCAGAGGAGGTGTCAGTGGAAGAAGATCCAGAGGAGGTTCCAGTGGAAGAAGATCCAGAGGAGGTTCCAGTGGAAGAAGATCCAGAGGAGGTTCCAGTGGAAGAAGATCCAGAGGAGGTTCCAGTGGAAGAAGATCCAGAGGAGGTTCCAGTGGAAGAAGATCCAGAGGAGGTTCCGTTGGTAGAAGTGGATGGAGCAGCTGTGGTCGCAATGCCGGTGTTTCCCAGGGGATTGCAGCACCTGAACTGGGGCTCCTCACCGTTAACGCAGGCCCCAGAGTTCTCGTTGAAGTAGTAGCCGGTGGGACAGGTCTCCACGTCCTTCTGGACGCCATTCACGCAGTACAGGTAATCGGAGCAGTTGCTGGCCGAGTAGGCGTTCACGAAGCTGGCGGTGGTGCCCACGCACCTGTCGCAATCGTTCCTCGCCAACATCCTGGTCACACATGCCTCCGAGATGGTGTCGTAGTAGTATCCCGAGGGGCAGGTCATCAGCTGGTAGCTGCCGCTGGCCGAGCACATGTAGTACTGGTTGCAGGCCGTCGCCTTGATCATGGAACCCGCCTTGGAGCAGATCGTCGGCACAGCAGCACCCGTCAGCGAAGGGTCGTTGGTCACCTGGGAGCAGGAGGAGATCGTCTGGTAGCCGCAGTTGCTGGCCGCCACATTGTACACGAAGCCCTTGGCGCAGCTGCCCGAGCGCAAGACATTGTCCTGGCAGAAGTTCCAGCCGCTGCAGTTGGAGGGACTGCCGAAGTAGACGCCGTTCTTGATGAGATTGCACAGGTTGAGGGTCAAGACACTGGCAGCAGTGTCGCTGTCGCTGGAGGTCCGGCAGGGATAGTTGTTGGCATACACGCAGGCCATGGTCGTGGGGTTGAAGTTCTCGCCGGCGGGACAGTTGCCCCGCACTGCTCCCGAGGAGCCGCAGTAGTAGTAGCCGCCGCAGGAGGTGGTGGTGCCCGCAAAGGAGCCCACCGCCTTGCCCTGGCAGGGATTGTTGCTGTCGATGCAGGTGCTCGGCACGGTGCCCGTGCACTGCTGCGCGTTCTTGTCGAAGTAGTAGCCCGTGGGACAGGTCAGGGTTGTGACCTGCGACCCCTGGCACTGGTAGTAGGTGGAGCACTCCGTCTGGCTGGCCACGTAGCTGCCACTTCTGACCAGCAGGCACAATGCGGTCACGTTCAGATCGGCCGTGGCTGGAGCGGCACAGGCGACCAGCAGCGCCAGCGCGGCGATTATGGATCCTTTCTGTCCACCTAGAAAATAAGCATATATTTTAGAAATTCATTTGTATAAATTTGTATAAATTGCCATGCAGAAACTTACCCATTATTTTGCTGTTTATTTTGGTGGCTCCCGGTTGTATACTGTTCTTGGGTAGTGGCCTCCTACGGTTTTTATTTGGAGTCCGGCCGGGCTTTATCGTCGATCCGCTTGGGTGTCCAAGTTGATCGACGACCCTTCAAGGCAGGAATTGACTTTCTGATGTATCGGCATATTTTTGCATGATCGATGGTCCTTCTGACAAGTCAACAAAGTTTTTGATAAAAAAGTTCGCAGTATTTTTACTAATCAAACATTTAATATAATTATTGAGTGTTTTAACACTTATTATATATCGGCGTTGAAGATTAAGAAGAACGTCTTAAGAATAGTGGAATATTAAAGCTAAATTAACAGAATAAGATACCTAAATGAAACCATTTTTTACTGTTTTTTTAATAAAAGTAATTCTTAAAAATAGTAAAAGAAAGAAGCCTCAATGCATGGAAACCACCTAGTTCTCGGAAATAAATCTTCTTTAAAAATCAACCACTATCACATTCTTAAGCCATCATCTTTTTGAGTGCGTTGCCAGACTACTCCAATGTATAAGAAAATTCGATTAGATAATTTTTGGGAAATTAAACCTTTCCAGTCGTAAGTTAACCACATGGTTCCCAAATTTAATGACACATACAGTGCTATTTTTTGGATTCGATTTGGGAATACTAACTATTGAACGAACGAAGATTAGAGTAATCTAAATTAGTTGTGAATTACCTGTTTTATGACACTAAACCACCAACTTTATGACTCGGTGCCCCAAAGCATTTTCACAATTATGACAAAACCATTTTATTCCCAGACCTGACGATTCTTACCATTGTTTGTTATTATCGGAAGAGCAAAACAGGCATTACTGAGTAAAGTCCAATTATATGTTTAGATCAATAAATAATAAGCAAATATTTTGATAAGGTTGTTAACAATGTTCTATAAATTTAAGTTAAAGCGAAATCAATTTCAAATTAATTCAACTCTAATTTTAATTAAAAGTAGTAACCTTAACCACTTGAGAGCACCATATTCTGCCGTATTTCTCATGAAATTGGTCATCGTCGTCTATTAATACCATAATGTCGTATGCATCAGTCATATCTGCTTCGGGCACAAAAGATAAAAATATTTAGCTTTGATTTTAAAATAGAATAAAATTCGTTTTTGATAATAAATTAAAGTAAACAACAAAAAATGAATGGTCTATAAAATATCAATAAAAAAGTGTATGTCTTTGCAGAATTTCCATTGAGTAAAACGGGACTTATAAGTAGACAACACAAAAAATAAACAAATTGGTTTCAAATCGAACGGCGCAGCGGCAGTGGTCAAATATATCATTTGTCAAATTCGGAATTAAATGGGCCTGATAAAACTAAAATATGAATACGCCATGCGTCCATTTTAGCCACTGACGACAGTTTTGGACATAAGGTAATGCTCCCAAATTTATAGACCTTTCGGAATGCCCCAAAACGAACTGAGGTAAGCGTTGTCTTGGTAATATATATTTAATGGCAAAGTTGGAAGGCTCCCAGTTAGACGTACGTTCTGCCTGTTGGTATCAAACGCAATTTGTTTTAATTGTGTATACCTAGATATTAAAAATTGAATTTTTACAAACCGAGATGGGTGAGTTATTATCGTCATAAGTTTCAACATATTCAGAAACTGTTTAGTTTGACTACAAAAATAGTTAATTAGTTAAGAGGCTATAAGTTTGTAGCTCCTATATTGAATTTCTAGTAGTTTTTATTTGTTTTATTTTTATCCCCTGGACTTAACAAATCATTATCATCATGATTAGATCAGTCTTGGAAAATATAAATTTAGTAGGGACACTCACAAAGACTTGTTACCATTCTATAAATTTGTTATTGAGATGTAAATTAAATTTAGTAAAGAAATTACAATTATTGTAATTTTTTATATTGTAATTTATTTATTTACAATATTATTAATATTCAATATTGTCATTTTTCGCAAACAGATACGAGGTTTGTCCTCTTTTTCGGACTGATCATGGTCCCCCTGATTTCCGGCGCCTCCACCTTCAATGCGACCCTGATTTGCGAACTGGTGGTCAACGGCACCAAGATGAACGATCCCCGGGCCTGCGATGCGTGGATTCAGTGCATCGATGGGCAGCCAGTAGGTGGAACCTGTGGAACCGATCTCTTCTACGACAGGGAAAGCGAAAAGTGCCTGAGTTCCGATAGCGTAAAGTGCCTGTCCAGCGATCCCTGCGCTGCTCTGGCCACAGGATTCGCTGCCGATCCGTACTCCTGCAATGGGTATTACTACTGCAGGGATGGCAAGGGAACCCATGGTGTCTGCAACTCGGGAATGAACTACAATCCGGGGACGCAGGACTGCATCCGGGGCTTTAAGTGCACGGATAAGATGGACCCAGACAGCTACTGCAACATCCTGCCGGATGGTGTTTTCGTCAAGGACTCGGACAACTGCAATGGCTATCAGATGTGCTGGGATGGCGTGGTGATAAACGGCACCTGTCCGGGTACTTTCTACTTCAAGGCCTCCACGGCCGCGTGTGACTATCCGCAGGATGTGGAGTGCGATTTCACCCCAAAACCGGATATCGCCGAGAAGGGATTGTGTCCCGAAACGGGAGGATTTGTTTCCGACAACCGGACCTGTAACGGCTACTACTACTGCAAGGACATGGGAGACGGACAGTTTGCCCTGGAGCATGGCGAGTGCTCCGATGGAAGGTTTTTCCTGGACACCGACGGCGGAGCCTGTGTGCCCCGTTCCAAGGTGAAGTGCGACTTCGATCGGTGCGTGGGATTGGGCAACTCCACCATCCAGCTGGCCAACGAGTCGGACGACGGATGCCGGGGATACTCGATCTGCCAGGATGGCGTCGTCATTGGCCAGGGAACCTGTCCGCAGGAGGAGTACTTCGACGAGGTGACTCAACGCTGCACCACCCAGGCTATATCTTATCCCGCCTGCCAGATATCGGGCGGGACCACCGGGTCCCAAGTCGACCAGCTGACGGCCGTGAGTGATGGCAGTACCACCGTTTCGGTCTCGTGAGCTTAAAACCTAATCAGTTTTAATTAGTCCATTGGTTTGTTTTTGCCGCGTTCAAAAGTATAAGTGCACAAGGTGCTGCTATCAGCCCTAATAAATATAAAGTAAACAGATCACCTCTTGCTTTGATTTCTATGAATCGATTGGACTTCGAAATATAACTTTAACGCATTGATAGCAAAGGTACACAGACAAAAAATGTTCGTAGAAAATTGTATTTCCTATGATATTTTGGAGTCCCTGAGTAAAAGTTTCGTTTAAAATTATTAAAATCTACGGTATGTTCTACGGTATAGCTAAGAATTAGAAAATCCAATGTTTGACGATTTTTTGAATTGGGGAGCTTGATAATTCGAATTACCATTTTCAATACAATACCACTCCACGTATTAAACCATTGTTCATGATTTGTCCATGATGCCACTAAAGTTCCAACCTTTAATTTTATTGTTATAAATTCTTATATTAATAAAACAATACTTTTTATAATCTACCAAGGAAATCTGCATAAAATCAAAAGCCCACAAGATCAAACTCCTTTTAACACAAGATATTCTGTCAGTTTGAAAGCTTTATCAATAAAACTTCTGGGCTAAACGTCTTATCTCCATTGCAAGTAAACTAATCAAAGTTTACATATATAAATATGAAAAGAATCATCGAGACATGTTATACGCCGAAAGGCTAATCCTGAAAGAAAACCAAGCGTGGTAAAGGTTAAAGAAACTTTAAAAACTGATTCGTTGTTGTGCTAAACACATGTAACTTATTGGGAAAACATGAAACAATGAGAGCAAAAAACCTATTTTATATATCGTCCACCGGCTGAGTGATAAAAGGCAATACCAAAATGTTGGTCTCGTGAGCGAAGTACGCAATCAGTTTTAATTAGGCACAATAAATACAAGTACATGAAGTGCTGCTATCAGCCGTTAAAACGATTAAATTACCAGATAGCTTTTTGGATTTCATTGAATCGATTGATGTAAAACATAAGCCCTATTAAACATTGATAGCTCCCTTGACAATAAGGACCGTGATGTCATACTCAAAAACACTGTTTCTGAATTAGAGGTTATCACGAAAGTACAACGGAAGTAATCTTTGAGACCCATTCATATGTTCAAAAAGTGATATCAGCAAGTAACTTAACAACAGCTGGGAATCGGATAGGATCAATAAAAAAGTTGAATGGAAAAATACGAACGCATAAGACGAAAAATAAACTTTTGGGAAAGTTTTTCTAGATAGCTTCGGAAATGAGAAACTAGTTGCGTACAAACCGACAGAAAGACATACATACTTATATGGCTAGATCGACTTGTCTGGTAATGCTGATCGGAAATGTCTCCTACTCTGCGATGATAACTTTCGATCGAAATTAAAATACCCTCTGCAAGGGTATACATAATTGGAAAGATAGTTCGTGTGTCAGTACTTTAATAGAGTCGCCTGATAAATATAAAGATCAATATCATTTTAGTAAGAAAAATGAGTAATCATCATTAGGATTTGTTATATGTCTTTTGATTTGTGTTAATTGATAATAGAATTTATTTACAAAGAGTTATCTGTAAAAAAAATATGTGTTTTAAATAATATTAGGTTTATAATTATCCAAATCATCATAAAACAAGAGAGAACGCTATAGTCGGGTGCCCCGACTATCAGATACCCGTTACTCAGGTAAAGGGAGTGCGAGGGAGATGGAGATAGAAACTTTGATCACGCATAACTTTTAAACGAATGGTCCGATTGAAAAATTTCTTCTACATTTCGATAGGTATTGATAAACACAATAAAACTGCATTTTTACTTTTCCGAAATATTAAAATTTTTAAAATCGTATATAAGCGATTGTGGGCGTTAAAGGGGCGTGGCACCTTTTTGAAACAAACTTGCGCTGCGTAGGAACTCCTAGAATCTGCATGCAAAATGCCAATCTTCTAGCTTTTATAGTTTCCGAGATCTCAGCGTTCATACGGACAGACAGACGGACAGACGGACAGACGGACAGACGGGCATGGCTATATCGACTCGGCTAGTGACCCTGATCAAGAATATATATACTTTATAGGGTCGGAAACGCTTCCTTCTAGCTGTTACATACTTTTGCACGAATACAATATACCCTTTTACTCTACGAGTAACGTGTATTAATAGCTCATTCGCAATGTCGAAGACTACAATTTTTCGTCTGGTTCCTCGGATAATATCTTATTTAATTCCTATGGTCTTTCAATGACCACTTTTTAATTTAATATAAAAGAAGAAAGGAGGCAAACTTCCGCTTGTACCCTTGCAGTTATTAAAAAACGACTACATTTCGATTTCTATGCCTATATTACCAACAACAATGAAGCTATGTCGATTTTGCGCTGCATTTTGCCATTTTTCTATAGCAGCTATATGATATTGTTGTCCGATTTTAACAAAACTAAAATCGTAGTTCTGATATAGTAAATAATTATATCCCAAAGAAATATGTTTTTTTATTCCTATGGGGGTTATATTAATAGATGTCCGATTTTAATTTAATTAAAACCGTAATTCCATTGTATTTAAATATTCCGAAAGAATAACAACAACAAAGTTACACTTGTTATACCCTTGCAGAGGGTATTATAATTTTGGTCAAAAGTGTGCAACGCAGTGAAGGAGACATCTCCGACCCTATAAAGTATATATATTCTTGATCAGGATCACCTCCTGAGTTGATATAGCCATGTCCGTCTGTCCGTCTGTCTGTCCGTCTGTCTGTCCGTCTGTCCGTCTGTCGTTTTACGATAGTCTCTAGTTTTTCGAAACTCCACCCCTTTCCTTTGCACGCTATATAAGTGGAAGGCGGGATGCGTACCTATAGCACGATTGATCGGAAATCAACTCTGTTTTTTTAAAGTGGGACTTTATGGGTATTATATTTGGCCAATAATCACAAATAAAGATGGCGACTATATCTATACCAATAACTTTAATATAACTTTTTTTAAATTAAATTATTTAGGCATTATTTATAACCAAATTTATAAGGATCTTACACTATATAAACATTAATATAACTTTTTTTAAATGAATGATTTTAATTAAATGCATATAATAATTTAAATATTATTAAATTTTAACTTCAATTATTTTTTTATACAATATTATTTGTAAAGTTAACATAAGGAACATTACCCTATAAATATATATTTTTGTTGATTGATATAGTCCGTCTGTCCGTCTGTCTGTCCGTCTGTCTGTCCGTCTGTCCGTCTGTCCGTCTGTCTGTCTGTTTCTACGCAAACTAGTCTCTCAGTTTTAAAGATATCGAATTGAAACTTTGCACACACCCTTCTTTCCTTTGCACGCAGTATATAAGTCGGAACGGCCGGGATCGGCCGACTATATCCTATAGCTGCCATATAACTGAACGATCGGAAATGCCATAACTTTGGTGTTTGTAATGTTAGGAAGTTGGGATTTTCTATGGGTTTTATATTTGGCCAATTAATCCGACCTACCAAATTTCAATATATATTGACCACACCAAATTTCATAAGGATCGGCCGACTATATCCTATAGCCGCCATATAACTGATTGATCGGAAATGCCATAACTTTGGTGTTTGTTAAGTTAGGAAGTTGGGATTTTCTATGGTATTTATTTTTGGCCAATCAATCCGACATACCAAATTTCAAAAGGATCGGCCGACTATATTCTATAGCTGCCATATAACTGAACGATTGGAACTGCCATAACTTTGGTGTTTTTAAAGTTAGGAAGTTGGGACTTTTATGAGTGTTAAGAATGCATCATATGAATAATTTTGGAGAATATAATTTACAGAGTATTCTGCAAGGGTATATCAACTTCGGCTCCGCCCTAAGTTAGCTTTCCTTTCTCGTTTTTTAATTTGTTTTTCCAATGTGGGTTGTTGTCCGATTTTAATTTAATTAAAGTTATATATTATATTTTAAGTTCTTCACTAACTCTTTTTCTTTTCCCTCTTTAGCTCTGATCGACTCGGCTCCTAACGAATATATATACTTTAATCGAACGCTTTACCTGTACATACTTAAAGACAACCCTTTTAAACGGGAAAGATCGACTACCTCCTGTGGAAATATCTGATCAAGAATATTTGTAACCCTTTCAGTTATTACTGTATGTTAGGGTCGGAAATATCTCCTTCATTGCGTTGCAAACTTTTGACTGAAATTATAAAACCCTCTGCCATCATTTGGACGTCATCGAAAGCATTAGTCACTAAAGTTAAATAGCGTTTGAAGTCTTGCAAATAAATAAAGTCGCCTCCTAGGTGATGGATACTTCTTGCTCCTCTCAAGCCAAACACATAAATAACCGATCGCGGCATTGGCGAGAAGCAAATTTGTTATCGGCCTATCAGGAATCGGTTCGGAATTCTCCGAACACTGCTCCGGGGTACTCTTTTAATTAAAACTGATAATATTTTGGGCACTCAACTGTCACGAAAACAGATTGCCAAAAAACACCGTAGTGTGGCGCAGTTTTGATAGCGAAGGGTTGCCAAGAATTTTATCGCCCTGTCTCTATTGCCCTAATGAACACTTCCGCTTCTTCATTTCCACCATTCACTTTATTTGACCTCGACCATAAGTTAAAGCTATTTATCCATGATTGGGATAATGATACATATTCTTGGTTAAAGTACACATTTTTTAAATTGGCATTTTTTAATTGACATTTAATAAATGTGGTTATAAAAATAAATAATAAACAATGTTTTTTTTGGATATTGTATTGAACGTAGCGTTGGACAAAATTGTTAAACGGATAAGTAAACTTCTTAATTTTGTGTATCTCTTATTTAATACGATCCCTACAATTGACCATACAAATCAAGAATAAACGTTGTTTTTATTTGATAGTTTAATACAGGTTAAGATGGATCAAAGTAAATTCCTGAAATGACATTTCTCCCGCCAAGAAGTATAGTAATTCCTTTCGTAAAATGCATTTGACCTCCACCTTAAATAGGATCGATTTATTACGGGTTTAAACTGTGTGTGAAATGGTAGGGGGAGGGGGGCGTGCCCTGGACATTCTATGCGGAGCAGGCGATGTAGTGGTAGTTGGTTTGGGAGCACCCCTGGTTGCGCTCGTCGAAGAAGTAGCCCTCGGGACAGTGGCCCAGGCTGACGGTGATGCCGCCGGAGCAGCGGCCGTAGCTCTGGCAGTCGCCGGCCACATTAACGTAGGTGAGGTTGGTGCCCACACAGCGGTCCAGTTGGCAGCGGACGTTGAGGCGGTCGCGGCAGGAGAGCTTCTCGAAGTCGAAGTACTGGCCCTGGGGACAGCTCAGGTGCTTGGGCTCCGTGTCGTGCTTCTCGCCGATGGGCTTTCCACAGATGTAGTACTGCGAGCAGGACAAGTCGTCGGCGAGGTAGCCGGTGCGTGCTTTTCCGGTGACATTGTCCAGGCAGAAGGTGTTCTCCGGCTCTGGCAGGGCGGCGGTCTCATAGCAGTTCACCCGCTCCACGGGCACGCACACGCCCAGATCCGCATCGTAGGCCTCCTGGACCGGACAGGAGCGGCTGTGCAGGACCTCGTCCACACACTCCAAGTACTGATCGCAGTGGACGGGGTCGGCCAGTCGGGTGTTATTGCTCAGCGGCCGGCAGGCTGGACTCGTCTTTTTCGTCTGGCTGGTGGGACACTCGTACTGGTTCTGGTAGACGCAGGACCTCGACTTGGGATGGAAGATCAGCTCGTTGGGGCAGTTGGCCTTGATCTGCCTCTGGTTCCGGCACAGGACGTAGCCGCGGCAATCGCTGCTGCTGGGGTCCTCGACGAAGGCACCGTCCGACTCGTTGGCACACAGGTTCTTCGGCTGCACCGCAATGTTGCCAGTGTAGGGACAAACGGCTCCTGAGGCCTGGGCGCAGCGACCCAGCTCCTTGTTGTAGGTGAGTCCTGCCGCACAGCCGCCCTGCTCCAGGACGCTGTAGTTGCCGGCGCAGGTCACCCAGCTGTCGCAGGTGCTCGGGCGCAGGAAGCTCGTCTCCTGCGGCAACAGGTCGCACATCTCACCCACCGACAGGTACTCAAAGTCATCGATCACGTCGCCCAAGGCGCTGGCCACCAATAGCAGCGAAAGGATACCGCTGGCTGCAAGGAATCGGAATGGAGGATCGTTAAAAGCTGTCACTCCTTTCAGAAAGCACACCTCCTAAGGATTCTTTGACGAACCCAAACGCTTTGCTTTCCCTATTTAAATGCACTGATTCTTAATTCAAATTTGACATCATATTTTAGTATTCGATTCACTATCTTTTGGTCCAACTTAGGGTGCTTTACTTTTTAAAACATCAAAGTCAATTCATAAACAAGTAAAAAGTGTCATTGTCTTTGAAAGACTGTCGTTTCAAGCAGATCTCCGAAAGATCTTGCATGTTCTGCTGAGATAAGACCACTATAGTGTATAGCTGATTGCTACTCAAGTGCTAAGTCCCATAAAAAAAACTAGTGCTAGGCATCTAAAATGCAATCCAGCAGGATCTGTCTATTCTTTTCCACCGCTAAAAAGACCACTCCTTTTTTAGTTTAGTAAATACCTCTAATCATGGTGTATATCCTTCGGTTTACTTTTATCCTGTTACTGGAACGTTGCGATCTTTTAGTGGCGGCTATCACAACACAACTGATACTGCAGCTTCGGATGCTGGCGCCCTTAAATATGCAAAGAGCATTCTGCTCGGTTTTGTTCGGCGAAAAACAATTTCCAAAATGCACATGCTATCTCAATCAAAAGTGAAAGATAGCACAGGCGTTTTGTTTTATCTCATTTTCTGATGTACGATAGCGGGTCCATCGTAATGTAAATTACACGGCAATAACATCGGAATTGTCTCGTTCGAAGAAGAACAATCTCCTGCTGATATCGCTCCGATCAACGGCCCCCATCGATAGGGAAATTGCATATGTCACGATGGGATCCGCATCAACATCAATGTCATTGACAGTTCCTGAACATTCGAGAACCAATGGGAAATGTTTATCACTGTTTTCGAATCGCTGAAAATGTTCCCAAACGGCAAAATAATATAATACATATATTCTCAAAGATACTACAATTCCTAAGTCTCTAGAAAACTTCATTCTAAAGATGTTGACTTTGTCGTTGACATTTTTAGTACTTCAGTGCTTAGTTAAAACCCCCAATTAAAGTTCATATGTAGGCATTAACAACTAAATACATTTAGGTTTTTGTGAGTCATATTTATAAAAGTAATTAAATATTTTATAATTTTCTGATAAGACAGACAAGTATCAATATGTTGACGTCGCTCAAATTTACCTAGAATTCCATTCTACCTTAATTATCTGATTGTTCAAGTACTAAAATCAAAATAATATCTAAATGCTGACGTCAATCATGTGGACTTTTCTGGAAACTTGCGAAGCAATGTCGCTTCACTATTTTAACTTTCTGCTGTTGAACAACAAAGAATGCTGAATTTATCTATAAAACGTTTATGGAGTATTGCCGTTGAAATTCTGACAGAAGTACCTATTATAAATCGATAGGGATACCAGTCCTCCAGAAATTATTTTTCGGCGATGATAATACAATAAAACAATTTTGTATTATTCCAAATTAATGTATAATTTAGTGTTTTACCCTCGAGATCAAAGTGAAATTAGGAATGTGTTGCAATAAGCTTGTTTAATGCGAATGGATGAGTTTAAATCACATATAACTGCTTTGCTTGGATATTTTCAGATTCGATTCAGATTTTTCCAATAAAATATAATAACAGGAAAACTTTATAAACGTTTCTTTTGTTTTTATCCATTTTTTTGGTTTCTTTTTTTTTTTGAAAAAGCTAATGATATACAGCCTGTGCACATTCTAATTTCCTACTAGAGATTAGTTCTGATTGTCAAAAAGTTCAAATGGCAACTTATGTAATCCCTAACAAAATGGACAGGTGTTAACAGCTTAAGGCCAAAATCAGACAAAAATCCAAATGAAAAATCAAAACGTGTAAAGTGGCACTTAGTTATTTAAACGAATTTGAATTGGTCGAAGTCGATTTTATTTTTATTAGTTTTCTTCTTTCAATGCTTTCCCAGTAAAGACCAGGAATATAGTTTATGTGCGTTTTTAAACATCCATCTCGGCATCAGCCATCTCGACATTGGATATAGACAGAGGGGAATTACGTTGCTTTGCAGATCGCGTACGTGGGCTCATCGGTTGTGCAGATATTGTACACCTCGTCGTAGTACAAGTTGTTGGGGCATGATTGAACCACGGAGCTGGCGCAGATTTTGTACTTCTGGCAATTGCTGTTCAAAACGGTCATGAACTGAGAATTCACGTTTCCACATCGGTCGTAGGCGCAACTGAATGAGGCCGGTGAAACGCACTTTCCTGCCGCTTGATTGAATTGGGTGCCGGTAGGACACTCGTTCCAATAGCCAGTGCCTTCTTTGGTCGCACAGTAGTAATAGCCATAGCAAGTTGTATCATCCGAAACGTACTTATATGTCTGTGTTACTGTGCCTACTTTTGGAAACTCTGCAGCTTCCCAGTTCTTTGCGCAAATTGTGGTGTCTGGTTCATTAATCGTAAACTCTCCGTCGGATCCACTGTTGCTATTGTCCCCGTCGCAGTTGTTGGTCGTCTGGCAGTAGCCATTGGCCAGGTTGTAAGTCAGATCAGTGCCGCATTTGCCGGCCGTGCCGACGCCATTGTTGCAGGCAATGTAGGAGCCACAGTTGGCCGGGTCGCCCACGTAGATGCCGTTCAACATGAACCGGCAGATGTTGTCCTGGGGGCAGGTGGGTCCCCACACGCACTTGCCAGTGCCGGCGGAGTAGACGCCTCCGACGCCGCAGTTCCCGTATTCGGTGTCTCCCTTGCCATTGCAGTAGCAGTACTGGGTGCAGTTCTGCGGGTCGGCCACGTACATGGGCGAAGCGGCCGCCTTGCAGGTATCCACCGCGCTGGTGGCACACACCGTGCTGTTGGCGTATCCACAGGACCCCTTCTGCGAGTTGAAGACGTAGTCGTTGGGGCAGGTGCCCCAACCCAACAGCTTCTGGCCCTGGCAGTAGCCCCAGGCACGGCAGTTGCTCGGGTTGCCCACGTACCCGGTGCCCGACCACTGGGCGCACATCTCCTCCATCGTGTAGCCGCTGGCCTGCGACGCCAGCAGAAGACAGGCCGCCAGGGCGCAGATCCTCAAATTGAAAGCTGATGGGGGGATAAGGAATATTTATAAAAATTAGTCGCAGTTGTGGATATTTGTATTACTTTTGCCTAGTGCCAAAAATAGGTGTCAGCGGATTAGAGATAAATAAAGATCACTTGACTAGTCGTATTCACAAAATTGTATAAGTCCACAAGTGTATTTTTTATTTTCTAATTTGTTAACCCGCCTGAACTTTGAAAAATGTAACTTCAAATAACTGGCTCTCTTTCTATCTACTTTTAGTTAACTCTGAAATTTAAGATGATTTTAATATCTGCCCAAACTGGATATATATAACCAAATAATGTGAAAAAAATATGAAAGATATGAATACTTCATGTAAATAAAAAAATCACAATTTTAAAGACACAATTTAAATTATTTTGCTTTCGTCCTTTCTGTTACTAACAAAGTTTCAATATCTAGTCCACTTTTAAAAATAAAGTAGAATCAGTCCGTTTTCGAACGAGAATCAACCAGGTATCCACTTCGTTTTGCCAATTTAAATGCTCAAAGGGTATAGATTTTGAAGCCAGCTTGTGTATACGTCCTTAGAGCCAACGTACCTCCCATCTTAAAATGGTAATTTATTGGGCACTAATTCGCTCGTTGGACGACTGAAGCGAACGTTCCGATTCCGTAACTAGCCCAATCAATCGCAGCCTCTGCGTTTTTATAGTTGGCCCATTCGCGGCTCGGCAGCGCGGTTAATTAAAAAATTGTCAGCCAGATAAGCCCGCCGCCGACAAGGCGTTAGTATCGCAATTAAAACTAGATAAGACTCTAGGGTCCCGGTAAGGGTAAACCACGCACCTTCCATCCTGAACTTTTGGGCTTAGCTCGCTCTGTTCGACCGCGTTGGACGTCGAAAGTGAAACTAGCGGACCCGGTCGGAATGGACTGACTTATAAGCTCCAGCCGAAACCTGGTCAGCGGACCTGTCCGTGTTTATATGTAGGAACAAGTGTGGCTCCGTATTTTTACCTGACATGACAGCCCTGGCGGTATTCGGATTATCAGCTGCTGATTGCGAGCCTCTTTGTCTATAATTGATTTCTAATTTTGAAGTAAGACGCGGAATGTCACGGCTCTTATTGATCGCTCAGTGGCGTTTCCCCGGTATCTCGGTATTCATTTCGACTACACGACATTAGGCAGATATCTCAATTTGAATCTCACTGCGATCCTTGACTTGTCCCTCGTTTTCACTTGAAGTAATCAGTATCTGGTGAGAATTACCGGTTAACATATTTTTAATTACACTGATACGTTTTGGTACTTGAAAGTGATTTTTTTGGAAAATTAATTAATTAAAGACAATTGAAAGTTCTTTTTGTGAATGGACATTTTTCTAAACCATAAAGATAAATATCATTTATATCCTTAATCGTGCAAAATGAAAGTCTAACACCGAGAAAAGCTTCTCAAGCATCATATCATACATCTTTGAAGTAGTACTTCACCGCAGTTCTATAATCACTATTCGGAGATACAACCGATTTAAAAATAGTTCCCCTTCAGCATGAACGAATGTATGAATTATTTTTCCATGAAATTTAAACACTTCGCCTAAAAGCCCACACATTTTTACAATTCGCCCAAAAATATGTGTTAAATTCGTTACACCACACAATACATTTATTCCAAGCTATTAAAATCTCCAAAAATGTAACTATAATTAACTTAGCTTAAGTACATGATTCTACTTTAATATGATTTTAGACATAGGACCTAACTTAAGATGCTTATCCCTTAATTTTAATCAAATGCTTCCACTTTTGTGTAAGCCGATTGTTGTAGGTACAATAAAAATTTGTATTTTATTAAATCAACAAATTTCAAAAATAAAAACTATTAATTAACACACTTTAAATTATGAATTAAGTCATCTGATCATGCGTCTCTATTTATTTGCTTGCTTCCTGACTATAACTAATCTTATCCGTTTCCTTTATGATTTATCAGCGGACAATTGCCAATTGCCAAATTTTGTAAGGCATTAGCTTTCTTATCGACTACAATTCACCTACTGCTTTAGTCACAAATAAAATAAATTTTATTAAGCCCAATTGAACCATAATATTTAAGTGCGCATGAAGAGGCCTAATTTCAATTACAAGTACAACATAATCATGTATACCTTTTTTATACTTTTTATAATTTGAGTGGCTAATGCACTAGAACTGGAATTTTCTTTGGACACAAAAATGGTAGTAATCTGAACCATAAATGTTTGTTTTGTTTAAATTAAAAAAAAAATCCGAATGTCCATAAATAATGTTTGCTATAATAGTAAATCATTTTGAATTAATAGTTTTTAGATAGTTTTATAAAATAAATGACTTATTTTGGTAAATAAACAATTAAAAGATCACAATATTATAAAATAAATGATTGCTTTTTGGGATATGTATATAAAATGGCTTAATAAATCTCTAGTTTTTGGTTTCACCCATCTTACCCTCTTAAGTACCCCGTAAAATAGATTAATCCGCTTATCTCACCAACGAAAATAAAAGCTGATCCTCCGATATTGGCGGCCATAAAAGTAATTTTCCGCCGAGGGGCGAACTCAGTAAGAGTTGTATGTTCGTCGAGAGTGGAGCTACGATGAAAAGTGGGTAGTTCGCTGACTTCCTTTTGGCTTGAACCTTAAACTAGCCCAGATCCGATCCCCAATTACAGAACCTGGAGCACTCGTTCCCCTGGCACTGCTGCTGCTTCTGCAATCTGGCGATTTGGTAAATGCAGGAACTGAAGACATCTGCCGCCTGTTCTCCAACGGCACGGTGATCCGGGATCCCGACTCCTGCAGCCAGTCGATCACCTGCATCGACCACGTGAGCCACTACGCTACCTGCTCGGGATCCACCCCGTTTTTCGACAAGGACTCAGCGAAGTGTGTGAAGAGCCTATCGTCCTCCACATCCAGCTGTTCGATTTCCTGCCAGGGCGTGGCCACCCACTTCCTCGCGGACCCGAAGTCCTGCTCCGGGTACTACTACTGCTCGGACCAGGAGACGGCCTTGCACGGCACCTGTCCGCAGGACACGCACTTCAACTCCACCACCCAGACCTGCACCCGCCTCAACGAGTCGGCCTGCACCACCAGCAGCTTCGAGTACTGCAGCATTGTGAAGGACAAAGTGAGCTTCGACAATCTGCAGGGCTGCAACAAGTACCACGAGTGCGAAAAGGGCGTCTTGAAGGACAAGACTTGTACGAGCAAGTACTACCAGGCCAGCACGGGCACCTGTGTGGACAAGGCCCTGGTGGCCTGCGATGCCCATCCCCTGCCGACCGACGTTTGTGGCAAGGCCAGCAAGCCCAAGGAAGACACGTTCGTCGGTGATGCCGCCACCTGCCGCGGGTACTTCTACTGCGCCAAGCAGAAGGACGGCACTCCGGACCCGAATCCCTCGTGGAACCAGTGTCCCCAGGATCGATTCTTCGACGAAACCAACCAGAAGTGCAACTACCCCAATTTGGTGAAGTGCTCAAACGATCGGTGCGATGGTCGCACACCCCCATTTGTGCTCAGCTCCAAGGCGGGCTGCCGGGACTATCTGGTCTGCTCGGATGGAGTCACCGTGACCACGAAGTCCTGCGGCAACTACTTCTTCGACGAGGACCTGGGATCCTGCGTTCAAGACGTCAAGACCTACTCCGTGTGTTAGGTGTAAATACTTTGAATAAAGCTCAGCAATCAATGTGATATGGTAAAGGGGGGAGTATCTTTTGGGCGAATTGCTCGACTGTTTTAAATGATGAAGAGGTCAAAAAAAGAGGTTAAAAAGAGAGGTAAAAAAGTTGTACGCATCCAGAAGTGGTCAAAATTGTCTATTATAGCGTGTTATATTTCCTTATTTTTAAAATTTTGTTTTTGGTCAAGCTCAACAATCGGTGGCTTACGATATTTGGGCAGGTTCCCTAAACATATTTAAGGAATGTTTTTAAATTTTATATTCATAAAATTTGAAAGCCGTTCAATGTTTAAACCAAATAAAATGGCTTCAAAAAATTGGGTCATTGTTGATCTAATAAAAGAATACGTTTTATTTGATTACAGCTAAAATAATTAATCATGTTAAAAATGGACAAATGGACCTCTACCGACAATTGCTACATTTGCTAAATAAAAAATATTGAGTTTTTTTTTAAATACAAATTTTAATATTAAAGTAAATATGTAACTCAAAGCATTGATTAATAAAAAGTACGATATAGACAAACACGTAATTTCTATTCACTTTAAAAACACCTGAGACGTTTGATAAAGGAATAACTTTAAGCAACAAAAAAAATCGAGAAAACATTAAATTAAAAACAAAACAAAAAGAAATCACAGTATCATGGAAACTTTATGTGCAGGTGGTTGGAGTCGAATCTCACACCCTCATTGACGGTACCATAAATGATAATCGGTGTCTTAAAAATGGTTCTGATTTTCCAAAAACAATCGAAAGCGAAAACAAAAACAAAAAGGTATTGGCTTTATCATTTTGTCATATTTACGGTGGTAAATACACAATAACTTGTGACTGCCGATCCGATTAATATATTTATGGTGCAATTAACTAACAGTTTATAAAAAGCTATTTCCGTCTACTTGAATAACTAATTAACTATTTTCTTCTTCATTTTCGATATTAGTTTGTATGAATATACGCCAAAATTGTTATGGTCTGCCAAAAATAAAGAAAATAAACCTATTTAAAATCAAAACATACCAAACGACCGCGTACCTGGGTTAGAGAGGAGCAACAGATGCCGATACTAGGGATGGCCTGGGAATGGAGAACTGGTTCCGGAGTCGTGCTGGTTCGTGGCGGAACTAGTAGAATAGTGGGCTCAAGATAGTTTTAAATTTCGGAAAACTCTCTCTCGAGAAGCAATTGAGCCGACTTACAAGAAGGGCAACTAAAGGGCAAATCAGAACCATCTAGAAGCCGAGAAAAAGTAGTCGTGTCTCTGGGAACAAAATTCCAAAGTGAGAGTGCAAGTTTTAGATAAAAAAAAAATAAAAATTAAAGTGCTTTTGTGTTCGCAGCTTCCGGCGCCAAATTCGAAATCTGGGAGTCTGCGAGGAAAGGAATTAAACTGGGAGAAAACTATTGGAAATTTGATTATCACCGCCCACATCTGGGTGGTGCCAGGTTTTTTTATTTTAAGTTTAGTTTTAAAGTTAATAAAACCAAAATAATCCACAATAACCACCCACTACAAACTACAAATCTACTTCTACATAAATTAAAATACTCATGTAACCCTATATATATATATTATTTATTCATTTATTTATACTTATAACTATTTATTCATGTGTGATGTAATCGTCCCTGTGGTACCCAGGTTAGGAAATTGTGAAGTTAAATGAATGTTATTTATAAGCATTTTGTGAATTAAAGTGGAAAAGAAAATGAGCGAGTAGAGTGTTAACAATGGGGTGAGGTGACGCATAACAGACCCAGTAGCCAGTGTCGGGGAGTTGCTTAAAAGATGCAGCAGCTCAAGGAAGGGGGGGTATATTCCGCGGCCATCAACAGCAGGTCCGCAGTCCTTGTTTCCTTTCGTTTTTGAAGTTGTCATCAAGTCTGAAGAAAATAAATTATTACTGTGTGCCGACAAATCCAACTATCGCGGTCATACTCACGCTTGAGAAATCCGATTGCTAGCCGGAATCCGATGGTTGGATCACCGAAAATAAGTCGAGACATAACAAAATTCATTAGTTCACACGGGAAAACTAAGTCTTTAAGCAGAATGAAGACTAGTGTCCTGATTTGAATCACAAATTACCGCGTACTTTCGCACAACATCGATAAGATTAGCTTTTAATAAGGGCAATAAAATGCGGTATCAGTAGAAGTAGCAGCAGCAGCAATACTTGATAGTTAAAATAAACTTTTTCCATTCACGAAACTCCATTTAGTCGGGAGCAATTAGTTCTCGAGGCCACATCAAACCACTCGATCGGTTCTTCTGCAAATTAAACCAAATTTCCCAACTATCAGCCATGCTGAGTGAGTATTGACAACACGCAAAAATTTGCCAATACGATCTTGCCAGGAATTTCAATAAGTAAAACTACAAAGAAAATAAAAGTGAAAGAAACTTAAAGGTCATATTTAAATGCCGATCTGGTAATCTGTAGAAATTTTAAAGGAATAATATTGCTATTGAAAGCTAAAATATACTAAAAATAAAATATTATATATAAATTAAATAGATAAATGCACAGATAAATATTTGTAATTGTATGTCAAGGTCGTGTGATTGTAAGCATTTGCTTTCTAAAAAAGTTTATTTTAAAGAAACAATTGAAAAATTACACTGGCCTACAAACATTAAATCGATAAATTACTCTAGAGATGAATGCTTTAGGGTAATTCTCTTAATTGATTTAATTTTGTGCCACTGTTAATGATTAAAATGTTTAAAATCGTATAACTTTTATTTTTAGTAACCACTGATTAATACCTGATTAGCAAAGTGCTTATCTCCCTTTGAATTATTCAAATATTTGGTTTGCTATAACGTATTATTTATTTACAGCCTCAAGTTTTCGTGGAGTGCTTTTCGGATGGCTTCTTGTGGTGACTTGCCAGCCGGCTTTTGCGGGCAGTGCCGGTGACTACGAGGAGCTGTGTCGGCTGTTCAAGAACGGCACCCGGATCCGAAAGCCAGGCACCTGCGACCATTACATCCAGTGCGTCGACGGCGAGGGCACCCTCCTGTCCTGCCCCTCGGGCGAGTCCTTCGATCCCAACGAGGACAAGTGCGTGACCACGCTGGCCAATAGCCACCAGTACTGCGGCAACCGCTGCGAGGGCTTGGATGGCCAGTGGGTGTCCGATCCGACCGAGTGCCACAAGTACTTCTACTGCATGAACGGAGTGCCACTGGCGGGGATGTGCCCCGTCGGCCAGCACTTCGAGGAGAGCTCCCAGTCCTGCCTGCATGGAGTGGACTCGCAGTGCGTGGACGTGAACAACATATGCGAGCTGGTGGCGAAGGATACCAAGTTCCGGGCCGAGGACGACTGCAGCTCCTACTACAAGTGCGATTCGAAGGGAAACCACGAGGTCTCGAGCTGCACTTCTAAGGCAGTAAAGTACTTCGATGTGGAGAGCGGCAACTGCGTGGAACCGAAACTGGTGGAGTGCACCGCCCACCCGAAGGCGGGTATCTGCTCCAGTTCCCAGGTCGTGGTCTTCAAATCGGATGGGGCCAGCTGCCGTGGCTACTTCATGTGCAAGGCCCTGCATCCCGTCGCCGATCTGGATCCCCAGTGGATGCAGTGCCCCGAGGGCTACTTCTTTGACGAGGAACTGCAAGTCTGCGGCAGGGCCACCTCGGTGATCTGCACCCACAACAGGTGCGACGGGCGGGGCACGATGCTGGTGACCAGCAGCAGCAACAACTGCCACAACTTCATCCGGTGCGAAAACAACAAGGAGGTGGAGGAGGAGACCTGCCACTTTGACCACTTCTTCGACGAGCGGATCGAGGCCTGCAGCTCCACCATTATCTACGACAAGTGCTGCGACGATCGCGACTGATTGGTTGACTTACGGCTTTATCCACAATTATAAATTGCAAAAACAAAATGGTTGTTTTATTTTGGGATGATTTTATGTGTGATTTAAGTTAAGGAATACGCTTTGAAAATTCATGAAAACAGAATAATAATATTGTGAAAGGGACATTAATGACATAGTAGTGAAGAGGTCACAATAATAGTACATTATTATACCCGTTACTCGTAGAGTAAAAGGGTGTATTGTATTCGTGCAAAAGTATGTAACAGGTAGAAGGAAGCGTTTCCGACCCTATAATGTATATATATTCTTGTTCAGGATCACTAGCCGAGTCGATCTAGCCATGTCCGTCTGTCCGTCTGTCTGTCCGTCTGTCTGTCCGTCCGTATGAACGCTGAGATCTCGGAAACTATAAAAGCTAGAAGATTGGCATTTTGCATGTAGATTTTAGGAGTTCCTACGCAGCGCAAGTTTGTTTCAAAATGGTGCCACGCCCCCTCTGACGCCCACAAGCCACAAGCTGTGGCCACAGTTTTGATGCTATTATAAAAATTTTAATTGATATGTATTTGTTTCGTCAATACCTATCGATTGGCCTAATAAAAGTTTGCCACGCCCACTCTAACGCCCAAAAACTCATTAAACGCTTAAGCCTGGCTACCGCCTACATTTCCGCCTTTCATGGCGCCATCTAACGGATGACTTTGGAACAGCTGGCCAAGGTGCTCAACAGAGTCAACGTTAATTCTCGATAAGGATTTCCATTAAAGGAAATTGCGATGGTTTTCATTTGTCATATCATATATATCCCAAGAACTATGCAAATCAAATCAAATCGCTGGTGCTGATGCTCGTGCTGTAAAGCTGCCAGCGCTAAGAGATCGCCTAATTCAAATTGATAATTTGAACTTTTTGTCCTTTTTTCCTGTGGTCACTCTAATTCACATTATGTTAATGCAAAATCTAAAGTTGTTTAGCTGAGTAACGGGTATCTAATAGTCGAGGCACTCGACTATAGCGTTCTCTCTTGTTTTTTCTACATACTTTTCAGTTTATACATTTTTTGTTATTTGCTATTCTTATATTTTTTTAACATATGAATATCATATATAATGGCATAGCCGCAGGCAGTTAAAAAATAACACCGCCCATTCGCTAGGTTTAGTTTGTTATTGTGAAAAAGGTTAGTCAGATAAGCACACTAAACACCAATTAAATTATTCTTACTAGATTTCAATACTTTGTATATCTATTCATATAAGCACATTTTCTTCCCAAAAACTGGAGTTTCACAGGAAAACTCAATTCTAAAGAAGCATCCTTTTTGAAATGATCCGGAATTTTATACATTTCAAGAAAGATTTCGAAGCGGAGTGGTCTATTGAAATATAGCTAATAGGAAGGTTATAAATTATAAGTTATAATTCAACGAAAAAGTGTTTCGGGGCAATAGTTTGAGTTCCAGAAGTCTCCGAAGAGTCATACCTTTTCCAAATGCAGAAAGGACAAAAACTAATATTTGGCCAGATTGCGGGAAAATATTTATCAGAAATACTTTCTTAAAAACTCAGTTAGGCATAAAATATGGACTTCCGCATTTTTACGAAATATTTAAACACACAAAAACCTAGATCAAAACTTAAATCACCAACTTCTATTGTTAAATGTAATGTTAATTAACAATAAAAATTATTTTAAAAATTGTGTATCTTAAAATATTTTACAGAGTATTCGTAGTGCCGAGAAGTCTGAATCGATGTCGATTGTTTTCCAACTAGAATAATTCTTTGCATTGTTGATGGCATGCTGTTATCTTCTAATTTCCTCTGTCACAGTGTCAAAGGCAATTAAAAAGGGTATAAATAGATTTACTGGTTTTTCTTTAATCTAAACGTGAAGTTAGCAAACGAAGTTTCAACAATGAACTCGTTTTTAAATTTGTAAATTAATTCTTATCTTTGTCTTACATAGCTCTTAAATTTTCGTACAGCAACATTAAGGCTAGAACGGTATTGAGAAGTATTTGCATTTGACTTTTCTACCTACCCATATAATAAAATATAAAAATAAATTTTTTTTATTTTCAATCTCTTTTATAAATTTTATAAATTGGAATTTAAACATTCCAATTTTGATGCATAGTAGGTGATTACTGCAGTAACCTAGATTTAAAATGCTTTTCAAAATGATTTACTAAAAATTTTGTTATTTGAAAAAGTGTTGTGAAATTACGGATTCGTTCGTAATTTTCAGTTTCTAGTAAAAGTCCGTTAATTTTAAAATGAAACTTTACCGATTCAGTCTATGAACCGATTCAAGTAGCAGTAGCGGCAGTTATCGATTGGTGTGACCGCACGGCGAGTAACCCCCCTTTTCGGCGATTTCCAGGAAGAACTTTGATTTCATTAAAGCTGACTTTTTTAAAAAATAAACTAACTTTTTGTTTATATTTGTTAAAATCCCGCTGAAGATTACAAATAAAGTGTTATGATTCTTGAAGTGAAAGAGCGCGTAACTTCGCAGTGTAACCAAATGCCGATGTTCGAATTTCCCGCACCGGTACAGGTATGTTGTCGGCATTGCGCTGCTGCCACACCGCCAAAACCATATAAACAATTTTACAATTTGCACTTTTGAATGTCGGAAAATCGATCTGATAGCTAGCGTAAAATGAAAAGCATCGCATGGAGCAGCTGAGGCAGCAACGGAGAAAAGTTCACTTCATCGATATCAGGAAAGCAGGGAGTTGTGACCAGAAAAACTTTGCCCGCAGGCCGATCGTCAAAACGTGTGATAATAAAACCTCCAAAACTTCGGAAAAATCAGCGGAAAAAAAGAATGCAACAGCGTTTCGGTGTTTTTCGCTAGAGGATCCGCAAAACGTAAGTTTGCGAGGGAATAAAGATTCGAGACGATTTTCAATGGGGTTTTGTTTTCGTAGCACTTACTTTTCGGTGACGCAGTGGAAGTCCCACTTTCCGGTGATGAAGCCCACCCAATCCGGAGGCAGTGGCTCCAAAATGACCGAGCCCATTGAGTATGTGACCCTGATTAGCGACGACTCCGATGGCGAGCCATCGCCCAAAAGGAACGCTCCTCCCGCGCCTCCGCCGGTTTCCAATCCTGCCCAGAAACCAAAGCAGCCGGATGAGGACTCCAATGACGCCACTCCTGCCACCAGCGACGAGCGGCGCACCAGCCGGCGCAATCGACCCAAGGTGGACTATAGCAACCGACCGAGCGGAAGTGGAGAAGCCGCCTCCAATGACAAGTCAGGATCGGGATCCTTAGGATCTAATAGCCAGCAGTCGGATCGACGCAGTCAAAACCAAAACCAAGCCCGGAAATCGGAGGCAAACGCCACCTCCGTTTCCGGTTCCAACGCCGGCAATCCGCGACCCTCGCAGAACGGGGATACCAAGGATCGGGATGTGGGCACGCCCACTGTTTTGTCCGGCCAGGAGGGCGCCGTCTTCCAGTCCCGCCTGCCCTTCAACAAGATGACGCCCAACGAGGAGGCTTGCTTTCCGGACATCAGTCGCTCGGGGATTCTGGGCCATCGCGTGTTCCTCAACATCCGTAATAGCCTGCTGCATATGTGGGTGGACAATCCTAAGCTGCAGTTGAGCTACGAGAACGCCCTCAAGAACCTACCGCCTCCGTTTGACAGCGAACCTGGTCTGGTGAGGCGGGTGCACTCGTTCCTGGAACGTCACGGCTTCATCAACTTTGGCATCTTCAAGCGACAGCGACCCATACCCACCAAGAAGCTGGGCAAAGTGATTGTGATCGGAGCAGGGATCTCCGGCCTGGCTGTGGCCCAGCAGCTGCAGCAGTTCGGCATGGATGTGATCGTCCTGGAGGCGCGGGATCGAGTGGGCGGCCGCATAGCCACGTTCCGCAAGAACAGCTACATCGCTGATCTGGGTGCGATGGTAGTGACTGGTGTCTATGGCAATCCTATGACCATCCTGAGCAAGCAGATCGGCATGGACCTAGTGCCTATCCAGCAGACATGCCCTCTCTACGGACCCGATGGGAAACCCGTGCCCAAGGAGAAGGATGACGTGATCGAGCGAGAATTCAATCGACTTCTGGAGTCGGCCAGCTATCTGTCCCACCGCCTGGACTTTAACTACGCCGGCAACTGTCCGGTTTCGTTGGGCGATGCCCTGGAGTGGATCATAAGCATGCAGGAGATGCAGGTTATGAACAAGCGGGCGCAGCACATGCAGGAAATTATAGCCGCCCAAACGAAGATCATCGAGCATAGACGTCGCCTTAAGACCATCAAGCAAAACATCGCCACGCTAAGGAGTGAGCACCTGGCGATGGTCAAGAAGCGCATACCCAAGGGCGTGGAAAGTGATCTAAACTACGGGCGTCAGGAGTTCAACATACGGAACACCCAGATAAAGCTGGAGGAAACTGTCAAACTGTTCGGCGAACTGCATGCCGAGGATAAGCAGATGGAGGCCAAGCTCCACGAGTTGGAGCAAAACCGACCTAGGTAAGGCAAATGCCAAGTAATTTCGATTTAAGTTTAGCCAACTCCATATTTGCAGCGATGTGTACCTCTCCTCCCGCGACCGCCTCATCTTGGACTGGCATTTTGCCAATCTGGAGTTCGCCAACGCCACCCGACTGAACAACCTGTCGCTAAAGCACTGGGACCAGGACGATGACTTTGAGTTCATTGGCCATCACACCACCGTTCGGAATGGGTATTCATGTGTGCCTGTAGCCCTCACCGAAAACCTGGACATTCGCGTTAATAGTGCCGTCAAGGAGATCAAGTACGGCACCAGTGGCGTGGAAGTGGTGGCCGAAAACTTGAAGACATCCAACTCGCAGATGACGTACAAAGCGGACCTGGCCGTCTGCACGCTCACTCTGGGCGTTCTGAAAGTGGCCGTAGCCCACGAGGAGTCTCAGCAGAGCAACACGGTCAAATTCGATCCGCCGTTGCCGGACTGGAAGCAGCAGGCCATTCGCAGACTTGGATTCGGGAATCTCAATAAGGTGGTGCTATGCTTCGACCGCATCTTCTGGGATCCCAATGCTAATCTCTTTGGACACGTGGGCAGCACAACCTCCAGTAGGGGTAAGTGATTTGGCTGTTGTCATTTGAATATTCTACGTTTGACGGAAAGGGAATATAAAAAAGAATTCGAAACAAACCAGCTAGCGAATGCCGGGGTATAGCTAAAGAATTTAAGGCCTAGCCATTTTTAATATTTTAAAATAATACTAACTTTAGTAGGCCATAGAAACACTTTTACTTGAACCGATAACGTCTATGCTTAGTTTTTAAATCGAGTAAGAATGTAATATTGTAGTTATTATTCGTTCATTCATAGTAAGCTTTTTGATTGGTTTTTATGAGGGCAAATTTTTTGGATCGGTAAGAGCTGAATAGTTTTTCATTCAATATGTTATGGCTCATATAGATTAATAGGTATAATTAAAAAATGAAAGTTAGTCCGAGTGAAATTAAAGTACTTCCCGTATTGTATGGGAAATGAACCTTTTGAAATTCAAATTAGTTCGCTTATATTGAAAGTAAGCTTAAAAAAAAAAATTATTGGCTTCTATTATTTTTACATATGTACATTAACATCATTAATTTTTTAAACTTAAGCTATAACACTAAACTAACCTTATTTATTTTTTCATATATTGCAGGCGAAATGTTTCTCTTCTGGAGCATTAGCTCGTCTCCGGTGCTTCTTGCTTTGGTCGCTGGAATGGCAGCCAATATCGTGGAGAGCGTGACGGACGACATCATTATCGGCCGTTGCATGTCAGTGCTAAAAAACATTTTCGGGAACACCTCTGTCCCACAGCCAAAGGAAACGGTGGTCACGCGCTGGCGCAGCGATCCCTGGGCCCGAGGCTCCTACAGTTACGTCTCCGTGGGTTCCTCGGGCAGCGACTACGACCTACTGGCGGCGCCGGTCATTCCGCCGTCTAGTAAAGAGCCGGAGGGTTTGCCAAGACTCTTTTTCGCAGGCGAGCATACGATCAGGAATTATCCGGCCACCGTGCATGGGGCCTATTTGAGCGGATTACGAGAAGCTGGACGCATTGCTGATTACTATCTTGGCTATCCCGAGGGCACGCCGCCGGACATCGGTTATTCGGTGGCCGAGGCAGCCAATCTGGTGTCTGTGGGAAACGTGGTGAAACTACGTGACCTTTCGCCGAACCTATCGGACTCCCCGTCATCAAAGAAGTCTGAGGAGAACTCAAACTCTAACACTGCCGACTCCGCGGAGCTACAGTAACCATGTATTTAGCCCCGCCATTTATTCCTTAAGCGATTAGTTTTTGTATCATACGATTGGGGTTCGCTGTTTTAAAACTAAGCTAGACCTATGTACATGCCTAAGACTATTCCACTATGCATGGACTACTTTATTTACCATTCACCAATTATTTTGTTACCTTTAATATTCAAGTTAAGAGAAAAAAGCAATAACATCGAACTTAGCAAAACATTTTTAGTATTTCTTTCTGTTTTCCGTTTCGGACGTCTCTAATTGTGCAAAGAATCCAAACTATCATAACTAATATTCAAGTTAAGAGAAAGAAGCAATAACATCGAACTTAGCAAAACATTTTTAGTATTTCTTTCTGTTCTCCGTTTCGGACGTCTCTAATTGTGCAAAGAATTCAAACTATCATAACTAACCCATCTTTTGATAATTTTATAACCTATGGAATATATTTTCCCTACTTCAAATAGGGGAGTATTTCTTTCGATAATTTAACAACCTATTAATTAATAAGGGTGGAATTTCCCTACTTTAAATGTTTAAATATGTATGTATTAGCAATATGTTTGTATTAGCGTATTCTTTGTTTAATTGTAATTGGCAAGCTTATTATTAATATAAAAACAAAATTTTAGTGTTAAACTATTTAAGGGACTAAAAATGATTTTTTTACTCTTTAGTATAGCCTTGCAGTTATTAAAATATTTAATGTTTTCTGTTGACCATTTCCAAATTCTATAAATATTTATTAAATATCAACGAAATTATACTGATTTGTATATAAGTTCATTGATTTTTTCTATAGCTACTATGCGGTATAATTGTCCGATTAAATTCTATTAAATATAAAATTTATTTTTGAAATCGTAAAAATTTGCACATTTCAAATTCTAATCGTACAAGTTCAAAAACAACGGTGTTTGTTTTGTTTCTTTTAATTTTTTGATTGTGTATATGTCATTCGATCCGGGAAAGTTATATTCAAATAACTTAAAAAATTGCGTAAAAGCGGACGAACTATTTCAAGTCGGCTGTTGAGGCTGATCGGAAATATTGGGTAGGAAATGTATCCTTTACTGCGTAGCTACATTTTTTCTGAAATTATAATATCCTCTGCAAGAATATACAAAATGATATCGCAGAAAATATGAAAAACAAAAAAATATTTTTGGTCCCTTTTTATTTAGAAAAATATTTGCAACTGCTAGATTTAAGAAAAGGCATTTACAATTCTTCTCAACATGAACTTTTAAACTTGAGGATGCAGAAAACTCTCAAGGCAAGAATGGAAGATACCATTTCCATAAGCCACAATTTTATTGTTATTAAAAAAATGTATAGTAGAAAATATGACTTAAAATATAGCGCCCTTTATTGTGTTTTAATTCGTAGAGGAACGGAGGGAGGATTGCCACTTTAGAAACAATGTTAAGACTTACTTACCATTTCTTGTAGAAGCATCCTTGCATTTTATTTTTTTTTAACTAATTTTAATATGGCTTACTAATATAAGGCAAAGAATATATGGGGAAAAATAGTTACGCTAAGGTCAAACGGTCTAAAAAAACATATAGGATGACAATAAACTTCCATAGAAAAGAAATTCAGGCGTGCTTTGGTTTACTTCACTCTAGCGTTTTGTGTGCTTTGGTACTTTAGCTGTTAACTACTGTAATGCGTATATTTTGACCAATGAAAACTAAATTGTGCAGTAGCAGCTGTTCAAATTAAAACAAAACTTATTGTCTGAAGCAAATTTTTTAATGCTAATTTTAAGTTGGGAACTCCAACTATAAAAATATTTATTTTAAATGAAAAAATCTGTGTCGTGAATTTTGTTCATATGCAAATACTTTTCAAAACGCGGAGACACAAAAATACACTACATTAAAATATTATTATTTTAAATGTTTTAGAAAGAACGAAGGTAAGCCCGAGTTCATCATACCTGTCAATTAGCAGGTATCAGAAAGCGAAACTATTATATTTTGGGTCTCTCGGGCAGTTGGGCAACTTCGTTCGAAATGGTGTCGCTGGTTCAACGACCTCCAGCTCGCTTTCAATGGCAACGAAAGCTAAACCTTAACCGACGAAAGCTCCAACCTCCAAACATCCACCAATCGGAGGGCCTCGGGAGAAAAGCCCGATGAGAAGTGCACTCGGCTTAGCCGATCTTGGAACTGAGGGGTGGTTATCTATCATTAGAATTGGTTAGACTCGATCGCTTGGGCTCGAAGTGTACTATTTGCGAGCTTTTTTGGCGCCGTACATTCCCCACGTTTGTCAAGTTCAATGGCCGATATGTTAGATTCGCAGGTAGTACTCGAAAAGCTTCGGAAATTGGTATGGCAAAATGTAGTTTTTTTTCAATCGAATGCTTTTCTAACCACCACTATATTAGCTTGCATATACGAGAAAGTTCATCGTGAATGTTTGTTTGCATTAGAAGTGGCCTTGAGATGGGTCAATGACCCAAAACTACTCACATCATCGCGACTGACGTTCGATTTGAAAATAGAACACAATAGGAAATGCACTATCTGCCCAGTGCATACCTTTTCGAATGAGGGCATAATTGGCTTTCAAAAATAAATAACTACCATTATTTAGTGCACATATTGGTATTTCCCTAATGCGCAACTAAAAATCTTTTTTTTTGGAGCCAGATATTTGTAATTCTAGAGTTCATGAAATTACATTATTAATTGTTATACTTCATGTTACTTAAGAAAATGTTTAAGCTATAAAACCGCCAAGTTTAATTTTTAAGAAAGAAACAACTTTTAAAGAATATTTAATTTATATAATTAAAAAATCGTTTTAACTCTTTGGGGAAGGTCGGTTATATGATATTTCCCCTTTTCAGTTATGTTATTTTGACAATTTTACAATATTACACAAGCTTAATAAAGTTTGTAGTAAATTAGAACAATATACCTATTTAATAAATTACTTAAATTTGTATGTAAATCGTTAAAGGATATTTAGAATTGTGTAATAAGAATTGCAATGAATACCAAAGATACATCATATATATATGTTGCTGGCGGAGATTGGCCAGAAAAAGATTTAAAACTCATCAAACTTAATAATATACATTCATTTACATAACATGATCTGTAGTCCGAAAGGATACCCTACCTTCCTCGTATCACCTGGTCACGCGGACTTCATCTTTATCACCACCCACAATGCAGCGCAACTAATGCGGGAGCTTTCCCGGCGACGAACTATAAAAGCAGGAACACCCGCTGCAGCGGTTCAGTCGAAAAGATTGATTCATCGCCGAAGCTTCACCAACTAGGTCGAAAAAATGAGTGATACCGAGCTTTCGAGCGCCGTGACGAGTGCGCTGTTGGAGCTCTACCAGCGGCAAAATATACCCATGGACTCGCAGCCGATTGCAGGAGTTGGGGAGAATGCCTACGGGCAGGTCCTTCGAGTGAGTTGGCCCACAATGTCCGAAGCAGCGACCGTGATAGTGAAAATGGCGCCGAAGAACGAGGCTCGGAGATCCCACATGCACGTAGTGGACTACTATGCCCGGGAGGTCTTCATGTACCAGGAGGTATTTCCCATCTTCCGGCAGCTATCACCGAATCAAAGTGTGTTCACCGTAGTACCGGCCCTGCAGGCCAATGGCTTGAAGGCACCCGATGAGTTCCTGATTTTCGAGGATCTATCTGGAAGTGGATTTCGGCCAAATTCCCGCAGCACCATGCCCACCTTCGACATCGTGATGTGCTCCCTGAAAGCTCTGGCGGAACTCCACGCCTGCTCATTCATCTTACAGGAAAAAAAACCAGCAAAGTTCAGGGAGTTGGTGGAGTTCGTGAAAAAAGACAACTTATTCACACCCAACATTGAGGAGGTTACCATTGAGTTTGGAAAGGCTCAGTTACGTAAGGCGCGGACTATTCTAAAGGAATCGGATGGGGACCAAGCCGAAGTGGCTGCCATAAAGGAAGTCCTGGAACGCTGTGAAAAACACTTGAAATCCTTGGCCCTTCACTGCGTGGATGGCAAATCGCAGGCTCCACATTCGGTCATCTGTCACGGCGACTTCTGGAATAATAACATTCTCTACCGACATGAGGTAATTTATAACTTATTTGCACCAACATTTTCTATAGTTTTTCATTCAAAAAACGATTATTTTAAAAGCTTAATATAAAAAAACAATTTTTTTTTTGATTTTAAGAAATAAATTTTTTAGTGTGAAAAAATTATATTCAAAAATTGCATTATTTCAAAAACATTGGCAAAAATCAATTGCTTTTGCGCCGAAATTGCAAAATTTTTGGTTCACTAAAATCAACAATTATTTTACTACCAAGTTTTAACTCGTTTTTTTATTAAGATTTAATTTTTTTTAATTGGCTATATTTTTATAATCATTTTTTTTCGCAGTCCAATATTGGTCAACCCGTGGAGGCTAAACTCATCGACTTCCAGATGTCCCGCTATGGACCGCCAGTACTTGATATAGTCCACTACCTCTTTGCCTGCACGGAGAAGCAATTGCGGGATGATCACTTTCCCACCTTTATGAATGCTTACTACGAGACGCTGGACCAGAAATTAACGGCTTGTGATCTTCGTCTCGAAGAGATATATCCACGCAGCATCTTCAACCGACAGCTGCACCTCTACGGTGTTTACGGCTTAATTATGGGAGCCTTTTCCCTACCTTTTTTTATTTCCAATGCTAATGAGGTCATTGATATCGATACCGTTTCCGAAGCTATCCAGGATCTTTCGTCATCATCAGATGAACCCAAGTATAAGGAGCTGATCGAAGAATTCGAAATGCTTAACGCACGCACATTGCCTATTTTCAAGCGTCGAATAACCGGTATTGTCAAGGATCTTATCAAATATCAGATGACAGAGCCGCTTTTTAAAATTGAGTCCTAAACAAGTGCTACAGTATTATATTCCGCAAAGATACCAGAACATTTTTCATATAAGGTATGGATAGATTTAAAGTAGTAAAATTCCAAACTAGACAAAACTCAAGCGTTTGCCAGTATACATATGTGATTTTCTTCATATTTATTCAGGAAACTCTAAGATTCTAAAAATTCACAACTTAAATTTAAATCCGCATAACAAAGGATGACAACTAAAATGTCTGCAATTGGATTTATGTAAATAATGTTAAAACTAAATATTTACAATTTCTTAAGTGTAGGTGATGATTACGGTTCCCTAACCACATTCGGTAGCGAAACACAATTTGATTGTTTGCGGAGTTTTGGGGATAATGATCCTGTTTAAATAAATCTTAGTTTGAACTTTTGCAAAAAGAATGTTTTAAGCAATTTAACAAAATAAAAATAAAATTTTTTCATACTAATGAGTGTGGTACTACTCTTTTGTTTAGTACTCCAAATTTTAAATGTATATATATATGATATAATGCGCGGCTATAGCTAATTGTATAGCTATGTACATGGCATGCATTATGCACAGTCCAAGAATAGACTTTATCTTAATGTTAAGGCCTACATAGTACAATATGTGTCTTGCACTAAAACTAAGCATTTGCGTGTCATCTGTTATATAATAAAGTAACAACTCATTGAGTTTATTGCAGCAATACGTGGGCTTGGCGTGTTATGTCCTAATGTCCAGCACTGGGTACGCAATCAGGAGACTTCCTTGATAATGGCTTTACTGCATAACCTCTCGGAAACGTTTCTGGCGCTCCAGACTCTCCACCTCAGCCCAACAGTTGCGCATGTTGCGGAAGAGCTGAAGTTGTACATTGATTTTATGTCATAATTCAGATAAATAACTGATTGGTTTTAATTCCTACCTCATCAATCCAATTATGCTCGGCCAGCAGGTCGTTTAGGATTTCCGTTGAGGTCTTTCCTGGAAACTGTTGCTGCTGCTCCGTCACCCGTTGCGAGCAGTTGATAAACAAATTGAACTTTTCGTGTGCAATCTTGTGGAAGAGATCCGCTCGAGCTGCACAAATACGGCATAAGACAATGTCCTGCAAAAATCAAAAATTATAAATATATTGTTATTGATAAAATTATTTTATATGTCTATTTATTGATTCAATTTTCTCCTGAAAAATTGTAAAGCTTTTTTTTTAAACAAATAATTTTTGTTAATTTGTTAAACATTTGTAGTACTTTTAGTGCAATTATTTTAATTTTAACTTTAAAATTAAAAAACACTCTAAAAAAGCAACAATGTTGTCTATAGATTTTTTTTAAGTCTCAAGACTAAAAGTTTAGAACAAAAATACCCTACTATGTTATTGTTGTGTAATAATTAGACTAAAATAAAAAAAAATTTTTTTTTTTAAACTGTCTAACATTTACCTTTTCGTATCCTATTCTTATTGTCGTGTAATAATTATTTACTAAAACAAAAAAAAAGTTTTTTAACTGTCTAACATTTACCTTTTCGTATCCTATACGCGGATCCACCGGTATGGTCTGCATGGTGTTGGGGTTATACGGCTCCCCGAAGAGTAGGAAGCGCACTGCGATGCCCGGCTGGTGGCAGCCTGCGCAATTCTTCTGGGTCAGATTGTTTTGTTCCCACTCGGAGAACACATGGCACTTGGGCCAGGTCTCAATGGAGGAGATGGTACTCCGCGTCCAAGGAGTGATGGCCAGCAGCTTGCGCTTGCAATTTTCCATTATGGTATCCACTACGCGCACGCTACCCAAAAAGTAGTCATCTGAAAAATATAAATAGATAAAAATAAAAAGTATTTAAAAATAAAATCAGCTATACCCTTTTCCCGCGTTATTTCCGAGAAGAAGCTCGGATCGAGCGCTTGCGAGATCATGGTCTGAATGTAGATCTCAAAGTTGTCCCTATAAGACAGATAGTCTTCCATGATCTTCTCAATAAATTGCTCGGTGTCGTCGGCCAGCAACTCTGAGCGCATGAACTCGACAATTGTCTCGGTGTGAGAATGCAGCTGAATGCGCACCGGTGCTTTGAGGTAGAGTTTCTTAGTTTCGAGATTCCAGGAGGCATACTGAAAGCAAAATGGGTTTATTAAAATATGAAAGCATAGTTGAGTCGCATGGAACCTACCTTTGACATGTTACGATAGAAGGTTTTTCCGTTTTGTCGGAAAGGCTCGTACTTCTGTAATATGCACTTTGAGTCCACCTGCCAAATGGTGGGCCAGTCGTTCACAAGATCCGATCGCAAAACTATAAAGTCGCCCGTCTGAAAAATTGAGTTAACAAACAAATCTTTAATTCAGAGTTTTTTTTGAAAGACGAACAAACTAATTTAATAAATAAAATAAGTAAACATGGATAATACGATTTATAATAATTTTGCATTATAAAGAGGTCAGAACTTGTTGTCTTCAGCTATGGCACATTCTTTAGTTAAGTATTTACTAATTCGCACATCATTAAGGTAATATTAAAAACTTATTGGTGAAAACATCAAAGTTTTTGGTTTCAAAACAGTAAAAACAGGAGCGACTGGTGTGATCTCTTGCTATTTAAACAAATGCTGGAATATTTCTACCACCTACTTTAAAGTTCTCCGCATTGGCAGCTGTGCCCGATGATGCACTGGCATATCCCACATCCGCCACTCCAGACATATTCTGCTGTGTATTGTAGCTGGATTCGCCGCCACTGGTCAATTGTTGCACCTGTTGCTGCTGCTGTTGTTGTTGCTGCTGCTGCTGGTGGTGTTGCTGGTTGACCTGCATCTGCTGCAGTTGCTGGTGGTGTTGTTGCTGCTGTTGTTGCTGTGGCTGTTGCAAATCTGAGGTATGGTCGTAGGTGTTCTTGCGCGGCGTGCCCTTTGATCGGCGTGCCAACTTGCGCTTCCCATAGCCCTTGCCGGCGTCATCGCTCTGCGTGGGGAGGAGGTGGGATGGAATGGAGGTTTGAAGCAGTTGTTACGAGGCCGGAAGCGAAAAACACTTACGTCTTCCTCCTGCGGAGTCCACACGGGATCCGTGTCCGAGTCGGTAAACTCCTCCGGCTCGCCGACAACTCCACTATCGCCGGCGACGGCACTGGAATTCATGAGCATGGCGTGCATGCTGCTCTGCTTGGCCTTGCGGGAGCATTGCTCCCGTCGTGGCGGCACACTCAATGGGTCTGTGGAGAGCACAAAAGTGGGTTAGCAACATTGAACTGGACTTGGGGAATCCCCGGGCAACACGAACGGAACGGGACTGGAACCACAACAACGACATCAACAACAACAAACTAACACACCAGCAACACCACTTCCCACGGCCATGGAACACCAGCACCAGCACCTGGATCGGAATCGGCACCGGATTCTGATCCGTCTTACAAGTACAAATAATAAAAATACACGGTTTATTTGGGTTTTTGAAAATTAATAATATTTGTTCTTCTCGATTTCATCTCAAAAATACTTCATACTTTTGTTCATGGGATTCTCCTTTTGTTTGTTTTTTTTGTTTGCTCTTTTAACAATTTAAAAGTTAGCGTTTTCCTTGTTTTTTTTTTGATGTCGTTATGGTTGTTTTTTACATATACACACCGTCCAAGGGTCTAGTAGTCGCTAGTAGTCTGTCAGGCTGTCTGTCCGTGTGGTGTGGGTGGTGGTGCTGCGTGGGTGGGTGGTGCTGCTGCTGCTACTGGCGGCCGCTAGTGCTGCCAAGGCCACAGCAGGTTTATAAAGTGATGAGGATTCGGCGCTGGTGCGGGCGTCGGCGTTGTTGAATTCGAATTCGCTGTTGCATTCGCGCTGGCTGGCGTGTGGTGGTGATTGTTGTTGTTGTTGTTGTAGTTGTTGCATGGCGTGGAAGTAGCGATAGTGGAGTGCTTATTGGTACTATGCTGTTGGTCAAGTAACATACCTTGACCCGCTCCAGCTGTCAGTTGGGCGCAGTGCTGCTGCACAAAGTGCTGTCCGCTCATCGATTGCTGCTGCTGTTGCTGCTGCGCCTGCTGCTGTTGCTGCTGCTGGGCGTATGGCCGGAAGGAGGTCTGATCCCCGGGCTGCTGGATGACTGACGACGAAGGTGCCGATTCCGCCGCGGCTGCAGCAGCCACCATTTGGGCGTGCGGACGCTTCTTGGGGAGTATCTGCGTCTGCGAGAGTATTTTGATACGATGCCCATCATCGCCCACGAGTCCTGCGAGTCCATCGACCGCCTGGCCGGGATCCCCCGGCGCCTGGGTGGCCTGCGATGTGGTAGGTTCATCACCACCGCTCCCAGATCCTTTTCCTTTCCGCTTATACGGAGCTCGTGGGTAATTTAACTTCCGCGATGGCTTCACCACCGGCGGCGGATCATCATCCCGCTCACCCTGCAGAAATTTCAGATAGCTGTCCATGAACTGAGTCTTCTTCTCCCCAATCAGCGTCCCCACGCTCACAGGCTTGGGAGCAGCAGGACTGTACGTCGCAGGTGCACTGGCTCCGCTGGTAGAAGGCGTCGCTGGCGTGGCCGCGGCATGACCATGCCCGTTGTTGGCGGCATGCGAATTGGGCGGGCAGTTCGAAGGCTCCGGCGACGGAGTCTTGTTCGGATTGCGTATGCCAAAGTTGGTGTTGTTTGTGGAGGAGTTGGTGCCGCGCCCATTACTCGACAACGAGTTGGCATAGCCCTGCTTCGGTGCACTTGTGGCATCGGCCAGAAAGTCCAGTTCCTCCTCAATGTTCGGCACGATGACTTTGTTACTCGCCGCTGCTGCTGCCGCCGCCGCTGCGGCCGCCGTCGCCTCCTCCTCCTGCTGCTGGGTGGCCTCGTTCTTCTCCTGGCGTTGTTGTTGCGCCTGTTGTTGCTGCTGCTGTGTGTAGGCCTGCTGGTGTTGCTGCTGCGTGTAGGCCGCCTGCTGTTGCTGCTGCTGTTGTTGTTGCTGCTGCTGTTGTTGCTGCTGCTGCATACAGGCCGTGTACTGGGAGGCAATGGGCTGGGGGAAGGCTGGATAGTATTGCGCCAACTGGGTCAAGTGCGACTGGGCCTGCGAGGATTGCAGGTGGGCCGGCTGCGGCAAATGTTGTTGCTGTTGCTGCTGCGCCTGCTGTTGTTGATGTTGCTGTTGCTGGCTCTGCTGCGGATATGTGGGTATATTGATGGTGGCCGCCGGCGACACAGACGCCGCATTGTTCTCCGTCTTGAGCGGAGTGTTCCACTTGCTGTTGAAGTCGTAGTACGTGTTCTGCTGCTGCTGTTGCTGGTTGTGCTGCTGTTGTTGCTGCTGCTGCTGCAGCTGGTGGTGTTGCGGCTCCTGGGGACTGCGAACATTGCCGTAGTCACTGCTGCTGGGGATGAGCGTTTTCTTCGGCTGGCGCTTGCGCGGAGTCTTCGCGGGCTTCGGCGGCGGCTTCACCTCCTCCTGTAAGCAAGTAACGAAAGAAATACAATTAGAACACTCAGCATCACCGAACATCATTAGCGAACAGCACACTAACAATAGCTTGGACATTGGGACATTAGGAACGGTTGGTAAACATGTACACTGGCTGGTAAACAACGGTCTGCTCCCAGAGCATTTTTATGGGGTCTTAACAATTGGGCTGCTAGCGACAAACGCGATTGGTGCTAGGGTTTACCCTCATTAAATATTGGATCATACCATTACAACATAACGTCACAGTTTCAAAGTGGCCACAGGACTTTAAATTAGAGAATTAGTTAGCAGTATTTTAAGCAGTTTGGTTAGAATAATTTCAATAAAGCATATAACAAAAGGCCAAAAGGTTTAGCTTCCACCAAAGTACAAGGAATAATCATTAAGGCGTGCTAAATACATTAGAAAACATAAGCTACTTAGGAGATCCAAAGAAAAAAACTATTCTATATGATAAAATAACAGGCAACAATAAAAAAATATTTTGTATGATATTATAACAAAGAAAACTAACAGGATAACTAATCTGGTATTATAAATTATTTAATAAAAAACTATCGACTGTTCTGTTAATAAAATGTAAGAAAATTAGGGAGTTATGTAAATGGTTCTTTTGTAATATTCTCCTTTTAGCATTAACAATTTTTTTTGGCAGGAAAACTACTAATGTATTAAAATTTGAAAGGCATTGCTGCATATTGTTTAATAATATATATAGAAAAAAATTAAAAATGAATTCAGTAAGCAATCTTTGAAACTATTTAGAAGGAAAATGCTCTACACAGATTTTTTAGATATTGAACTGAATAAGAAATCTTTAAAACTAGTTTATTTGCATTGGCTAAGGATTTAAGAAAACAGAACAAGAAGCCAATAAACCAAAATAAAGGCAGAACACAAAGAAATTAAACAAATAGGAACAGAAATAAAACAAATGACATACAAACCTTTGGCACTACTTGAATCTGTGACGCTAAGTTTCCCGCCGCCGGCGACATGATCATGTTGGCCACCACGTGCTGGCGCCGCCCGGCGGACTGGGATTGGGACTGGTTCTGATTGTGCTCCTGCAGCTGCAGTTGCTCCCCATCGACCACTCCCGCGGGATAGAAGGTTTGCTTGATCTCCAGCCCGGGCGGCAGGTTGAACACTAGATTTTCGCCACCACCGCCGGCGTCCACTGAGGATGCCTCGTTGGCAAAGTCCAGCTGGCGCTGCTCTTGCTTCACCTGCAGCTGCAGCACGTTCTTGATGTCCTCCTGCCCCGCTCCATCGTCCTCCAGCTTCGTCCAACAGAGGTTCTGCTGCTGCTGTTGCTGCTGCAGGGTGCTTTGTATCACAGATGAGTAGGCCACCGTGGTGGGCGTGGCAGCAGCAGACGAGCCAGCGCCTGCCTCCGACCGCCTCTGCACCGGGGACGCCGTCTTGTAGACGATCACCTGGGCCTGCGGTGTGCTGACCACGTCCACGGCATGTAAATTCGTGATGGGCGATCCATCTGCGGAGCTTAGCGCCGGACTGGCATATTGCGCCGGATAGGATCCAGCCGGAACTGGCACTGCCAGCGGCACGGGGCTGGCCTCCTGCTGCTCTACTATCGTCGCCCGGAACGACTGGCCATCCTTGCGCGTCACCTTGACCTTTCGGCCATCGATCGTGTAATATGTATCTGGTTCCGCGTCCGCCTCGGCGATTTCTTGCTGCAGTTGCTGCTGGAGCTGCTGCTGTTGCTGCTGGGCCGCCGCCTGTTGTTGCTGCTGCTGCTGTTGTTGCAGTTGGATCAGGTAAATCGAATCGTTGTAGGCTTTTAATTGCTTTTCCTGCTTAATCTGCTACAGCGCACCGTACATAGATTGAATCGGAATCGGAAAGTGTTTGGTTTGGGTTTGAATCGACAAAGAGAGGCTAGACTTAGTCTAAGCTTTAATGGGTTGATTTGGGGGAGTATATGTTAGTTAGCGGTAAATGCGATAGAACGCGCGGAGGTTTTAATGAGTGTGGGTGTGGGAGCTTCCCCAGAAGCTGGTTTACTGAGAGTGGAGTGAGATCTGCAAGCGGAACGGAAAACAAAAGAAGCCTACTCACCACTTTGTCGGCCACCAGATTGAGCTGTTGCTGTTGTGCCTGCTGCTGTTGTTGCTGGGCCTGCTGTTGTTGCTGCTGCGCCTGTTGCTGCTGCGCCTGCTGCTGCTGCTGCTGCATGGCCAGAAAGGTGTTCGAAATCATGTTCGGCGTGTTCCAGGTCAGCGACGTGGACGTCAGCGCCACCGTTGTCGGCGACGGCGAAGCTCCACTCGACGAGGAGTTCTCCCCGTAGTAATTCGAGGCTACATTGTTGACCACGGCGGCCGCAGCCGCCGACACTGCCGCCTGGTTCTGGAAGGAGCTGAGCTGCTTGTCCAGCGAGCTGGGCAGCTGCAACTGGCGGTGCGGCGTGCTAACCGCTGACGAGGCATAGTGGGCAGGCTTCGGCTGGACACTGGCCGCCGCCGCATGGTGGTAGATCTGCTGGAATACTGGATTGTAGCTGCCAATCGGCGACGGAGGCACAAAGCTGCCACCACTGGCGGCCGCCGCATTAAAGCTGGCGATGCTGGCGGCCGTGATGGTGGCCAGGTGCGGATGCTGGAAGTCTTCCGCTGTTCCGCCGGAGCTGCCGGCACTGGCGGGCACGATGCGGTTGTAGGCATATGACCAGGGACTGGAGTTGGGATCCATGGTTTGATTGGACTCTTCTACTGCTGCTGGCTGGTAACTGAAATGTATAAGCTATAGTTAGTGGATTGTGAATAATTAAGTGGTAATTTAAATGTTCTTGATTAGCGCAATATTTTAAGCTATTCGGTAGCTCCGGGTTATCCTAATTTTCAGATTAAAGACTTTCTAAGGCATTTGAAGGCATTTTCATGCCTACTTAGTCTTTCAATATTTTTCGAATTTAAAAGTTCCAATTGAGTTTAGATCCAAACATAGTATTTTTAAACATTTTTGGAATTGAGATAATTGATATTAATTTTTTAGTAATAGTATCAGATTTTAGTTTTTTTAATCAACCTACTAAAGTTATCCTTTTGATTTTCTATTTTTAAATAATATAAATATATTATTATAATATTAATTAAAGAAATGGCGGCAATAGTAGTTTTGTTTAGTGATTATTCTGGATTAATGTGCCTTTTCTCAGAATCACTATTCAAATAAAATTATATTTTTGTTTTCCTTGTTTCAAATATTTTTAAATTTAAAACATATACTCATATTTAAATACAACTTTTTTATATTTAAATAAAGAAATATATTATTCTTGTAACATAAGGTTTTAAGGTTGAATTTGCGAAAATAAAATAAGTTTGTATTTATGTTTTTGTTATCAAAATCTAATATTTTTGAATGCATTGGCGATTTTCCGATGAAAAAACCGGAACTGGGGTGTTTGTTTCCATACTTTTTTGCACTTTTTGTTTCCCCCTATTTTTTTTTTTGTATCCCTTTTGGCCACGATGCGCTTGGTTCCCCCTTAAAAAATTTGGCGTCTGTATTTTGTGTCTTGGCGCTCGACGGGGAAAAGGGCCCGCATTTCGCCAGCTCCTTTAGTAATCCAATAATTGGGTTCTCACTTATAACTTTATAATGGCCATCCCATGGCATTTTCAATAGATTTATGGCGATTTTGGGAATGTTTTTCTCGCTAGGAATAGGATTTTTTTTCCGTATTTTCCGCTTGTACATATATGTATCCATGCACACACAAACACATACTCACACACACGGGCGTACATGCGTGCGTGTTGGAAAGATAGTCACTAACTTTTAGTCGTTATAGAATTGGATCCAGCATTATCTTCACATCGGACTGCACACACGCTCCAAATCCACGAGCGGATTTTATGAATTAATTCCGGGCGCAACGTTTTTTTTAGATTCGGTGCATAACTTTTTTGTGGATGAAACAATCTCCAAAATGGCCGCTCTGCTACCAGTGAAAAACGAACCAATGGCTCAGGTGAATAATGCCTAAGTGAACTAGTTCACTGGTTCAATAGATCCCGCTGCGAGTGTTTATTGTTTGTGTTGCCGTTGTTGCATTTTGTCTCCGTTGTTGTTCAACAAATTATATTTGCTATCGTGTTTTTTGTGATACAGGTAAGTTATAGCCGGAACTACTTATCTCTCAATTTGTATTTAACAATTTGGAGTTTCACAAGTTGTTAAAATTTACATGTGCTGCGCCAAAAGCGCAAGTGTTGTATAATACCCTATTCATCGGTAGTTAAGTTAATTTGACTGTGGTTTACCATTAAACAGTCCTCTATGCTGCTCTTTTATATATTACGACCACTGATTAAGGCACATTTTATTTTTATAGTATAAACAATTTAGTCACTACTCGGCGCGTTAGCTAACACTAATGAAGTGGAACTAGTTGATTTTAAAAACCCAATGATCAATTTGCACAATATATGAAAAAATAATACAATTTTTAATTTAAAGACATCTTTAATATACACTAAGTTTAATTTAGAATTCTTTAAATGTATAACAAAAATAATGGCAAAAAAACCACCCCTATTGACACATTTTCCAGCACTTATTGAACTAATTCTAGTTCTATTTAAAACCCAGTGGTCAACTTGATCATAACTCAAAAAATGTATAAAATGTGAGGTATTTAATGCAAATGAATTTAAATTAAATGAAAATAAAAGTATTGCAAGACCCACATTTAGCCCAACCAAAGTTTAATCTGGTGTTTATTGGAATTTTAACGAAAACAAACCATTATACTTTGTACTTTTATAAAGCGTTACCCAATACTGTTTGAGCGGAACTATTTATTTAAAACCAATATGTCAGTAATTTAAGATTATGAATTCAACGGGATAATTTAGAAATAAATATTTGAAAATATATAAATAAATTATTATTTGATACGCATTTAGTAATTTATAAAATAAACAAATGTACACTTGCGATATGTGACCTATTACCCAGCACTGTTCGCGCGGAACTGGTTCGATAACCTGCTGTTTTATTGTTGGTTCACGTACTAATGACAGTCATTTTACGTATTCATTGCTAAAAGAAAACTGAAAAAATACATTTGCCCGAATTTCCGGTTAGTCATCCGCCCACATCGATCTTCATTTAGGCGCAGCCAAATAAAAGGAGAGGTGCGTATTGTCCAGGTGCCGCCAAACCACTTGGAAAACCGCCCGCAGCTGGTTGCTCCTCTGCGTACGTGTAAATCTGGGTGAGACGCCCACTAAATTGCAATCACAACATTTCTAGAGCACATCACCATGGACTTTGGAGACGATTTCGCAGCAAAGGAAGAGGTGGATCCGGCGGCCGAGTTCCTGGCGCGCGAACAGTCGGCTCTCGGGGATCTGGAGGAGGAGATTACGGGGGATCCGCCTCAGTATCTGCTCCAGCTGCTGCTGCTTTATCCACAGACGAGGGTTTGGGCGAGCTCCTGGGAGGAGGAGGCTCCTCCGATGTCCTGGGTGGAGATCTTCTCTCAGCAGGCGGTGGCGGCGGCCTGGAATCCTCTACGGGCAGCTTCGAGGTCATTGGCGGCGAGTCCAATGAACCCGTCGGCATTTCGGGACCACCACCTTCCCGGGAAGAACCCGAAAAGATACGCAAGTGGCGGGAGGAACAGAAACAGCGACTCGAAGAGAAGGACATCGAGGAGGAGCGGAAAAAAGAGGAGCTGCGGCAGCAGTCCAAGAAGGAGCTGGACGACTGGCTGCGCCAGATTGGCGAGTCCATATCGAAGACCAAGCTGGCGTCACGTAATGCCGAAAAGCAGGCCGCCACCCTGGAGAACGGCGCCATTGAACCGGGGACCGAATGGGAGCGCATAGCCAAGCTCTGCGACTTCAATCCCAAGGTGAACAAGGCGGGCAAGGACGTCTCCCGCATGCGATCCATATACCTGCACCTCAAGCAGAATCCCATCCAGGTGCAGAAGGGCACCTAGGTAGTTTTAATTACGCACTCGCCTAACCACACATTGAGTTGAATATAAAAATTATTATTGAAAGTATTCGCTGTATATTCCAATTTATGATACATAAAATATTATTATTGCTGCTAAAACATAGCTGCGATCATCGTTTTCTCTAATGAATGCAATAAAGAATGTGCACACAGTTGTCCTGATTTCCTTGACTATCAAATACCCATCACACAAAATATAAAACGAAAACTGGACATGAAAAAGTTAGGAAAAAGAACAAATGAAAAATAAAACTGAAAATATGACAACTAAATTCTTTCTCTTTGATTTTGCAGAATCGACATGGGCTATGTTTTACGGGATTCTCAAATGATTATGAACTTCCGCTTCTATTTTTTAATCATACTTGTTACTTTTTCTTTAAAGAGACATTAAAACCAGTTGTGTTCAATGCCTTTATTGGCCTTATTGCTAATTAAAATGTGACACAATACATAAAACTTATTTTAATCATATATGTGTTGAAAATGTCAATGGGAAATGTGTTTGTATTTGTAATTTATTAAAATGATTATGAAAATAAATAAATAAAATCCAACAAAATAAAGCATTTTTGATTGTGGGCCGCTTGCGATTTGTTCTTCTACGATATACATATATAATAAAAAAATTATTTAAGTAAAGAAATGTGCTGATCAAGGGAAAATCACAGGGGTTTTTAAAAGTTATGGGCTTGTCTACGTCTGACTCAAATGGAATGAACTTGCCATTATAATCAATTATGACAATTTACCAATTACAGAGAAATGTCCGAAGAAGTTACCGCTCAGGACCATAATACCGTGCAGCAGGAGTCACCTGTGAGTCACAAGAGAAAAGACTATCTTCCCTGGGATGACTACTTCATGGCCACTGCCTTGCTCTCGGCGGAGCGCAGCAAGGATCCCGTGACCCAAGTTGGTGCCTGCATCGTGGACTCGCAGAATCGGATAGTGTCCATCGGCTATAATGGATTCCCTCGCAACTGCAGCGACGACGAGTTTCCCTGGACAAAATCCAAGGTTTTCTTGGAGGATAAGAAGATGTACGTGGTGCATGCGGAGGCCAATGCAATCCTTAACAACAATGGACTGAATTTAACTGGAACCCGTCTCTATACCACACTCTTCCCCTGTAATGAATGCGCCAAACTCATCATACAGGTAAGCATCATCATACAGGTTGTAACCAATCCAAAACCTACAAAATTATTCGATCTGTTTTAACAGAGTTGGTAATTATATCTATTAGAGTTTTGAGATGTGTTATAACTTAAGATATTCTTGTATTGCAACCTCTATTTTTGTCAATGTCTAAAATATGTTGGATATACATATGTATTCTTGATGATATGTGAAATATGCAAAACTAACATGGGATCAATTATATAAATTGTTTATCTACATAATTAAATTTTTGTTCAATTAACATTCGATTAAGATCAGCGGTATTCAAAACAGTTTGAGTCGTTGAATTTAATCAAATTTTACCTAAAAATCTTTTGTCCGTGGTTCTCGGAAATATATATTTTCGCCTTAAACGTAACAATAAAAAAGTTCCTTCTGATTTTAATTTAATTTCAATCTTACAGGTGGGCATATCTCATATTCTATATTTATCCGACAAGTATGGAGCTAAGCCCAAGTACCAGGCATCCAGGCGGATGTTAGATGCAGTGGGCGTGACATGTACACAATACCGCCCTCAACGAAATAATATCGTCATTGATTTTAAGAAGATCTAGGAAGAAAACTAAAAAACTATTAAACTATTCATTATTGGTGAATAGTTACCATTGAAACTCACTTGCACTAATTGAGTTCGTAAACAGTAAAAGGGTCTGTCAGGTGAGACCCTTCCCATGCACAGGTGTTCTCTCGAGACCAATGTGTGATTAAAGTGAGCTACACAGGTCAAAGTTTTGGGTGCTTTAAGGCCAAGCCCTAGTGTTAAATCAAGATTTGTATTTTTCCAATAAAAGTGTAAAAAGCTTTTATATAAAGTGACGGTAATTGTTATGAAATATATATTTTTTAAAATTTAATGAATATTATTTTGAATATTTTAAGTGGTCTTGAGAAATCGTTTTATTGCATCATATGTCAAGGACCAATAAAAGTGTAAAAAGCTTTTATGTAAAGTGATGGTAATTGTTATGAAATATATATTTTTTAAAATTTAATGAATATTATTTTGAATATTTTAAGTGGTCTTGAGAAATCGTTTTATTGCATCATATGTCAAGGACCTTGCAATTTGTATTATTACGCTACTAATTAAATTAATTAAGTTGGCCACTTTTGAACTTTGATGTTATGTTTGCTAAAATTTCGCATGCAGCCTTTTTAAATACTGGACTGAGCAAAATGTTTATGGGATGTTTATAAATGGCATGCCAGCACGAAGGAGTTCCCACCTGACTTTGCAACCTATTCAGGTGAGAGTGGCGTGCGGCCAACCGGCCATTAGTACTGGAATATGCAAAACAGTGCGCGGAACCGGATGAGGATGCCAATAAGAACAGCGCCGAGGACACGCGACCTTTCGGAAATCCGCGAGTGTTTGTACTTGCCTCTCTGCACTTATATCTTAAGGCTGGAATTGAACGTGTCTTGTGGATTTCAATAAAAAGGACATGCCCGGTATTTGTATTTGGTGATGATTGGATAAAACAAGCAATTGGAAATTTCAGAAAATAAAACGATAGTCTTACAACTAAAATACTAAGACCGGAGGGTTGAAAACATTTGGCAACCAAAATTTATCAACCGAATTTTTTGTTGTTGAATATTTCAGGTTTTTGTACTAGTAACGTACTAATATTTCCACATTTTTTAAAATTTTTTTATACAGATTTGATTAGGTAGTCTTCATTTTTATATTACCAAAATCCAATATGCTACTTCAGTAAAAAAAAACAAAACGCAAGATAACTTCGGCAAGCCCAAGTTTCAATATCCTTGCAGATTTTTCAAAAATAAAAACAAATTTTCGCCTTTGAAGATTGCAAATTTTCAAGAATCTATATTAGTGTGATTAGTGTGAGACATATATGGAAGCTATAAGAATATAGTCAACTGATTTTTATCAAAATTCAAGGGATACCATCTTAATACTAAAAATCCTCATATTGGGCAAAAACCTGCAATTTATACTAAAATTTAAAAAAGCAGATAAATTTTACTTTTTACCTGGTTGTTCCTTTAAAATAAACATGTCAAATCTCTTAAATTTTTTACCGCTCGAGAGCGGTATAGAACTTGGCTAAATAAACTTGCCTAGTCATGCTGAACCTATATACTTTATAGGTTCGGAAATTTCTCCTTCACTAAAATTTAAAAACAAATTTAATTTAATTTCTGGGATTAAAGTGTTTAAATTCTTAGGAATTTTTCCGCTTACTCAAAAAGTTACTTTTTCTTTTATTAACCAACAGAGATTCAGTTTTTGGTAGTTAAATATTCCCCCATACGTAGCACTAAATTCTACTAAATATAATCCTTCCGGCTTAAAGAGCTCCCGGCAAGACGATGTCTAACGAACAAGTAATCTTGGGACCCGGACGACTTACTAATCCGCAACTGAAGCGACATGTATCGGAAGCATTTCGCATTTTCCCAGCCAGTTCAAGGAGACGAATCTGTGGGGGATTACATTCTGAATGGCTTTGTATCTTCATCTGACCCGCCTTGTTTGTATTCATGAAATGCAGAGAAAGTTTACCGATTGCAGCGGAAACTTGTATCGCACGCACCTTTGCTAACTGAATTTGAAGTGGGCCCGAACATTCCGTAATCACTAATAGCGGTTCACCCGCCCAGGACCTTAATTGCCATTAAAGTTAAAGCTCCGCTCCGGCTGCCGAAAACCCAAAAAGCGGGTCAGCGAGAAGGAGTTGGGGACAGCCCTAATTTTCGGTTTCGTGAATTTCAGCTACAAAATACCCTCGAGGCCGCAGCCAGAAATCACACCGAGTGGCCAAATGAAGGCTTGGCGGCATTTGGACTATCCATTGTACATATACGACACCCATAAAGGCCATGGAACCGACGAAATAATCAATATACAAGAAAGGAACCAAAACAAAGCTGCAAATTGTGTGGAAGTATTTCTGAACCTTTGAAAAGAAATCCCGAAAAGGGGTAAATTTTGTTACCATCAAACAGGTGTCAAAAAATTTGGGCTAATATAGCTATAGAAATAAAAAAAGGCCAATCCTTCAAAAAAATTTAAATAATAATTCCAAAAAATTTTATTAAAATTAATTACGGTTTCCAGAATTAAGATAAATAAAATTGGTATTCATTTAATATTTAAAAAAATATAATTTCTTAAATATTTTTTATTGTTACGAAAATGGTAATTATGATCAAATTAATTGCCTAAGTTTTTATAAATTTAAATAATCGATGGTCTGAACTTTAAGTGGGCTCTATAATTTAAAGTGTTCAATGAAATTGAACATTTAAAGCATTTAAAATGGATGACTTCTACCTCATTAGTCTGAAAAAACAGACTTAATGGCTTTTCGTAAATTTCTCTATCTAGCATTTATTTCTTAAGCAGAACCGGCACGTCTGGTTGAAGTTTTAACTGAAAGATGCATATCATAAATTTGAAATGCAAACACAAGAGTCGTTATCAAACTTGGCATATTTGGATTACCATCGTTGCTCAGCTCGCTCTCTTTACTACATTGTAAAACAAGAAAGGAAAGCTAACTTCGGGCGGAGCCGAAGTTGATATACCCTTGCAGAATATTCTATAAATTATAATCTCCAAAATTATTCATATGATGCATTCTTAATACTCATAAAAAGTCCCAACTTCCTAACTTTAAAAACACCAAAGTTATGTCATTTCCAATCGTTCAGTTATATGGCAGCTATAAGATATAGTCGGCCGATCCTTATTAAATTTGGTAGGTCGGATTGATTGGCCAAAAATAAAACCCATAGAAAATCCCAACTTCCTAACTTTACAAACACCAAAGCTATTGCATTTCCGATCAATCAGTTGTATGGCGGCTATAGGATATAGTCGTCCGATCCTTATGAAATTTGGTAGGTCGGATTGATTAGCCAAAAATAAAACCCGTAGAAAATCCCAACTTCCTAACTTTAAAAACACCAAAGTTATGGCATTTCCGATCGTTCAGTTATATGGCAGCTATATGATATAGTGGCCCGATCCGGCTCGTTCCGACTTATATACTACCTGCAATAGAAAGACAACTTTTGGGAAAGTTTCAAGCAGATAGCTTTAAAACTGAGGGACTAGTTTGCGTAGAAACGGACGGACAGACGGACAGACGGACAGACGGACGGACAGACGGACATGGCTAGATCGACTCTCCTGGTGATGCTGATCAAGAATATATATACTTTATAGGGTCGGAAATGTCTCCTTCACTGCGTTGCAAACTTTTGACTGAAATTATAATACCCTCTGCAAGGGTATAAAAAACAAATTGTAGGGTATGAAGATATATTCAAAGATTATAATTTTTTACCAGATACCATTATTTCTTTCCTTATATATGAAAGTCATAACCATTATTTCAGATCATTATCATTAGGGCAGATTAAATTGGTATACTAATTTATTTCGATTAAATAGTATTTAAAAATGTTATAATGTTTTAACAGCTTATACTATGCGATAGGTGTATTAAGGGTCGCCGCATTGGCTTTAAAATGTATCACTCATACGTACTGTTGCCTTTGGCTTCCGATTTATGCGCAATTAATTAAAAATAAGATCAAGTTATTGGTTTTCGAATAAATTGTGCAATGTGCAATGAGCATCAAAATCAAACTAAATTAATTGTGAGTAAGGTTTCTAGATTACCTTATTTGATTCGATTTTGTTGTCAGTGTACGTATAATGCGTGGGAGAGAGCGAGAGAGCAGCGCGCAGCCTCCGCTGCAGAAGCAACGGGAATGGCAATGAAACGGGGCAATCAGCTGATGCGGCCATCGCTCTTTGTTTTGCTTTTGGCAGCATGGCGACAAATGGTGAGAGTATGAGAGAGTGAGAGGGCGGCAGCGACGCTGGCTGAGGCTGAGGCAGCGGCTAAGGCAGCGGCAGAGGCCAAAAAGGATTTCCGAGCTTGTGGCCTGCGTTCAGTTTGTAACGGTATTCCACGCGCCACGGACGCCCGAATAACGGAACGCGACCACCCGTACGTATACGTAATGCTCTCCGCTCAGTACGCGCTATTTCCGATTCACAGCAGCAGCATATGCTTTCGCAGCCCCTTTCCTCTTGCCTTTTTGTTATATCTGTCACCACGAGAACATTTTTGTGTGTGGCTTCATTTAATGCCTTTTGCCGCTTTCTATATGGTATTAGTGTATATTTCTGCCGTTATTGTCGTCGCCGTTTATCTCTCTTTGGCCCGATGAAATTTCTGTGTTTGTTTACGCTGACGCCTCCTCCACGTTACGGCCACTTGTGCCGCCCAAAACTGAATGGTCGTGAAGCACCACGGCGGCAGCATATCCTTAATGCCAAAACTTTTCAACCGCATCGCTTTTTATTCGCGCTGTTCAATTTAGTGTGTCGTTTGGAAAATTACTAACAAATTCCGAGCATTAAATGGGATCAGAAAACTAAAATCGACCGTCGGATGTGTAGCACTCAAAAACACATGCGAATGTGCATTCCCAAACGTTCCATATACATATAAGAAGTACATCTATCACTGGTACACTCTGCAAAATAATGTCTATAAATCTGGGCAAAAAAAACTTTTCTTATATATTATATATAAAAAATAATCAGTTTTAAAACCACAGTTAAAATAGGTATTTGTATCTTAAGGATTCTTTTGAGCCCGATATATAATTTTAAAAAACATGAAAAATCTTCTTTTACAGATTTATTTTAGATCTTAACCATCTAAATCGTGTTCAATTTTAATGCATATTTTTAGCACTGCACATACGTATTATAATTGAGTTTAAATCATTAAAATAAATAGTCGTCCATTTCAACTACACTCCTAAAGAAAAGTTAACCTTTTCGTTAAAATCTCTTTTAATATCTACAAAAATATATATAACTTTGTCATATATTGTAATATATTAAGTTTTTCAGCCCTTTTGAAATATTTATTAAAGACTCTGAGATTGAAATATTTTTTTCTGTGTAAAAATGAATTTTAAAATATGTACTCATGTCCGTCTAGAAAAAGACAACCAGGAGAAATGGTTAAATGGAAATAAAGAGCAAAAAAGAAATGCGCAAGGTGATGACAGCTAGCAGACGAAGAAAAAAGACATGGAGCCAATTAATAATAAATAAACGATTCCATTACAATTCGAAGGTGTTTGCCATATGAATTAGTTATGGTTTTTTCTCCACATGAGAAAACGCAATATTTGTACAATCTACTTATCCATTTGCTTGTATATTTACTAGGTATATGTCTCGACAAGTATTGTGTTAAGATATAAGTATGTATATTTCTGACCTATCTTTTGCCCATTTGGCGGGGGCAAACTTTTTAGGAAAATGAGGACTGACAAGTGCAGTGTTTTTAAAACAAACAAGAGAAAGCAATAACAACAGACTTTGCCGAGCAGACTGGGGAAAAATGTAAATAAAAAGCTGTGGGCTTCCAAAGTGTGCACAAATTTAAAAGAATTCCTTAGTGACTAAAATATATTATCTCATAAATCTACTGCCTTCCCGAAAATTAATTATATTAGGTTTTTTTTTAAACCATTACCGTGCGGTAAAAATTACATTGACGGTGTCTTGTTGTTCGAAGGTATTTTCAATTTATAATTCATAAATACGTGTAATTATAACAAACTTGTTTATTTAGTAAATTTCAGCTTTACATTATTTATGACGGACTTTAGTCAAACTATCAGCAAAGCCAACATTAATATACTTTATTTTCTATTTCAATTCAATTGGTTCTTACAGAACCAATCTTCTGTGTGTAAAATATAGCGCTCAATTTGTGCACCAATTAAAAGAAGAAAGTTTATTGTTACATACCCATATGCCTTGCCGGTTTAACTAATAGCAACCAACTAAAAATGAACGACATTTGCTGCCTTACAAAAATAACCCCGAAATATTGAGGTGTTCATAAAAACAGACGCACGGACACGTATGAATTGGATTGTGGATTGGATCCGAGTTGGAATTTATTAGGTCCTTTTCCTTGTGCCCGCTTCTCTTGTTCCATACTCATAATTTGGGCAACCTGCCCACTCGGATTTGGGCCAATTGATGGCGGACCGGCGGAAGATTAGCAAACGCCCACCTCCGAGAGGTTGTAAAAGTGAGAATGAGTTTTATGTGCCGCACAGGCAACAAATCTCGTTGACGTTTGGCATTTGATTTCCAGCCTTTTCCTTTCGCTCCCTGGGTTTCCTCGGGATTTTACTTACTTATATTCGTGATTTCGTTTATTTTTCCCACAGTTCCGTTGAGTTCTTTTTATTTTTTCGCACGAATTCCCGGCGGCTTCTTTTTGGGGCGACACGCCAGCAGCCCCAAAATTTCTCACCACTTCCGATTTAATTTTTTTTGTTATGGCTTTCCTTTTGCTTATCCCCAGTTTTCCACGGTGACCGAAACAGTGCCAAAGCAGCTCCTTGAAGTAGCCTTCTTTCTGGTGTTTTCCTAACACGAAATGCCAACTTCGAGTCATTTAAATTCGGTACAAAGTTGCGGTACGATTTTCCCCGCAACGTCGACTTGAATTAAGTTGATTGTGCAAAAGTTTCATTGCCAGTCCACGGGAATCAGACTGAAACCAAAAAGCAATTAACTTAAGGCTATTAACCAAGATGCTTTGGGACTATAAGTACGGATGTATCTGAATTAAGGACTTGTAAAAGGTAGATACGAAATTTAATATATCTAAAATATATAAAACCAAAATTTACGTAATTGATTAAATTTGTAAAAGTTTAAGCTCCCAATACAACTTCTCTTAAATAATTACTTTTTAAAGAGCTGTAACGTCAATAAGATGCTCTGAAAGAATAGCATTATTAGCAACAGTTCAATTTGTGTATCCAATCATGTAAAGAAACTTTAAGAATAACTTAATGAAATTAAAGTAAATATACCAGTTTTGTGTTAAGGTATTTAAAAGTACTGGAAGGAATTTCAACAAAATGCTTTCTAGCCAATTGGCCACATTAGCCGAGATAAACTTAAAATAGACAGAATATTAAGAGGCAGTCGGAAGGAATTTAAACCGAGTACCTTCTGACGAATTACCAACATTAAAAACGCCATACTTTCATTCGTTTATCCAAACAAGATAAGGAATTTAAGACTCTTAGCAAAAATCGATTAAATTAAGCAGTTTAGCTTCCATCCCCACGGAGAAAGGTGCCGTCATTTTCACGCCTGATTTGTTAACCAAAACGAAGGCGGTGGCGTTGGCATCAGGTCGGTATTTGGATACTTTTCCATGGCAATTAAGCCGCAGTGTTCGTTCACTTTTTTGAGCTACACTGGGATGAAAGTTCCAGCCAATACAGCTGAGGTTTGTGATTCATTAAATACGAGTAACAAGTACTGCCGTCCATTTGCACATAATCGCACGGAAGTCATAAACGTTTTCCTGTTCAAATTCGTTTTAGAGCTCTTAAAATGTTACCCTTACCTTAGCATCCTTTTCAAATTGTGTAGTCATCAAATATAAAAAGAAAATAAAAGCTTTCTTTCAAAACCTCACTCAACGAATCGCACATAAACGATGCAATCAAGCTTATACATATTTAAAAATACTCTTTCAGTACATTTTTAAACCATTCTCGTCCACCTACTCAAAATGGTATTTTTGTTATGCTTTAAGGCACTCTTTTTTGAGTGTACTTAGGGTGAATAAATCATGGTTCTCACAGCTGGCTGCAAATTTTAGTCCATATGGCTGTAGGTGTCGGCTCCCGACGCCCAATCTGCGTTAATTTCCAATTTGGTTTATAAATAAAAAGAACAAATCGGCCCTTAACGATGACGAACATCAGCATCCGAGCTGACATCATTTCAAAGTCGTTAAAACCTTCGCAGCCCTGTTAATGGGCCCTCCCAAAAGAGACTTCGGCAGTAAAACTGCAAAATTGAACGGAATACCTTTATGGGCAGTGCGTGATGCGTCCAAAGATCCTTGCAGGTCCTTGCCACATCCTGCCTGTTAACCTACCATTTACCAGTTACGTGCCCTCTACCAAATTTACTGAGGCAACTTAATTAAAAGCGTAGGCAAACTAAATTACCTGTCGAAGAATTTGAGTAAACAAATTTGATGACTGACCTTGTGAGTCCCGATAATTAGCTCAATTATTTCTGAGAGGAAAATTTAAGCATATTAGCAAGGCACTCTGAAAAATTAACACAAATTCATAGCACTCTTAATGTATTTATCGAGTAACTTTTAAAGTGAACTTTGCTAAATGTAATATATATTAATTCTGAACCAAATTGCTGGAAACATTTTCAATATCAGCTACCAAATAATTCATGTGCTAGATATAAAACATACTGGTTCGATTTCACGGAAAACCAAAAGTAGCTTTAAAGATTTAAGTTTCATAGTTTTTCAGTTTTTTAATCCAACCATAAAGGTGAAAGCTAAATAGGTTTATTCACAATAATATGTTTAATTCAATTGTAAGCCACATGCTAACTGCTGATTTTGTAACATATTTGACATTACTCACAAAATAAACATTGACCTTACAATAAGCCATATTATTGTTGATACTTAAACTTTTGTCCATTATTATGGCATAATTTAGTATGATTTATGTAAAATCACTGGCTTACTAGCATTTACATGCGGTTTCTTAGATAAGTACTTTGAAAGATTGCAAAACTCGATGTGATTACTGGTGTGTAAAATTGTAACATACAATTTATTTTATCACATATTCGGTAAATCAAAAATAAATTCCCTTTTTTTGATCACAAAGCAAAATAGCTTATCTTCGCCCTCAATCGTTTGGGATTCCCCCCACCAATATTGGGTATTAAAGGAAGTGTTGTTTACCCATACATTTATGCACCGCCTCCGACTTGAAACATTATCTTCAGTAAATACTAACTTAATTGCTGCTGGCCTCCCACGAGCGATGTTTGCGGAACTGAAATGCGGGCAAATTTGCTGATTGTCACACAGGCTGACGTGCAATTTATCGTAATTGAGTCAGGCCAACAATCATTTTTTGATCGCTCCACACACGCACTTGGGAAAATGCTGGAAAATGGGTGGTCACGGGATAGTCGCCATGAGTTGGCAGGACCCATTACATTATAGCCAGTGTCCGTTTTCTGTCGGCCAACTTCTGTTGGTTCGCCTTGTGCTTTTGCCGTGGGATTAATGGACAAATAACGCATTCCCGTCTGCAAATGTGCTGGTGGATAATCTCATTATCTGGCTGTCTTGACCCAGGACACCCGCACATCGGCCGGCAGCCCGGAAACCGGAAATTGGCCACTAGGCTGTGGTAATTGAAATAAATAGACTTGGCCCATGGGCCAAGAATTCTCGGAATCGATCAAGTCGGCCTAAAACCTATTTTGTCACTGCCAACTGCATCAATTGGCTTATATTTTGTGGTTCTCTTAATTTGCCATTTTACTTAGGTAAGAAGCAGCAGAGAATATTTCTGATTTTTTAAGTCAAAGTTTGCAATGCCATTGTTGTCAAAGTTTGAAAAATTTGGGAAATTCAAAGGGGAAGAGTATGGGTAATTGGCCTTTTTAAAATTAGGCAACCAATTTGAAGAAATTTATAAATTGATTTTACAATTTGTTTCATTATTAGCCGTTTTAATAAAATGCATAATTTGTATGCCAACATTATAAATCAGAATGTTGAATTGTAAATCTGAATTATGCATAATATACAGAGACATTTTAACTAACTTTTTTTAGTCATCAATAAGTGTCTGGATTGGCTTAAATTGCTTATTTGCCATCTTATTAAAGTACAACTTTTTTGACTAATCGAAATAACTAAGCGAAAATATTATTTTATGATGATGCCTTATACGAGAATATTGGACTTAGTATTTGTGTCTAATATGTCCAGCCAACATCCGAAATATATTTATTGTCTCTGGCCTTTAAAATATTTCCAGCCTGCGCCAACAAATGATTTATTATTTTGGGTCTTAGCCATATTCAATTTCACAGTTCCACAAAGTGACCCAAAATCCTTAAAGAATTTAAACCATTTAAGCTATAAGTCATTTTCACTTTAGACAAATTACATTTCGATAAAAGCCTCTCGCCTGGTTTTCCCGCTACATTTACATTTTTTCCTAACGAAATTTTCCCGCGGAAAGTGCCATTGGGGCAAAGTGCAAAAAGCACAGCCAATGTCTGCGTTGGGTGTATTGGCCCTTCTCTGTATTTTATTCCAAAAAACATTTCACCTGAGGAGCCAATTTCTTTGTCGTCCGGGCGGGAGTAAAGTGTTTTCCTAAGTTCCTCAATCTTCGGCTACAGAATGTAATAATTGAAATTTGCATGAGTATTACAGTTCAAAGAGACGATGTTAAGGCCTTGCAATCATGGCCATCAATTCAAAAGAAATTGTAGTCACGTCGTTAAAGTTAAATATTCTTATCTATAACAGCAAATAAAAATAAACAAAGTTTTTCCATTCGACAAATGGCATTAGTTTGAGAAAATGAAACTTGCTGACAACAAATTAATTCCACTGCCGAAAATTCGGAGACAAAGCACAAAATATGTGCTTTGGCATCAGCAAAACATAACTGGAAATATTATTTTATATAATTAGTTTTATTTTAGAAAACCATTAAATTAATTATTTTAACCTGGATTAGTATATGGACAAGTTCTAAGAAAGGTTTTTACACTATAAATCATGTAAATGGCAAGATACACTTGGAAAGCCTAAGGACAAATATATATTTAATGTTTTATATACGAAATGCGAAGTATTTTAATTTCATTTAATTCTTGTAAGACAACGTTTTTATTAGAAAATAAAATTTAATTTACTGAAACGTTATATTTCGCAAGTGAATTACTTTTTTTGCCTGCATAAGCGCTTAAGGGAAATTGTTGACATCTGCAAAGCTTCACCGGAAAACATTGCCTTTCTGGCAAATAAATTCCTGGCTATTCCATTTGGCACTATGTTTCCAGCGATTAATCAATAGCACCTTTCGCGCTGCCTTTATATTTAGGACTCCCCCATCCAAGGGGTCCTTGGTCCTTGGTCCTTGTGCCGCTACAGGTTAGCATTATAATTTCACACTTGGTGGATCTGCCTGCCATTGGAGTGGGATGTGGGACGTAGGAGCTGTCTGACCGTGTGGCTTTATGGCTCAATTGGTGAAAATTGGTTTGTTTGTCTGCAGCCACTCAAGGGAGCTCTGGCTTCATAGAAGCTGACAGGCACAAAGGACAAAGGACCTCGGGCTCTCGGGCACCCGGCCACAACCCGTTCTCGTGCATAGAGCATTCCTATATACATAACTATACTATAGTGGTCGCGTATCGGTTGAGCGGTTCTTTCATAGCAAAACCACAGCTCCGCAGAAAGGATACACAAATGCTGGACATGCTGGAGGTGGGGGCGATTCGTCCTGACCAGAAAAGCTATTCTTCGCCTGCAGCAGTCAATTGATTCCATACATTATATCAAGGCTTCTTTACATATGTTTTGTCTGCCTTTTACAAGTAATCACCTATGCATGCATAACATTTCATGGTCTTGCTTTGGGCGAAATAGGTCGGGCATAATTTGCATATTGTTTGGGTAACACAAAAAATATAAACTTTATTTTAGGCAAAAATTTTTGAGATATAATAATGTTAAATTTTCATCTTTTTCGGAACCTCTTTAATTTATTTCGTAACTATTAAGTCTATTGCCAGATGTGACTTGTGATTCGAGTCATGTAAACGTAATTAAGGAAATTTACATTTGCTATTACATTGGCCATTAACTAAGAATTGCTCATGTAATTATAGCCTAAGTATAAGCCACAATCAAGTTGGTCACAAAATAGCCAAAACAAACAATAATTATAATCAGGTGTTGGTGTACCACGTCATCGTGGTTGAGTAAGCAATAATGAATGTGCAGGGTTTTTGGCTTTCCACGATAAGCTTAATTCCAAGTTACATTTGCTTTCATTTGATATGTGCAGCTAATCTACAGGATTAGCCATTCTTTCCCTGTGACTAAAATTCGACAATATTTAAATCACTTTCGCCAAATGTTTCTTTATAATTTACTTTTGCAGTTGAGAGAGCAATTCAAGACGCGGATTTTGCACAATGGAAAAATGAGGAGCGGCGCAATCAGCAACAGCGAAATGAATAAATTACGCGAAAATAAAATCAATTTGCATTAAGAGCTGGAGACGAGCGACTAGCCAGCGTCAGACGTCAGACTTCTCGGACCCCTCAAGACCCCTCGAGAGCCCCTCGAGAGCCCCTATACCATCTCTCATCCAGCAACTGTCAGCCATTTGAAGGACGAACAAGGCGCTGGCCCATGAGCTGGCTGGCGGGCAAATTATATTACCTTGTCAGGCGAGTGACATAAGGCGGACCTCTTGGCCCCAAGACCCCGGACCCGCACCCGAACCCAAGTCCAAACCCAAGCCCACACCCACACCCTCACCCAAACCCATGTGTGGATCCCAGTGAGGAGGCAGGTGAAGAAAGGAGGAGGAGGAGGCACTGGGGTCACGTCTTGGGTTACTAAGTCCACCGGAATGCTACGCAGCTGCGTGTGCCTGCGCACCGACGATGACGGGAAGCGGCGCAGCTCCTCCGTGGAAGACGCCTCCTCGTGCCGCTCGTCGGAAATAGAGCGCGTGGGCGCCAGCATGCAGACGCTGGGCCCCAACGGCCAGCCGCAGTCATCCGCCGCGCAGACGAGCACCAGGGCCTCCAGTCTGCTGCAGCTCTTCCAGCGGCGAGGTTGGTGCAAGCACTTCCGCAAACCGCTCCGGGGCATGAGCGCCTCGCGGGCCGAAAAGAGTGAGTACCGATGTCCCTTACAGGGCGGATTACCTTAACTTAGAGCACTCGAAGAAGGTAAATAGTGAGAGATCATAAGAGGGTATACGAAACCAGAATGAAATATTTTCACCTTAATTGCAAAAGTGTGTTCAATCCTATAACGAAGATATTGTATTAAGAACCGATGTCCCTTACAGGGCGGATTACCTTAACTTAGAGCACTCGAAGAAGGTGAATAGTGAGAGATTATAAGAGGGTATACGAAACCAGAATTTAATAATTTCTCGTTAATTCCAAAAGTGTTTTAAATCCTATAGTAATGCTATATATTTATAAGAACCGATGTCCCCGACAGGACGGATAATCTTTACTCAAAGCACTCGAAGAAAGTGGACAGTGAAAGATCAGAAGAAGAATACACCAATCACTAGCTAATTGCGGAAGTGGTTTCAATCCTATTATGACAATATATTTTTGATCAGCAAGAACTTCTATACTGGATCTTTAAAATCTGTTCCAATTTTCAACTGCATAAAACGCAGATTTTTTAAAAAATCGTAGACTGATAAGAAGGGTATCGAACCTTCAAAACATATATCAACAAAGATCTTGATGTGAATAAGACATCTATGAGATCAAAAAAGATTATTCTGTTTTAAAATAAATTGGTCGAAAACGAAAACATAACGATAAACATATAGTTATTTATACATTTTTTAAAGAACTAATACTATAGTTTTTCAAGATCACTTTTTTTTTTAGCAATTTTTACCGAATGATAAAAACTTAACTTTTCTTAGAATTTAAATCTTGTCCAGTAGCGCAAAAAAGTATGCTTTCCTTTAAGAGTTGGAGATCGATAATAAGTAAATATATGTCACACATCTAAAACACTTGATTTTACTTTGTGTACTTTTACCGGTATTAGTTAATGGGGATTTGTGCGAAACGGGCAATGAAACCTACAATTGCTACTAACCTAATCCAGTTACTAGGGCTCTGGGTTTCACATAGCAAAAGCTGCCTATGGCGAATACCCCTTTTCTGTAAATACCCAAACAGAAAAGTCTTCTAAATAGCCAGGTCTATTCTAGAATAATATTCAAAGGGCATTATTATCTTAGGACTACAAACTTTGTCCACACACAGGTTTTTTATACTAATCTGCTGATGAGTCTTTAAGTTCTAGGTCTTCTTGAGTGACATTAAATAGGCCAAAAATACATAAACAAATCACCCAGGATATATTTTAAAGTAATATGTTAGCCACAGAATGAAAAACTGTTGCCAAAATCAGATTATTGTTCAGAGTTTCCATACAAATATCTTCCAACTAATATTTAAAAAATTGAAAAAACCCTTTTTAATAAATTATACAATAGTTTTGAGGCAACTCACACTGAAATAACTTCCGACGGTTCCCGTTTGAATATCTTCGGCACCCTTAGAATCTTTACCCTGGGAAACATTTAAAAAAAAGTTTCACTTTTCTAAAATATTATTTTTTATTAATTTCCTCTCCATAGAACTGGAAGTGCATTCTATCAGTAAATTAAAGTAAATTACTTTAATTGCTGTCAAATTTCCCTAAATTTGATCATGTACTTGGACAGTTGACACATTCAATTACCATGTGTCCCGAATGCATAATAAGTGGGTTAAGCAAAGCGCAACTTTATTACTATGTCAGCTATTTGAGTTTGTGGCAGAAGTTGGGTTTCTTGTAGTGGGCTACTAAGTAAAGACTTTTGGGGACCTTGTACTGCAGTTGCATTGGCCCTTCCCCGGCTTTTTGAATACTTAGCTCCTTTGTTAGTGTTTGTGTTCCGGCGCTTGCGCTAACTTTTATTTATTGTTCCAATTTGCCATACAAACGGTGCAGGTTGAGGTGGATCTAAACAGCCAGAGACACGATATAAGCAAAGGAAAGAGCAAACAAAAAGAAACCTCAAGCAGCCGCCTTGGCTGGACAGCTGGCTATTAGTGAAAACCCGACTGCCAACCAACTTATATAGGGTGTATACATAAACATATAGTAGACCCAGCCAGTCACGCAGGCAGAAATTAACCCACAAGCACGCGGACGTGGACGCAAATGGGAAAAGGGAAAGGTTGCCACCACCCCAGACCAATGTTTCGGTAATTGGGGAAAGCACAGTGGGAAGGCTCTGACAAAGTTGCTGGCAAATACAGGACATAGGATGTTTCGGGAGTCATGTCCTTGTTACGAAAGATAGTACATTTAATGGCTACATTACCTCAGTTGTCCATAATCTTTCGTAACAAGGACATACGACATAGCAAGCAAACGGCAGTACTAATAATGATAGTGATAATCTGACAAAAATTCAAACGAATTTTCCAAAGAAAAATATCAAAACGACTGCAAGAAATGCCATTCATTTCATTCGTCTTAGTTTTTTACAGTAAATGAATTACAGGAATCTCTTTCCAGATTGAAATTCTGATCAAAATATTGTAGTTTTTCGACCTTTTTTTGAATGACGATAAGATTAACAAGAAAGGAAAGCTAACTTCGGGCGGAGCCGAAGTTGATATACCCTTGCTGAATACTCTGTAAATTATATTCTCCAAAATTATTCATATGATGCATTTTTAATACTCATAAAAAATCCCAACTTCCTAACTTTAAAAACACCAAAGTTATGGCATTTCCAATCGTTCAGTTATATGGCAGCTATAGGATATAGTCGGCCGATCTTTATGAAATTTGATAGGTCGGATTGATTGGCTAAAAATAAAACCCATAGAAAATTCCAACTTCCTAACTTAACAAACACCAAAGTTATGGCATTTCCGATCGTTCAGTTATATGGCAGCTATAAGATATAGTCGGCCGATTCTCATGAAATTCGGTAGGTCAGATTGATTGGCCAAAAATAAAACCTATAGAAAATCTCAACTTCCTAACTTTACAAACACCAAAGTTATGGCATTTCCGATCGTTCAGTTATATGACAGCTATAGGATATAGTCGTCCGATCCCGGCCGTTCCGACTTATATACTGCGTGCAAAGGAAAGAAGGGTGTGTGCAAAGTTTCAATTCGATAGCTTTAAAACTGAGAGACTAGTTCGCGTAGAAACAGACAGACGGACAGACAGACGGACAGACGGACAGACGGACAGACGGACGGACGGACAGACGGACAGACGGACAGACGGACATGGCTATATCAACTCAGGAGGTGATCCTGATCAAGAATATATATACTTTATAGGGTCGGAGATGCCTCCTTCACTAAGTTGCACACTTTTGACCAAAATTATAATACCCTCTGCAAGGGTATAAAAATGTATTTAACTGAAAAATGCAATTTTGCAGTTTAAGACTTTAAGCTTGCTACAAATATGAAAATAATGTCTATAATAATTAAATTGTGATAATTTTGTATACACTTTTTTATTTGAAATCCTCTAAATTTAGCCAATTTTACCATTCAAAAGTGCTGGCAAAATCATCAATTTGGCCCATTGTGTGAGTGGAAAAAGTTGGAAAAGAACGTTTAAGCACAGAAAACCGAATGCAGGCCGTGGGTATCGCGTTCGAAATGAGCAGTTTTAGGTTCCAGTTTCAGTCGGGCGTCTATCTAGTTTCAAGTGTGTGCGGACAAATGTAAAATGTCAGACAAAACAGCTCGTTGTCGACAGTCTTGTTTCGTTTAAGTTTAAGTTTCGGTTGAAGTTGTCTATAAATGCACATTTAAAATATACTCTGCAGAAATTGGACTTAAACTCATTTCTTTATGCTTCTTCATAGTGCAATTTCACCATCGTTCGTTCTATTTAAATAAATCGTTTGATAAATTCAATAAAATGTGTTGCACGTAAAAACTAATAATTTTATTGTAAATTTGATGTGACTAAAGTCCCGTGAAAATGGAATAGCAAAGATAATTGAATCAAAGGACTATTAATGGCTAGTCAATATTTTTTGGACAAGCTTAAATAGATGTTCGGCTTTTAAATTTTCCCAAAGAACGCATTACCTTTTTGTCTTTTTATATTTTGAGTGATTTAATTTAAAGTTTTTGAAAAATAATTAAAGAAAATTATTTCCAAGTGCAAAATCATAATTGAATAACTTTAATTTTACAAAGTTAAATTGAAAATCTTAATCTAAAATACTCGAATATTCATCGTCCACCCGTTTCAGTTCGGTATTTCTGTGAACCCCAATTATATAATATTAACGGCCGGATAGCAGTTTTCAGCGGATGTCGAAGCGTTAATAAAAGCCCCGTCTTATGGGTTGCATAAATTTGAAAAAGAATAGAGCGCAGCCTTCGCCACCAGACCTAGAGACAAGTGTGTAAAGACTTTAAGCGGCACAAAAAATAATTATAGCTGCGTAAATGTTAATCAGTTGTTAGCCCGAAAAACCCCAATCAGCCCCATCCCTTGCCACAGTCTTTGACGTTTTCAGCATTGTGTTAATAGCAGACGAATAAATTTGCATCAAAATGGATGAGAACGGCAAGTACTTTGTGGGAGTAATCATTTCGAGTCCCCTGGTCCCCCGCCCCCCTGAATCCTGCCCGACTAATAATCCCAGATTAAAACGAGTATTTCGCTAAGTGTACTGTGCTGTACTGAGAGTAATAAGCGACCGAGGCGAAAATGTCAGAGGGGAAAATTGGCAGCCAAAACAGCTAGTGGCTCGATTGACCACAACAAAGTCTCGAAATGTTGCATATTACTCGTCCCATGCAGGTCGACCTCGATGTTTTTAGACCCCCGTAAAATTCTTTATTGGTCCCCGAGTAGAGTCTGAACATGTTTTTTGAATATTTTGCAGCCATCCGAGCAGCAATATTCATCCAGAAATGGTATCGCAGGCATCAGGCCCGTCGCGAAATGCAGAGGCGTTGCAACTGGCAGATCTTCCAGAACCTGGAGTACGCCAGCGAACAGGACCAGGCTGAGGTGAGTGGGGCAGTCTATGGCTATTCACTTATATTTATAGGCGAAGGCGCCGCAGAAAGCTTAAGAGCCCCCCAAAGCCACAAGAACCCTCGACGACGTCAGGCGAGTGCATTTGTAGAGTTTCAAAAGTCGATAGCAATCAACTCAGCCGTGAAACTTTGTCGCAAGTGCAGCCACGTCGAAGCATTGTTGACCCACTCTGTGCTAATTTACTTTCATTCCCTCTGTTCTGCCACAGCTATACAAATTCTTCAATGACCTCATTAAGCACATGCCCCAGGCTGCGGGCAGGAAGAACCAGTACCAAGGATCGGCTCACGGTGAGTTTTGCTTGATCCCAAAGAATTTGAAAGAGTTTTACATTGTCTTACATAATTGAGAATAAACAGTTTTGAGTATTGTGCTCTTGTTTTAAAATAATTTTACTAGCGATTTTATTTTTTTGCTTTTAGACTGTAAAATTTAATTGTTTTAAGTGCAAACATGCGTAGTTTTATTTATAGACTTGTATTGCATACATAAACTATATATAGGTATATACGTGTCATTTTCCTCAGTCTATTTACATTGTTTGACTTTATTAATTTTTGTATAAGCAATTAAATAACTTCTTTTGGTAATTATTAATTTATCAGTGACACAGATTTCGTTTAGTATGACTTTATTGGGGTGAATAACTTAATTTCTTGTTTTCAGTTTCCGTTTTGGAAGAAAAGGACGACCTCGTTGAAGAGTTTGGGGAAATTGTGAATGCCAAAATTGAGTTGCCAATACGAAAAAACCATATCGATCTATTGATTGACGTCTTCCGCAAGAAAAGGGTGAGAATTGTATGTTGGATTCAACTTTTACAATACTAAATTCCGTAATTTATAGGGTAACCGATTGCATCCAAAATATGTGGCGCTAATTCTACGTGAGGCAGCCAAATCCTTAAAGCAGCTTCCCAATATTTCCCCGGTGTCCACGGCTGTTTCCCAACAGGTTACGGTCTGTGGTGATCTTCACGGAAAACTGGACGATCTTCTTGTGGTGCTACATAAGGTAGGGATTGCTCTTAAAGTTAGTTTATGATTAACAATAATTAATAAATTATATCTAACAGAACGGTCTTCCCTCATCTTCCAATCCTTACGTGTTCAATGGCGACTTTGTGGACAGGGGCAAGCGGGGCTTGGAGGTCCTGCTGCTGCTGCTCTCCCTCTACTTGGCTTTTCCCCAGGCAGTTTTCCTCAATCGGGGCAACCACGAAGACAGCGTCATGAATGCCCGCTATGGATTCATTCGGGAGGTTGAAAGCAAGTACCCTGTAAGTAAATGAGCTTTAAAGAGGCTTAGCCGCCTCTACACAGAGCAAAACGATACCAAAACTGAGCATCCATTTGTGCCTGACCGAAAATAACTATTTAATATTTTCAAATATCGTCAAAAATTATTGTTAGTTTATTAAAATAATTATCATTAAAAAGTCTGAATAATCAAGTGATATTTAATTAAATCAAAACTTAGTTAGTTTTTTGAAATTTTTTTATAAGTTTTCATAAAAACTATTTTATATTTTTTAAATACAATATATCTTAAATATTATAGTTCTAAAATTGTATTATTTTTGATAAATAAGACTTATTGTTTCTGTGTATCTCACGTTTAGCGAAATCATAAGCGCATTTTGGCCTTCATCGACGAGGTCTACCGATGGCTTCCCCTTGGCTCCGTTCTCAATAGTCGAGTGCTAATCGTCCATGGAGGTTTCTCGGATAGCACAAGTCTGGATCTTATCAAAAGTATTGACAGGGGCAAGGTAATTTGTGCAACCCATAAATATGCATTCAGTTTTTAACATTTCCTTTCACCCACTTGCAGTATGTGTCTATTCTGCGGCCTCCACTTACGGATGGCGAACCACTAGATAAAACCGAGTGGCAGCAGGTAATACGGGATAACACCTTAAATAGGTACATATTTCTAACAAGTGATACTTTAGATCTTCGACATTATGTGGAGCGATCCGCAGGCCACGATGGGTTGTGTTCCAAACACTTTGCGAGGAGCTGGTGTTTGGTTTGGACCAGACGTAACTGACAACTTCCTCCAGAAACATCGACTCAGTTACGTCATTCGGTCCCACGAATGCAAGCCCAATGGTCATGAGTTTATGCATGACAATAAGGTGAATATATGTATTACAAAATATGTCTTTTACTTGATTTTTCTTTTATACTGGGGGCACATGACCAGAATATTTAAGTAAATTTGCACAGTTTAGTACGATTTAGTATACATAAGTATCTTAATTTCTCTCATTAAGCTGAGGTTGTCGTGCCCTCTTAAATTACCCTTACCACTTACTTTGACTTGTCAGCCATGCAATTGCAATTTACATGCATAGTGAATTAGTGGCTAATTGGAATATTGCGGTTGAATAATAATTATTAAGTGTATTGATTATATTTGTTAATCTAGACAGGTGACATGTGCCAGCTTAGTGAATTTTGTAGTATTGCCCATTAATTAAATGGGGATGCTAATGTGTTTGTTAAAAAAAATAATTTGCAATAATTTGTTAGGTGAGAAGAAAAATTATTAAGGTAATTTATAGTTTGAGCAGAATCCCATTGCAGACATTGATTAGAAAAAAATATATAATTGCATGTTTTTTATTTATAAAATGAATAACACTGGCTTACAAAACTAAATGTAATCCATACACGCTTTATATATTTGTTAATCTAGACAGGGGACATGTGCTAATTTAACAATAAATAGGTGAAAAAGAACACTACTAAACTAAGTCTACAGGTTAATCCATACATGCTATAAACATTATCATAAGGGAAAATATGCATTTTCAGTTGTTACACGTGTATTTTTTATCCAGCAATTACAGCCTTGTCGAGTTCTACAATCTATATTAAAGAACAAATATCTACAGGGTGTATAAAAAATTAAAGAAGTTAATTTACTCTTTAAAAAAAATTGTACCATAATGTTTTCAATCAGGGAGTTTAAACTATCATCTCTGAAGTAAATTGTCGTAAATTGTGTAAGGCAATATAATAAATATCATATATTATTTATTTATTCATTTATTTATTTATTTATTTATTTATTTATTTCTTTATTTATTTATTTATTTATTTATTTATTTATTTATTTATTTATTTATTTATTTATTTATTTATTTATTTATTTATTTATTTATTTATTTATTTATTTATTTATTTATTTATTTATTTATTTATTTATTTATTCATTTATTTATAATAAACATTTTTTAACAACCCAAACTGTGTCCTAATTCTGCTCCTACCACTCGCAGATAATCACAATTTTCTCGGCGTCGAACTATTATGCCATTGGATCCAACAAGGGCGCCTACATCCGCCTGAACAACCAGCTGATGCCCCATTTCGTGCAGTACATATCGGCGGCGTCTCAAACGAAGCGACTGTCCTTCAAACAACGCATGGGCATTGTGGAGAGTTCGGCACTCAAGGAACTGGCGGTGCGAATGCGGGATCACCGTGACGAACTGGAGGACGAGTTCAGGAGGTGCGATCCCAAGGACAGTGGCTATATATCCATTTCGAATTGGTGCCTGGTTATGGAGAAGGTCACAAAGTTAGGACTGCCCTGGCGACTGCTTCGCGACAAACTAGCCCCGGGAACAGATAGCCAGAAAGTTAATTACAACAGGACACTGGATCTGTTAGACACGGATGTAATTGTGAGTAGTCAACTGGTTCTATTTTCACAAATCTACACTGCTGGCAAATACCTAGATACTTTTACCTAAGTGTGTACCTTAACTGTGTAAACACACTAAATGTGTAAACACATATTTTACATTATACATTATGTATATATACATTATTTAATTTAATTTATTTTTGTTTTGAATATAATCATTTACATTTTATTTTCTGTATCTTGGAGATAAGCTTATTCCCCCACATATGCACTTAATATTTACATATGACTCCTTCCAAATGTTTTTCATTAATTAGACATAATTGCCAATTCGTATAGAAATAGCAAAACTAATAAAATAAAATCCTAATCTTTCAATGCTCAATGATTGGAAATAGCTCAATCGATTTCAACCATATTTTTATATACTTGGCCAATTATCTATCCTACAACTTTTCCGCCATGAAAACATTGTAATTTCTAAAAAGTTTCGCTTAAATTAAAGTATAATCTAATTGTTTTCCATTATTAATTTAGCTCGAAGCTGAGGCCGATGGCATGTCGGTAATGGACGCTTTATATGCCAACAAAGCCAGCTTAGTGGCCATTTTTAATATAATTGATGCCGATAATTCTGGTAAGTTTGTAGGTAAATGCAACCCCTTGGATACCAATTTAAAAATATGACATATTCTAGGTGAAATAACCTTAGATGAGTTCGAAACTGCTATTGATTTGCTGGTGGCACATATGCCAGGTGCCTATTCGAAGGCAGAGATGCTGGAGAAGTGCCGAATGATGGACCTGAATGGAGATGGCAAAGTGGATCTGAACGAATTCCTGGAGGCATTCCGGTTGAGTGATCTGCACCGGAAAGAGCAGCAGGACGAGAACATAAGGAGGCGCTCAACTGGACGATCGGCCATAGCCAAAACCGCTTCAGATCCCGTGGCCTTGTTGGCTGATAAGATCTCAAAGAATACGCTGGTTGTGGAGCACGACATCGATCCCACGGATTGCGAGGCCAAGGTTATTGATCCTAAGAAGTCATAAGCCAGATCCAAAAGTCAATGATCCGCAAGGCACTAACACAATTGTAGTTTCGAAAAAGTTTTGGTTCACATAAAGCATTTATATCACCTTTTTTTTTGTTTAACTCTTCAATTAAATATATAGAATGTATTGCATCTGTTAACAGTTTAGTGAAGTAATTTACTCGGAAAAGATCAAGTTGAAATTACCAAATATTTTAACATATTAAGAGGCAAAAAAGATTTATATTGAGATCTCTGCGAAAGCAAAAGTACTGACTGGCAAAGTCACTACATTTTTTGCAAGTCTAACGGCCATTCCCTTACGCTTTTGATTTAAAAGATATATGATTAAAATAACCTGTTATGCACTCCTCTGTAAGCTATATTCAAGTTGTATTAATAAAGTAATTAAAAACGTTATAAAATACTAGAAACATATATAGTAAAAATAAAGATTGTTATCTCGAAGTAATACAACCAGATGTCAGGCGCTTTATATTAAAACAAACAACAAACATATTAATTGTTTATTTAACTAACAAAGTTTCAGCCCAAGGGATCAACATTAAAATTTATATATTACTACGGCTAGCTCTAAATTTTTTTAAAAAATTACATGTAAAGTAAAAGACATTCTTGAACCACTTATATCTAAAATCTCATCTCTGTTCTTATAATGTATTCTATGGCTTTAAATTGATATTAATCAAAATTAAACGAGTATAAATCTCGGATTAAAATCTAAATGAATAGAATGCTTTCGAACCACTCTGCGTTTTATAAACTCTACTTAGTAAGTAAGCATTGAAAAGAAATGCTATAAATTATATAAAATACATACCTCACATGGACCATGCTTTGGCACAAGTATTTAATTGCAATTCTGAAAGTGCTTGAAAAATTAACTTCATAATTTGCAGTTGTTAAAATAATGAAGTTTAATGCCTGTTATTTTTACCTATTGTACCTATAGTACAATAAAAGTAATTATATTAAACAAATTTAACCTCAAAGAACGCAATAACAAACTTTTATATTACCAACACTTTGTATCCGTTAATAAAAAAAGTTACCTTAGATTAAGTCGTTTGTGGGAGATTGGTAGTTGCTCCTTATCTACTTAAGTAATAATGTATTCACATAATTGTAATCGAGTACCTTTGACAAACTTAAACAAAAACGCTTCTCAACAGGCACTACAGGACCAAAAAATTTAGCCAATCGCTGGCATTCTAATAATGAAATACTATGCTAGTTATCAATTAACATTTTACCTATGTATATCTACTATAAGCATGCACCTGCCCCCTATTTGTATTTTGATCCACATTTCATCGATAGACAAACTATTTTCCTGAAACTTTATTAATAAAAACGTTGAAATAATATACAATCTACATTATTTCTTGTTATTTCAGTTGTACTTTATTTTAACTGGTAAGTTAAAACAAATTTTTGCTGGCAGGGCATCTTAATCTGAATTCTTCGAATCTTATAGTTTCCGAAATTTCGACGTTCATATGGACAAACTTCGACTTTGGTGTAGATCTGAAGAATAATATATATACTTATAATATTATTTAAGTCCTAATCCCTGTTATTAGTAGCATTTTTTAAGCACAATTAATTAAATACTAAATTTATAAGTGTGCGAAAATATCAGCTTCACCAATACCGTATTCTTTCAAAAAGTTGTGTGTCCGTTTATTCATTTTTTCCTTGCTCTCAGAACTTAACTCATCCTTGTAAGAGCCAACAATCCCAAAAATAGTGATACGTGGAAACCACAACATCCATCGGATTGGTTTTTTGGCCTTGCGACCATATTTCTTTGGGCAACAGCTGCGACGGCAAATGGGATTTAATCAATCGGTGATTTCATTTAATTTTATCGCACATTCCTATAGAATCCAAAGTCGAAGGATTAGGTGCAGACTCTCTACAAAATTGATTAGTGTGCAAATAGTATTTTAATCATATACAAATTAATGTAGTGTAGGAAACTGGGTTAAATTCAATTAATGGTACAACTATAAGTAAACATTTACTCAAGGATTCGCATAGTTTTTTTTAATATGTTACCGTTCAATAATACATAAGTTGTAATTTCAATTTTAATATTAGCATCTTTTTAGATGTTATAGTAAATTAATTTTTTAATTTATTTTGGTAAATTTTTTTATTTTCCTAAATTTAAAATGTGTTACTCTACTTCGTTTCATTAAATGACTGTTTCGAGCTCCTTCAAAATTCATTTGATTCAGTAGAATCCAAGACAACTCCTGCATCCACGTCGTACCGGACTTCATAAATGTCACCACGAAGACATCACTGTTTCGAGTTTCAAAATCATGGATTCGCTTCGCAAACTCTTCTGTAAATAGTTCGGGAAGTGTACACCAGCGATTACTCCAATCCTGTTTTAAGGGCACCCACTCAGGACCTAATCCATGAAGTCCTTTGCACAGCATTTTTGGCGTTATTGCCGAGGATTCTATTAATTTGGAGGAGTACATGAGGTCTGTAACAGGTCTTCTCTAAAAATGAAAAAGAATCGTGTTAGAAACTTCATATTTTAACATTACAACGATGGTCGTTAGATAGATTGGCAAATATTTCACTTCTAAAAGTATAAACGGATTATCAAAACAGAATTATACTTAGCAAGCCTATGCAGATAATATCACTTTCTCATTAAAGTCCTCAATATCGTAAACAAACTAGTATAAATATAAAAAAAAAACTTTTTAGACCACGAGTATTTTAAAAACCAAATTGCCTGTTTATGGAGAGATCACCTTATCCACTTTCTATAAATCCAAATGCCAAATATCTCTCCAACTCAATATCGAATGTTCTGTACTGCATTCATAAATTTGATCCAATCACGCTTGCTTGGCCGACCTGCCAAAAGAAAAGAAATGTCTGGAGTGGAATAAAGCGCCAACCGCCTTCGGAAGTTCCCTTATCCGGGACTGCATCCTGTGTGATCCCAAAAAGAAGATGTTCCATTACAAGAGGCACTGCTAGAGCCGAAAAGAAAAATACCTTTTACCAAATTCTTCAAGCCAGTCAAGATCAGTCGGATTATGAAGAGTGTTGCAGATATACGCGTAAAAAAAAGGATGCTCAATTTGAAAGTAATTTTAAAGACGACAGCATTTACGATGACATATATGACATAGTAAGAACACACGTTAAATACAAAAAGGATCCATCCGCCACTGATAGCAGTAAATACTTGGAGAACTCGAAAACTAATTCGAAGCCAAAATCATCTATAACCGACTATCCAGTTATAGAGATCTATAAACTTCGAGAGAGAACAAATAAGCCTTTAAATTCCACAAACCCACTTGACTCCACTAACTATGGCAAATCAAGATCGAAAAGATCCAAACATCAAGGATCTAAAAACGGAAGAGAAAATGCAATAAAAGAAACACAGAGGTCATCATCTAAGTTAAGAAGCAAATCCCCCTTCAAAAATAAATCTAAAGGCCGAAAGGGTATCCCTCAGACAAGTATAGAACAAGAAAAATCTAAAGAAAGTTCCGAGTTTAAGTCTAATTTTCCCACCACTCAGCATCCAGTTACAGATAAAGAAGGTATTCCAATGACATCAATGGATCCCGGTGAGGAGGAAGAAATTCCCATAGAAGATGCCAATGATCAAAGGAGTTCTAAAAGGACTAGTAGTGTGCAGAGAAATTCAAAAGACGTGAATGGCAGGAGATCATCAAAAAGGCGTTCTCCCAGGTTAAGGTCATTCGCGGCCGAAAATCCTTTTGAAATACTTATTGTTCGAGCAAGAAATGCAAAAGGAAAAGCAAGTCAACCGTTTGTTGGCAATCGCCATGTAAAGGAGGTCTATAAGATTAAAGAAATTACCAGCAAGAACAAAATAGAGGAAGAAAACACCATAAAGGAAATGGACAGAACCAATTCTTACATTCGAGGAAGATCAAATTGGACAAGTTATCAGCAGGGGCCAACAAGCAGAATTGTTGAAGAAGAATCGGTCGAGATAGCTCCTAAAATGATATCAAAGTCCCCGATTGCAAAAGATCACATTAAAGAGATCTATAAAGTTCAAGAGGAACCCCAATATCTGAAAAAGGGAAGTTTCAAAGAAGAAGAGGACATAACAGCAACCAAATCAATACCCAATTCCACCATTGACAAAGATTCATCAAAAAAAATGCATAAAGCACAAAAAAGATCCAGTAAAATCAATGAGCAGCAAGAAAATTTATTTGCTAAATCAAACCACAAGTTTTCCAAAGCAAAACATCATAAAAATGAAATAGTAAGAATCAGAAGGGCTAAAGAAGAACCGGCTGATTTAACTCCTAAATTGAACTTGAAGTCCCCCATCGCAAAACCTCCTTATCCTACAAAAGAGATCTATAAAGTTCATGAGAGATCCCAAAATCAAAAAATTAATCAGCGAAATTTGAAAGGAGAACCAACTAAATCAAAGCCCAATTCTGCCATTGGCCAAAATCCTACATCAAAAACTCACAAAGTGCGAAAAAAATCCAACAAACTCAGTGAGCAGCAAGTAAATTCAAATGCCAAGTTAAACCATAAGTCTCTCAAGGCAAAACATCCTAGAAATAATATCCACGATTATCACGCAGAATCAGAAAAGCCCAATGAGGAGGAAAATAAAACTTTTGAAGAAAAAGAGAATATAACTAAATCAAACACAAAGGTTCCCATTTTCCAAACATTGTTAAAAACAATATCAAAAGTTCAAAATAGATCCAAAAGTAAAAAACAGGCAAATTCTGTGGAAGAAAAGGGCTATGGGTTTCCCAAAAGGGATAATGAATCGTTTATCTATCAATATCAGAAGAGATCCAGGAATATGAATGAGCAGAATGGAATCGACGAAGGAGATCTGCTGTTAGCAGCTCCTAGCTTTGCAAATAGTTATTATGACTCCACAGACCAGGAGAAAAACTACAACAATGAACCAGAAAAAAAAACTTTAAGCACTCCTAAAATACAAAATAAAACCTTTAAGCAGCAGGAAAACTACGAAGGGGAATTAAATAATACATCTGCTGTCTTAAGGTCAGAATATTTTAACATTGTTAATCGCCCGGTTAAAGAAGACAATATAAATCCTATAACAATCAATAAAGAGAGTGAGGGATACCTGCAAAATCAGCTATTAATCAACAAAGCTAATTTCGAAAAGGTATCATCACTTGTACCATCTGATAAATCAAAATTAAACAATTTATTTTCATCAGCAAGTCAAAACAAATTGAGAAAAAGGAGTTTTTCCAGATCCCAGGACCTAGGCAAATCAAGTAGCTCTACCCATGCTTTTCTAAGTAAATTACAACTAAAATTATTCAAGCCAGGAAAAGGTACGCCAGTCAATTCGCTAATAAAAAATGGGAGTGTTAATGCCCCATCTAAAACTGGCTCTTCTCATGTTTTGCGAAATAAATTAAAGCAAAAATTATTCCGTCAAACAAGCAAAGTAGGTATGCCTATCAGTTCGCAAGGAAGAGTTGAGAATGTTGAAACTGGCCCTATCGAAGTTTTTAGGAGGAACTTAAATCTACAATTATTACGGCTAACGAAAGGAGTGGGTACTATCAGTTCGCAAACAAGACTTGTGAATGTTAATGCCCCATCTAAAACTGGCTCCACCCATGTTTTTCGAAGTAATTTAAAACTAACAAAAGAAGGAAGTACGCCCATCAGTTCGCAAACAAGAGTCGGGAATATTAATGCCCCATCTAAAACTGGATCTTTACAAGTTTTTCGAAAGAAAGAAAAATTATTCAGGCCAAGAAGGAAATTAGGTACGCCTACCAATTCTATGGCAAAAGCCGAGAATGGTTTTGGCCCATCTGAAACTGACTCAATAACATCAGCCTTTTTTCACGAGAATCCGACCTTAGTCGAAGATGTGATTCCATTCAGGACAGGCAGTGTCTTCTCAGAAGTCCGAAAATCGATTGATCGGAGAAACCTAAATGACAGGTCAAGCTTTGCAAGGAGGGCAGGCCTTGCTTTAAATATGACCACGGAAAAGTACAATGAGAAATTGAAGAAAGTGAAGCAGTATCTTAACCGGGAGGATTCGGTCGATAGCAACAATACCGACACATCCTCAATTGACTTTGAGGGAATACGGGATGGCGACTTACTGCTTTATCCATATGCAGAGATATATCAAAAGAAGGTTAACACCTCAGAGCAAAAGAAAGCAAGTGTAACTAAAAGAATAAAGAAAAGTTTAAGACCTACGTCAAAACCATCGGAAGACGGGATTGAAAGTGAAAAAGAAGCGGAGAGGAAGACAGCTTGTATCATATGCAGAACCATAAAGCGAAATCCTGTAGAAAAGGAAGCACCCTTCTTGGACGAGATGAGAAAAGAAAAAAGGCGACGGGAACTATTGGCATACCGAGCAAATATTGCCAGCCAGGGTGAACACAGTAGGAGGTCACTATCCTTTGAGCCGCCGGATCAACCCGATAAAAATCGAGCGTTTAGCTTACATGATCTCAACAAAAAAGAGCTTTACTCTCTAGAGAGCAAGAGTATTATTTTTACCAGAGAATTTAATTTAATTAATTTCCCCCAAGATAGTAATTCAATTACATTCCCTGGAAAAAGTAAGTCTATTACTTTCCTCTTGGAAAGTGATTCCAGAATTTTTCCTAAGGAGAGTAACTCAATTACTTTCCTCAAGAAATGTAATTCCATTACTTTCCCCAATGAGAGTAGTTCCTTTACTTGTTTTTAAGGAACAGGCAGCTCTGTATTCAAAATTTATTACATAATGAAGCCATGAGGATGTGACAAGAAATTCAAGAACAATTTCTTGTCAGATCCGCATGTCCATTAAGACAATAAAAATAAAATATGCCTCCGCAAAAAACCATCTTAAACCTTTAATCTAACATCTTGGTACCTAGCAACTTACGTTTTAGAACCGACTATCCACCAAATAAATTGTTTTAATAACCTTCAGCTATTTATCATCTATACAAGTATTTTATTTAATTTCTTAACTTAAAGGTCAGGGTGATAAAAATGCTTAATATCTGGTAAAAACAAAAACACTTTTTGATTTTAAAATGCTAATTAATTTCGACTATCATATTGACTAGAATTTCCAATGCTTTGAAGCACAAAATAAAGATCACAAAATTTCTCAATTGTCCAATTGTCTAATTCAAAGTTAATGCCAGATAAAGACTCTTAAATAATTCATTAATTTTATGAAATTGGGTTGTGTACATAGCAATGTGCGAATAAATACTTAAGTGAACCTTAGCTACGATATATACATTGTAACGAGAGATTAAACGGATTAGCCTTTAAGAGGTTTGAGACTAGATAAGAGCTTGCTCTACATTCTTTTCGATTCGAAAGTATACATTGAGATGAGCTTAAGGCTTAGCTTTAAAAACACTTTTACTCCAGGTGGTCTACGTTTCTCGTGGTGCTGACATATGTATATAATTAATATTAACCCGTATTTTACAAGTCCGTAAACTATACTAAACATACACTGCTCTTTTTGTGCTGGTTATATGTACAATAATATTGTGGGGCTACACGGACACCTCCTTTGACTGGGGCTCTTTTCTTCGGAGAAGCTTAGATCGAACACCGTCCTGATTGAGTTTCAGTTGCGAATTGGCCACTTTCTTGAGATTTACAGCCTCGTAATCGCTGCCACTCTCGTCGGCGAACTGGATGTCATCTAGGGATAGAAACTCCTGCAGATCCCCAGATGATTTCTCCACGGCAGTTTCTTTTTCCACATAGGAGCCGGTCATGGATTCGTTTGGTTCCAGATCGGCTTCCAGTTTCTGATGCACTGCAGCCATCTCAATCGGCAGTTTGGTGTTCTTTCCAGACCTCTGTTCGTCGTCCAAGGAACCGGCGCTTAGGGACAAACTGGATTGCATCTGCTGTTTGGACTGGCGTCGCTGCTTTCTGGACATGAATGGAGTGGGTTGCTTGGGCAGGCACTTGCCTCCCCTTTCAACTCCTTCGCAGGGAGACGTGGCCTTGGAGGGACGCCCACTATCTGGCGGGGATCGCTCCTCCGAGCTGGGTGTATTGTCAGCCGTGGTGGACTTGCTGGACTCCGTGTTGCTGGCCGGGCTCAGATAGTGTCCGTACCTGGGCATCCGTATCTCCTCGTACAGTGGCTCCCGCTCATCCCTTTCCGGATCCGGATCCCGTTCCGGTTCTGGCGTTTTGTCGTCCTCCTCCCGTTCGGCGACCTCCTCGAAGGGCGGTATCCAGACCAGATATGCCGGGTCCATTCCCAGATAAGAGCCCGGCGCCGATCCCGCATTGATCACATTGTAATCATAGTAGTCCAGCTCAAGTTCCTCTTGATTCCCCAGCGAGAACTCTGAGCCTGGTCGCGCCAGCAGCTTCCTGCGGTTCTGCTTCTCCTTGGACTCCTTGGGATTGCTGGTCGTCCGGATCGTCGCCGAGCTCACAATGCTGGCAGCTGGGGAGTAGCAGCCCTGTAAAATTAAATTAATTTTTAATAATATTGTTATTATTTATCAAGCACATATTTGTAATAGTTTCTATGAAATTGACTCAAATAAAATTTCAGACTACCAATAAAATGTGAACGTTAAACAAGAAGAATTATATAAAGTTTAAAATTTTAAATAAATTGTTTTAATATTAAATAATGTTAGCTTTATTTTTGTTTATTAGATTGGGTGGATACAAAAAACATGTTTCAGTTCCCCTACATTTTTCTCCTAACGAGGTTATTAAGTCCTTAATCACATATTTCAACTTATTGGTTTTTTAACACGAAAAAAAAGAGGGTAACCTAACTCACATTCGTCAGGGAAGAGCTGACACTGCGGGAGCCCAGACGTCCCATCCTTAGGGATTCGGTAACCGAGTGCAGGGAACTGGCGTCCTGCAGACTCTCATCCAATCTGGAGGACAGCAACTTCAGGGTCACCGCATCGTAGCGATCGGAGTACTTGCTCAGCCGCTTGCTATTCATCGGCGGACTGTTGCACAGCGAGCTCATGCCCGAGGATATGATGGATTCCGAGTCCCTGGCACTGTCCTTGCAGCTTGCCGGCTCCAGTTGTTCCTCCGTGGGCGAATCCTTGGACCCATCTGTCCTGCTGTGGTCCTCAGCCAATTCGGCTTCAGCGGAGGATGGTGAGCCCACAACACTTCCAGTGTCCAGAGATCGAGCTGGCGAAGATCGTTCATTCCGCAGAGTGACCATCGACGCCGAGCTGCCCAACTCCTTGACTTCAGCGCTAAAAGGGATTACAAAGAATTTATAATTTTTTTTACAATTTACAGTAATTTCAATTTAACCTCTTATTTAAATGTAAAGTATTTAAACTGTATTAAAATTTGTTTCTTTAAATTCAAAATAAATATGATTTGAATAATGTAAAATATTTAAGCTGTTTTAAAATTTGTTTCTTTATATTCAAAATAAATATGATTTGAATAATGCTTTTTGAAATTAACCATTTTTTACGTGGATTAAAAATTAAAGATTTCGGATTCTAGTTTTTAAAATTCTTTAACGTGAGCAAATAAATAATTTATTCTTAATCATGTTAAGATGGCTTTAAACGTTATTTGAAGAAATGTAGTTGAAATATGGTAGTTTCACTTTTATTTTTATAAATCTGCTAAAAATGATAAAAATAATTCTTTTTGTAGCTTTAAGGTTTATTTTAACAAAAGGCTGAACGTTAAGGAACAAGGTCAAATGTAACACATAGAAAAGATTGCCTTTATTAATGTACAAATATAATTGCCTTTTATTTTCATTATGATTGTTATTTGTGCTCCTAGATATTGTTACTCACCACTTGGCCAGCATTCCCTGCGAATCCGACTCCTTGAACTCCGTCTCACTGGTCAGATTCTCCGCGTCCACACTCTCGCGAAGAATGGAGTGACGCAGGTGGTGTTTGGGTCGCATCTTCACCATGTAAATGACCTCCGAGAGCAGAGTAGTGGTGGACATGGCCCGTGAGGGAGGTCCTTGCAGGGAACTCAGCGAAGCCCTGGGAGTGTGAAGACGGGAGCCTTCGTCCTGTCGCCGAGCAACTGCCAGATGGTACTTCCTATATCTTACCACATATTGGGCACCTGAGGATAACAATTTATGAGTCTTACAGGATTAATAAATATAATGGCCACTATCTACCTAACAAAGCACTTATTATGATGATAATGCTGGCAAAGATCATGGCACTTAGATGAACCAGGGTAAAACGCAGGTGTGACATAGGTTTGTGGGAAATCGAGCGTGTTTTTCCGGATAAACGAGTGGCGGCAACCAGTGTGATACTGCTGTTTCTGCTCCTCGAGGCTGTTGTAAAATTAAATTAATAATTTATAGGAAATCCAGGAAGATTTGTTTTAGTTGTACTCACTCAACAGCTGCTGCACATTGGCCATGAAGCCTCCAGTGCAGGCGGCACTTCCCTCCTGACTCGAAGCAGATGCATTTGCTGCCTGGCCAACATCGCCGGCGGAGAACTCCACCAGGAGTTGTCCACCAGTCGACTCGATGGCCACCGGAACGCCGACTCCCTTGAGGATCAGCCCCCCTCCGTTGAGTTCCACCAGAAGAGTGGACGAAAGCGACGGTCCATCGCGCACCTTTATGTACTGGGAGGCACAGGGCAAACGCAGGAAACTCAGTGCCAGCGAAATGCTCTCCTCGCCATCCACCTGGGAAGAAAGGAATGTGGTGTTTGTGAGCATACGGGCCATGTTTGGGTTTCCCCTTTGCCGACCGAGGAACACTCTCGAAGTGGGTCAGGCATTCATCACCATTTAGCCTCCTTCCAATCAGCACTTTTCCCCTCATCCCATAAAACGTGCCAATTGGCAGGTCTAATCATTCCAATTGTATCGAACAAAAAGGGGAGCAAAAAGTGCGTATGAATAGTAAAGTTCGTGACAGTCCCTTTTATATGATACCCACTACTCATAATGATAATATTCTAAATAATAAGGGGTATATATTTTATATCACTTTTTAAGCTTTAACATTTTGTTAGTTAAAAGTAATTAATTGTTTAAGTTAATTTATTAAAATTCATTTAAATCCATAAAATTGGTGTGATCAAAAAGTATAGTAATTTAGAAAAAAGGTGTTATAAGAAGAAAGAGTAAACAAAACAAAATAAATATAGGAAAATTATAAGGAGAGTGATAAGAAAATGTATTGACAAGAGTTAGGTAAAATAATAGGCGGAGTACGACACCCTCGCATCTTTTCCTGATCGAAATTTATGATTTTTGCATTCACTACCTTGCGGGCAGTATACCCTTCAACCCACGAATACCGGGTACATAGAGTTCAACCCACCCCCATGGAACCCTTACGCATTGATAGTTTCGGGCCTGGTCGAAACGCCTACCAAGTGGGGCATTTATTATGCATGAACTGAGTTCAACCCCCATGGCCCCCAGTAATGCTCGGCATGGTTCGACCCGCACTTCCCTGTCCTGTGGCATGGTACATTAAGTGGGGCTCCTTTGTCATTTTGGGGCCAGCCTCCGAAGCGTAGCGGAATTTTATTCATGGACTCGGACCTCTGAGTGTTTGGCATTGTTCTTTTTTATAGTTATGGCGGCGCAGACAACTTGAAAGCTTTCGAAAACTTGACCAAACGCCAAAGGGCAACTTTACTTAACTTTCGCTATTTTCGAGTGTGAGCCAATTTGTTTGTGAATGGTTAGGTTGGGGGTCAGTTAAAGGGTTGTACCTGTATCAGCCAGAAGGAGCGACCAGGACAGCTCTGTGTGGCGCCCGCAATGATCCTTTTCGGTTTCGAGGAGCCCAGGTGCACAATGCAGCCGCAACGACAACCTGGTCCAATTTCCTGGCTAACCTCCGTGCTATTTTCCTTGGTGATGACAGTGCCGGATGTCTCGTAAATGCAGTCCCACGTATCAGCGATGCTCTTGCCACACTTCTGCGTCTCCACTGATGGACCCTGCAAGAACAAATTACACAAGATAATGAGGACTTGGATATATAAGGTTAAAATATATTTGACATTCAATTTATTATGCAAATTTATAAGAAACTATAAAGTGTATATTTAAAAATAATTTATTTATTTCAGGTATCTAGCGAGCTAAATAAAATCTTGTCTATCGCATTTTCAACATACAAGATATGTGTTATTTAATGACGAAAATAATTATCTAAACCATTTAAAGATAACACTTTTGAGTTTCACGATTCGCTATGAAAATCAGTTTTCAACTTCATGCCCAATATATAAATTATATTTCCTATGAAATCAGCTACATTTAAATTATTGCAAACACCACAATCAGAAAAAACTTTATTAATGCATGTGTGGTTAGAAGCTTGTGGTAAGAGTTTAAGAAAGGAATTTTAATTCAGTTCTTCAGAATCTAGGCACAAAATGGTATAAATATATATTTGGAGGTACTATTTGGCATACTTCACGTCATTCTTACTCAAAAAATTAAAATATTGTATTTAAAGAAAAACGTTAGTGGTAATAATTTGTACACAAATGGTTGAGTGTTCTTCATTTGTGAACTAATAGGCTAATTAAAGAAAATGTACTTTAAAATATATAAACACGCAATAAAAGAAATTCGACCTTAATTCATCGCTGTTTTTGTTTTTTGGTTTTAAATATTTAAATCATTAAATTATTTATCATTCATTGTGTTGAAATTCAAATTCCGCTTTACTTTATAAGAATCAAAACTGCATTTAGGATTGATTCTTTGACTTTGCGAGTATTTATTTAAATCTCAACCAAATAAAACAAATGGCAAAAATAAATTTGAGGCATTTGGGGACAACCACAGACTAGTAGAAGAACTGGACATCGAAGTCCTCCTCCTCGCCTTCGTCGCCGGCCTCCTCCTCGTTGGTGACGCCCGTCAATTTGGAGGAGCCCGTGAGTGTGTCCATGGTTCCGATGCTGGGCTGATGTTTGACATCCTTCGAGGATGCGGATGCGGCAAGGGGTGCGGTGGCGGGTGGTGCGACTGAGCCCTCGCTGCTCGCCTTCTTCACGGACATGGAGCTGGTGGATCCCTCTGGCTCCTCCAGCGGCTCCTCCTCCACCTCGATGAGGTCGTCCTCGCGCGACGATGAAACGTACAAAGTGGTTCCAAATTCCACATCGATGATGGAGTTCTCGTCCCCGCGCTGCGAAGTGATCAGCCGATCCTGCATCTTCAACTTCTGCAGGTCCTCCGGAATGGTGAGATCCGGCTCCTGGTCGATGACCTCGCTGCGGAAGGCATCGAATGGCGTGGGCTTGGGTCGCGTGGGCATAAAGCCCATTTTGCCGGGAGCATACAGCGACGAAGTGGCACTGCCGATGGAGGCGATCGACGGAGTCCTCGGCAGGTCCTCCGAATGGGAGCTCACGATATTCATGAGCTGGGAAAGCAGATCGCTGCGTTTCAGCTTGCAGACGGATATGGCCTCCTCGCGGACTTCCTCGATCACCGCGGGCTCGTCCACATTGGCCTCCGTCAGTCTCTCGGGGAAGGTCTTGGCCGCCTGCTCCGCCACAATGGCATCCCGCACCGTGCACTTGATCTCCTGGATGATGCCTCGCAGCCGAGTGATCTCTATTTCGTGCTGGGCATGGACCACGTCCAGGTTCCGGTTCTCCAGCTCCACGATCTCCATTCGCTTGGCCAAGGTGCGGAGTTTTCCGGCCGCATCCTTCTGCTTGACATTCTCGCACTTTTCTGCTTGGAGATGGACTTCATAGGCCTTCCTGTAGCGCAGCACCTCCACATACTTGGCCTTGAGTTTCTCGTAGTTCCGGGTTAGACCCTCGATGATTTTGATCTTGTTCACCGAGTTGCGGACCAACTCGTTCTTGATCTGATCGAGGGCACTGTACTGCTCCTCCATCTCCTTGTGCTTGGACTTCTGGTTGGTGTAGGCCTGCTGGAGCTTTATTTGGGACATCACCAGCAGGTCGATCTCCTTTTGCAGGGCTATGTTCTCGCGGATCAGGCGACGGGTGTAGCCGGCATTGCGGATCTCACTGGAGCGGGTGAAGTCCTCGGAGACTTGGAGGAGCTTCTGCTCCACCTCCTTTTTCAGGGCATCCTTCTCCACCACCGCCCGCTGTTCCATGTTGTAGAGCGCCTCCTTGTGGTCCTTCTCCCTCTCGTTGAGATCCGCCTCCTGGTCATCGAACTTGGCCAGCAGGACATCCCTTTGGATGCGGAACTCGTCCAGGGAGTTGAGCTTTCCATTGAGCAGCTTGATCTCCGAGGTCAGTTGGTCGTGCATGGCCTTGTACTTGGCCTCCAGGTCCCCGATCTTCTCCTGCGCCAGGCGGTTTTCCACATCGCGCACCTTGGTGATCTCCACCAGGCGCTCCTCCAGCTCGGTGATCGAGTTGTTCCTCTCTGCCAAGGTGCGCTCCAAGTGGGCAGCAACATCCACACCGTCGGACTCCACTTCACGAAGTTTCTCGGTCAACGTTATGTTGGACTCATCGATGCTGGTCAGGTGGGATCGCAGGCGAGCCAACTTCTGGTTGAGGTCCGTGATGGTCAGCTCGTAGAAGGTCCTGTCCACCTGGGTCACCTTGTTCACATCCTTCTTCTCCTTCTTCACTTTCGGCGGCATCCTGATGGCTTTCTCTTCGTTTTCCGACTTGACTGTCTAGCAATTTTGGCGTGTATTTGTGATTTTTGAAGGATAACATGTCAGTTACATCGATTATGAATAGGAATTTTTAGACCCATCGTTCGTTGTTTGAACTAGATGAAATAAGTTGTAACATAACAACAAGTTGAACAACCGTTGTCAAGGCGATAAAAGCTTTCCCAAGCTTAACCCCCAACCTTAATAGTTTAAGTAGACCACAAAGCTATTCTTTCTTGCAGAAACTTAACAAAAGAGCTCACATTTAACCAGCCATTAAGTTATAAAATATAAACTTATCATCAACTATTCACCAAAAGGTGAAATAGTTATATTCGTATCTTTAAGGGCTTTCAAACTTGCGTTTTGTTATAATAATAATTGGATTTTATCAAAATTCCACAGAAGCATATTTGCACAACCATCGCTGAATATTTTTACACAGAATATTTTTATAAGAAAAAACACCATACACTGAGCATGTGCAGTACTTTTTTAGTTTAAGTGTTTTGTTATTTTTACTTCTAAAGAATTTTAATAAAATTGTACCAGCCTTGATGGACTATTTAATACGGTTATATTAAACAAAAGAGTGGTAAATTCCATGATTAAGTACTTATGTTATAATAATGCTTACATAAATTAATATTTTTGTATTTATTTATAAAGAGCTTACTATTAATTTAAATTAAGAACTAGCGATGGAGTTTGTGCTATGGCAGCAGATGCCTTCAGCTCTGGTTTTAGAGTATATTTATTATTTTCTTATTTGTGTCTAGTAGCGGTAATCTAGTTAGGGTTAAATTAAATAAGGTGGTATAGATTAGCGATTTTAACGAATTTTAAAATATTTGATTTAAATACATCTATGTCATAAATGGGAAACAATAATATTTTCTTTATTTAGAATAAACCTTTTGTGTCTGACTCAACTAAATCACGAAAAAAGCTAAATGCTTTCCGGCTTTAACATGTTTAAAGTGGCTCTCAAAAGCCACTAATTTGAGTTTGTGGTGCTGCGGCGGTCACAAAAGGTTATTCCCGTGTTTTCTAAAAGCAAATAGTGCCTGCCGTGCCGGAGCTTTGTTTGATTAATAGCCCGTGGGGCAATATTTGTATACACACATGGCGGCAACGCCTCCGAGCAATTCTTTAGGGGCAAATGCAAATTGTTATGGAACGCCCGGTGCGTGAATGTGGAGGCGCCACCCCAGTGGACTTGGGACTTGGAGCCCAGGACCCAGGACACTCCCAGTCAATTGTTGTCGCCCCACGGCGATGCCATTGTTTCCAGTGCTCCAGCATCCGTGGAGCAACTGCCGTGTAAGAACTACTTGCAATAAGTGCGCAGAACATTTAAAAACTTTGCCTGTAATTGTTCCGAACAAGTTGGCAAAGTACGGGCAAATGTGCCCCTATCGCTGGATGCTGATGCCGGAAGTTTTTGGATAATGAAATGCGCGAATGGTTCTGGGTGCTGGGTTCTATGTGCTGGGTGCTGGGTGCTGAAGAAGGTTCAGTGTTCCACTGAGTTCAACAAAAGAAACAAGATAAAGCGCGTCGTAGTAGGCCGACAATTGTCGGAAGCGTCGTAAATTCCCCACGCAATCTGGAGCAAGTGTCGCAGTGTGGAAACACGCTCGCAGACAACATACCATATCATACCGAAGTCACCCATTCCCCTCGCCCCCAATGTCCCACAAACAAAAACAATGGAATAGTTCCACTTTGCCCTGGAGCAGTGCACTGAAAGAAATCACCTAAATTACCTCTTGTAATTTAATCATTATTATATTAATACGTTTTAATCAAGACTAGAATAAGTAATATGCAAGTCTAACTTGTTCATTCAATTTTTGTTTGATCCAATTACAAAACAGGCTGTGCCAACAAATAGGAAATAGTTCCAAAAGTTAAATTTTAAACTAAATTGTATCATCCTCTTACTGAATTCTATCGTCGGACTTACAATACATACAGTGACTCCATCGCTTAATCGGACAAGTACCTTCTTATGATAAATGTGCTCTAAAAATATACTAAATGGGCTTAATTAATTTTTATACCCTTGCAGAGGGTATTATAATTTCAGTCAAAAGTTTGCAACGCAGTGAAGGAGACATTTCCGACCCTATAAAGTATATATATTCTTGATCAGCATCACCAGGAGAGTCGATCTAGCCATGTCCGTCTGTCCGTCTGTCCGTCTGTCCGTCCGTCTGTCCGTCTGTCCGTCTGTCCGTCCGTCCGTCCGTTTCTACGCAAACTAGTCCCTCAGTTTTAAAGCTATCTGCTTGAAACTTTCGCAAAAGTTGTCTTTCTATTGCAGGTAGTATATAAGTCGGAACGAGCCGGATCGGGCGACTATATCATATAGCTGCCATAAAACTGAACGATCGGAAAAGCCCTAACTTTGGTGTTTTTAAAGTTAGGAAGTTGAGATTTTCTATGTGTTTTATTTTTGGCTAATCAATCCTACCGAATTTCATAAGGATCGGCCGACTATATCTTATAGCTGCCATATAACTGAACGATTGGAAATGTCATAACTTTGGTGTTTTTAAAGTTAGGAAGTTGGGACTTTTTATGAGTATTAAGAATGCATCATATGAATAATTTTGGAGAATATAATTTATGGAATATTCTGCAAGGGTATATCAACTTCGGCTCCGCCCGAAGTTAGCTTTCCTTTCTTGTTTAAAATTTTTTTATTATAAATATACACTTTCATCTATCTAAAACAAAAGAAAAAAGTCAACATTTTTGTTAAGAACCCAAAGTTTTCAAACAAATACAAATTTATATCGATATTTGGCGCTCAACGAATAATCGGACAATCCCAAAATTAACACAAAAAATCGTTTTTTTCTTGAAATTCGATGCAAACTTTAGGCTTTTGAATTGCGTTTGGTTTATTATAGAGATTAGGAGCAGAAAACATAATTTTGCTATTATAAAGTAGAAATATGACTCCAAATGGAAAGCAATCCTCTGTAGAACTTCGGCAGTTAGTTGTTAAGGTACATTTTGAAGGAAAAACTGTAAGGGAAATCTCCGAATTAGTTGGAAAAAGCAAATCTACGGTCCACGACATTATTAAGCGGTTCCGTGATAAATTTAGATTTGCCAATAAAAGCAGGAAGGCCAAAAAGATCTTAAATGACCGAGAAGAAGGTCGGTTTTAAAAGAAATTAAACAAGATCCCTTCAAAACTGCTAAATAACTAAAGATTTCTTTACAAAACCGAATGGTAAAGACGTGTGTCTCAATACTGTGCGTAATACTTTAAATAAATTCGATTTTCCCGGAAGATTTGTGAGGAAGAAGCCCTTTATTAGCCCCCAGAACAAATAAAATCGCATTAAATATGCAAAAGAATATTTGATGAAAACAGGGATTTGGAGGACGTGGTATAGTAGTTATTGAGCTCAAAAAATATTTTTGTTGATTTTTTTATTTAAATAGAACCTTTAATTAATTAATAATAAAATCAACAAACATATTTTTGAGCTCAATAACTACTATATTACCGTCTTCCAAAAATCTTGGGGCTAATAAAGGGCTTCTTCCTCACAAATCTTCCGGGAAAATCGAATTTATTTAAAGTATTACGCACAGTATTGAGACCACGTCTTTACCAATTCGGTTTTGTAAAGAAATCTTTAGTTATTTAGCAGTTTTGAAGGGATCTTGTTTAATTTCTTTTAAATCCGACCTCTCTTCTCGGTCATTTAAGATCTTTTTGGCCTTCCCTGCTTTTATTGGCAAATCTAAATTTATCACGGAACCGCTTAATAATGTCGTGGACCGTAGATTTGCTTTTTCCAACTAATTCGGAGATTTCCTACAGTTTTTCCTTCAAAATGTACCTTAACAACTAACTGCCGAAGTTCTAAAGGATTCTTTCCATTTGGAGTCATATTTCTACTTTATAATAGCAAAATTATGTTTTCTGCTCCTAATCTCTATAATAAACCAAACGCAATCCAAAAGCCTAAAGTTTGCATCGAATTTCAAGAAAAAACGATTTTTGTGTTAATTTTGGGATTGTCCGATTATTCGTTGAGCGCCAAATATCGATATAAATTTGTATTTGTTTGAAAACTTTGGGTTCTTAACAAAAATGTTGACTTTTTCTTTTGTTTTAGATAGATGAAAGTGTATATTTATAATAAAAAAATTTTAAAAAATTAATTAAGCCCATTTAGTATATTTTTAGAGCACATTTATCATAAGAAGGTACTTGTCCGATTAAGCGATGGAGTCACTGTAGGTATTGACTAGCTTAATATGGAGTCAATTTAATATTTTTGCATTTGACACTAATAAGTATCAAATTTCTTATTATTAAATCAATTTTGTTAAGGTATGTAACCAATGGAGTTCGAATAGATAAGAAGGTTATTCGTTTAGTTTGGAAATGGTACATTTCTTTCCCCTTTTAATAAATAATCTGTTAATCTTTTAAGAATTGAGCTACCGTACACAAAACAAAAATAAGGACTAATGTGTGTCAATCAACTAGACATGGATTTCCTCAGTGCAGGGAAGTCGAGTGAAATGTGAACTAAACTGGAAGCAATCTCAGGGGGAACGCAGTCCCCAGAGCCAGACGAAGTTCGCCTGTCTTTAGTTGTAGTTCCGCACTTATTGAAATCGTCTTCATGCTTCCGCTTAGATGTGCTAGAGTATTAATCATTTCTCGGAGCACTCAATCAAACTTTGACAATTACTGTTAGCGTTGTCAAATCAGGTGGAGGCAGAGGTCGTTCAGAGGTTAATCTACTGGGTTACTTGCAGGGGTTACATTACATACCTCGCAGAATTTGGCGCCATATCGCGGGGGTGGCGAATCGCAAAACCTGTAGCGATTGCGGGTTCCTCCCAGGCAATTCGTAGAGCAGGGCGTCCAGTCGCTCCAGGGTCCCCAGCCACCGGTATCCGAATCTGTGGAAAAGGGCTGTCATAAGCTAATCCATTCATAATTTATAAAGTAAGTTTCAACACAACTGCACTTAATAAAAAAAGTGTAAACATTTTTTTTTGCTTTCAAAAGCTTCTCAAATCCCTTAGAGTGTTGGATAAACAAAAAAGTTTATAAAAAAGATAAAAGCTGTTGCCATACAATAAATATTTAAAAAAGACTTTTTCTTAAAAAAACAGAAATGAATAAATTATAAATAAACGATTCCGTGAAAGAACTTGCCACATTTATATTTTTAACTCAAAAATATTTAATAAATATAAGTGAACCTATTAAATTGTCATTTTGTTATCGTGTTATCTAAGTATTGTTATATATATTTGAGAAACTTCATAACTATTTTTATTTTCTTATGCCTGCCAATGTTAAAATCAGTCTTGTATAACAAGACTAAGGTAAAATATGACAATGTTGATTTCAATCTTAAAAACATAATTGAATCAAAGAGATTTGAATTATAATCGTTAACAAAATATATGGAGATTACCATCTAGGCTGGCGGCTTTTTAAAATGGGTCTATAAAATAAAAATAAAACATTCTTGAAGTTTTAACAAAATCAAAATTTTATAAAAATTTAATTGAAGACGATTTACGGCTCTTCAGAAAGTTCAGTGTAGCAGACAAAGAGTCGCAATAAAATGTTGCGAACTATTTAAATTCCAATTAATTGGGATTTTCCTTTTAATGATGTTAAGTACGGTCTTAATGCGCCAACGACATCGACATGGCCATCCACATCGACCACTCACCGCTTACGGGCAGCGTGGGCACGCAGTCCATCCGGACGTCGGCCACGGCTCCGGAAATGGCCTGGCTGACGTAGACGAAGCAGTACTCCACGTACTTCTCGGAGAAGAGGTCGCAGGCGAAGTACAGTGAGTGCTGGCTCTTGACGACCCGCTGTTCGGCGACGTAGTGCAGCGATGTGGGTGGCTTCAGGGAGGCGACATCGGCCCGCAGCTTGGCGTACAATCGCACCCGGTCGCCCTGCTCCAGAATGCATCCGGGGTACTCGTAGAGCACCCCGATCCCGGTGTGCGGATCGCAGGGGAAAATGCTGCGGGCGTACACGTTGAACACGAACTCGTCGCTCCAGTCGACGCTGAGGAGCCTCCGGGTGGTGGGCACATTCTGGGCGGGAATCATGGGCCTCAGCTGCACTGCATAGTTTCCGGCCAGTCCGAACAGCTCGCATCCCAAGCGCAGGCTCTTGTTTTTCGGAAATCCGCGAATCTGCTCCGCGAAAAGGACACTGGATCGGGTTATGTTCCGGCTGCAGCTGCGCTCCTTGCCGCAGTATATCAGCTCTAGCCAAAATTCAGGCAGTGCCAGACTCCCCGATTGGTTGCAGTTCACCTCGGGGAATCTGAGGGTAACCTCCACTGGATTTCTGGGATAGGTCCGCAGACGCACGGGACTCACTATCATCTCGGCACTGGGCCATCGCACGTCGAGGGTCTGGAGCAGTCGCTCATCCTGGGCGGGCACCAAGGTGGTGGTGACCTCACTCCGGTTCACCGACTTGAGATTGCTGACCACCTGCATCTCGTAGCGTCCGCCGATGAGAAAGGTCTGGCACGGCACCGTGACCTGGGTGACATTGAACCGGGGATCCGGGAAGAGGGGTATGTTCTGCACCACTTCCTTGCGACGGCGGTGCAGGACCAACTGGCTGGTATTGGCTGCACCGGGGGTTAAACCCTTTTCCTGCGCCGGCTCAATTTCATCAATGATTTTGCTAATGACTAAAGTGCTCATTATGGTGTTGTTCCCGGTCCTCAAGTCCCTCGCGCCAGTGCTCAAGTGCTCGGTGGTCGGGCTGGCTGGCCCATCCTCCGCCGGGGACACGTCGTTACCATTGAACTGGATCTGCACATGCAGGTCCCCGCTGAGGGCGGTGAACGAGCTGGGGGACATCAGGCGACCCTTTCGCACCGCCAGCACGTGACCTTTTGTCGGATTCGAGGCGCAGGAGCACACAATGCCGGCAATTGCCAAGGAGGCACAGGAACCACATGAAACGAGAGAGGGAGAGAAGGAAGGGGCAGAGATAAGAATTATAAATCCTTGTAATTTATTTCGTGTCGCTGCCTTCTGTGTTGGCCCCATTCAAGAGCCATCCTCTGCCATTGTTTACTCCGCCCCGGTCGTGTAAATTGAGTCGCATCCAACAGATCCCCCGGGTACAAATTATGCAAGCAAAACAAAAACAAAGGGACAAAATTCGATTTGGTACACCAAAAGTTAATTTACTCTTTTCTTAAAAAACTTTGTTTTTCTGGTGAAATATACCTGATGAATGTCCTTAACTGATATTACAGAAAAAGCTATTAATGTAAATCTACAATTTTCAAAGCAGATATTTATTACAAATAAAAAACTTTTTATGGTTATTTGGGATTTAAAATTGTTAAAAACTGAATAAGAGTTTTTTTAAGATTTCTATAAATACAATAATTATTACAATAGTTTTAGTTTTTTTTTTAAATCTTATTGTAATTTCATTAACTAAAATAAAAATGGCTTTTGGACGTTAAATATGTTAATGAATATAAAGGAAATGGCTTCTGAAAGGGTATTAAAGAAAAGTTTTCTTCACTTGTCAGTTTAGCAAACGCCAAACACTTGAACCCACAATGCGTATACTCAATGCAATTTCGTAATTGTAAATACCAGATGTGAAATTAGTTAAGTAAATTTTGCAGTTGCATTTGTATAGTGAAACAACATCAGTAGGAAAAGTCCTATCTGACCATTTCAAAATGGCTACTGATGTAACCATTTCCCATGTTCAAATATTGCGTATACGCATGTTGGTCTCCAAATGTATTTATTCGGGTCGAATGTGTCAGAAGCAGTCACATGTTCTGCCGTAAATGAGTTTCACTCACTTGTCCCACTTAATAAGAGCAGCATTATGGATGATACAATAATTTTCCACTTGACTACTGATTTTAGTCCCGATGTCAGCATGCCGATTGTCTTCTTCCGCCTGCGATTCGCCGCCATTTGTCCTTGCTTTTGCCGATTGAATCAGAGGTGTCTGTCTAAGGAATCTCCTGCTGCCACTCAGTGGGAGGATTTCGCCGCTTCCACGTCGCTGGCACACATTCTGCGATTGCGAAGGAAGATGGCTCCTATCCCTATCCCTCATAGAAGGACTGTCATTTGTTTAGCTCTCATCGCCAGGAGACAAATTTGCTGTGACGTTGGCCTTAAGGTGAAAGGAAAAGCAGAAATCTACCTGCCAGGCATATTCTGGAAAATAAGAAGAAATTTGACGTTACAGCCAGATACACAAATCAAATTCAAGACAAATTGAGGTTTGCATTTTGTAGACTAGATAACGAAATTATTAGGGCGACATCATTTTTCATTCCGCAGTTTTAATTTACTTTAAAAGCTTTGCACATAAATTATGGCATTCAAATATAAGGTGGCTTAAAGTTAATATTGTAAAGATGTTAAAGAGGTTTTTTTGTGCCATTTCAAATGAAAGAATTATCTTTAATGAAATGTTAAACTAAAACTTTAAACTTTACGTTTATATTTTCACGTAAACAGTGAATTATTTCGATTGCATGAATCAGCATCGCTAGGATTGACCTTTATCTCGACCATACCGCTTTGGAAAGGGTTTAAAAAAGCATCAAGTCGTACAAAGCAAATGTCTTTTCAACAAAAAGCTTAAAAGTAAAGTCATAACAACAAAGGGTGTCAATGGCCCCTATCGGAGCATAAAACTCCCCATTCCCCTTACTCTAAACCCCATATATATGACCTGAGTTCTACGCCTGTATGTATTTCGAAGGGGGAAGAAAAAAAGAAAACACAATCAACCCTCATAAATTCCTAAACCAATTACAAGTCGTGCACGAAACATTTTTATGGCGATTATTTCCACAATTCAATGCAATTTCATCGAAAGTTATGGTCCAGAACAAAGGAATAAAACAAACATAAAAGAAGAAAAGTCAAGACTAGAAGTGACTAGACAATACCTCCGGAAATTGTGACTGGACTAGATTTTTTTGACAATAGGTTAATCCTAATGATATGAGTATAATAATGGAAAACCAAGCATTTCATTTATTAATGCCTAAGATCATATTCTTTTTAAGAAGTCTCTAAAGAAAAAAAACTAAATGGATCTGATTGGTTTTAGTAAACCGCTGAACTTTTTCTGTATGATTAAACTAATATGCGCTGTGTTATAACTTTAGCCAAATCTTGGCCACTCTGAAACCATTTACACTAAATTAAGTCATAAAATCCACCTATAGCTCGAAATTTTAAAGGTGGATTTTACGATTCTAGTGTGTGGCTTATGTACGTCCTCCGTAATTAAATAATCTGCCACAAATAAAATATTAACAACTTTTTGAACCCAACCCAGTGGCGGCGATACATCATCAGCTGGCGGGCAAAAGGGGGTTAGTAATTTGCTGACATGCACATCTAATTCCTGTAGTTTTTCGATTCATCAACAGAAGTTCCGAAGGTGGTTCAGGTTGGCCCAGCGCCGGATATTTGATGCACAGGAAGGGAATCCATCGGATACCCACCCCCCGAAGTCATTAGCGAAATCTGTCGCGTCACTGGGATATGTACGGACCGCACCCCCGCCGCCCCTCTTGCCCGTCGCCACCTTAATTGCGGACACGCACGGATCGGGCCGATGGCCAGATGCTATATGTAGGCTATATGGCTATGTGGCACATTGTACGCCCTCTGCGCTAATGAGTTGGTCCTGCCAATTGCCACACTCACACGTGCGTCCGTTCGCATCAAACCGCCTTCGAATGGGGCCGACAACAGTTGGTTGTTGCCAACGCCTCTTACAGCCAGAATCATCAGCCTTAACCGACGATTTCCCATGGATGTTTTGTGCCTTCGTTTAGGGCGATTTGAAACCGTTGTTTGCAAATGGGAAATCAATGTCCTTTTGCTCCTTTTAAAACCCAGTATTCCTTTCAAAAAGTTTACAATAGGAATATCGACAAGGAGTTAAGTCTACAAACGTGTTTTATGCGCACCCTTGTTTTGAATATTTATATTCTTATTTTCTATTAAATATATCATTTAAGTTTTTAAAAATGTATTTACTCTACTTAGTTCAGAGCAACTGTTTTTAAAATTATAGCATATTGCTTAAGGAATTTTTTTTTGTAATTGGTCATGTGTCTATATTTACTATAAAATTGAGTTTAATACTCTATATCAGATTATATCTATACTTGGCTCTAGTTCTCTTTGCTCTAATTCTTTATGTTTTTGCTTGAGTTTTAAAGATTCCCAAAATCTAAATATTAAAGAACTAATACTTTTATCGATTCGTTTTCCCCAAATGTGCCACAAAATCTAAAACGAGAACAAGTCGCGTATGAATTTGGAAAATAATCCGGCCACATCAGTTCCCCCCACCAGAATGTGCAAATAGCCCGACTTACAGACAAATCCCATGGTCATCCAGCGCACTGGCAAAGTGTGGGAAATGTAGTGGAAACAAAGCACAGGGGCCAAAAACAGAAACAGACATTTTCACCAAATTGAAAGCGGAGAGCCCATAGAGTTGTTTTCTATTTTTTCGTTTTCCCGTTTTGAATTGCCAAAGCTGGCTAGAGTTTCGTGGGGTGGCCCCAGTTCAATAGTGCAGGCCCATCAACATGATTATCGGTGTCGCTGTGGGCGATCGGAGGTCAGAGGTCAGAGGGCTATGCGTGTGTGCCCGGGGGTAGGGGGGCATTGGAAAACTATTAACTGCACAGTGCGGTCCTTTGAAACGGCCGTTATCCTGCAACCAGTTACAACCCGGCGGAGAGCGCTAATTCGCTACCCCGACACTTAAAAAAATAATTGTCACTGCACGATGTGGAAATTTGTCACTATCGAATTACATTTTTTCATAATTTGTTTTCATATTGATTTATCTTCCGAAAATGTGTATACACATTTATTAATATAAACATTTCTCGAGTTAAGTGTATATATATTTTTGGGTATATGTAAGGGTATTACAAAATGTAATGCATTATATATAAAGATATTAATAATGTTAGCAACTAGTTTAGCCAACTCAATTGTTGGCTTAAAGAAAATGTTTACAATTTTTTTTATCCCGAATTAAGGGTTAAATGTTTAATAGTATGAGTACTTTGGAACACCTTTTAAAGAACATTTTTTTGAAATCAATTGCTTCACTAACAAAAATAAAAACAAATCCGCGAGAAATGGACTAGTTTCATGCCATTTCTTTCGGTGCATTACTGACCAGCCTAGTATTACGAAATTGTCGCAGCGCGGAAAATCAAAGCGATGGCGGCTAGAGAATTATGGTGCAAAGCCTGTTGGGGAAATGCCGAGAGTGGGAGTTTGAATCGAAGTGGAAATGGGAACGGGAACGGGATCGGGTAAGTCCCGTGCCGAGGGCTCTATCCTCCAGATAGACAAAGTGTCAATGCCCCGGCTGCGGGGTGATGTTTGGCCAGCTTTTCCACCCTGGACTCCGTTTTCCGCTCCCTGGGAGTGCTGTTATTCATTATACTTTGTGGGCGAGGAAAATTCTGAATTCAGCTTTGACTCGCTCAACATTTCGGGGTGACTCCGGCATACTCACACAAAACACACGTTTTTTGCGAAGGGGAACTTTAAACTGCGCAAAAATTCAGCCACAAAGAAAAATGCACAGTTTGAATATCCAAACATTTGCATGCTCTGTTTACTCTTAATCAATGGGCAAGGATGCCAACGAGCTGAGTCTGCACTTAAAAGTCCATTTCGCCACCCGTATGCGGCCCTCATTCCGGACCACCTGGTAGAACCCCCAGCTTGTCCTCCGGTTTCCCCACAAATGCGGTGTGCAATTGGGTTAAAAACTAAAAATAAACCCCAACGGGCAGCGGGTAAAAACAGGTATGTAATTACCTGAAACGGACCTCATTCGTATTCAGAGAGCAGAGCAACCATTTGCTCATTTGGACAAATAATAAAGATAAGTAAATAGGGAAACTGCGGAAGTCAACTGAACAATGCCATAGTAAAGAGGTGGTGAGCCCCATGTCCAACAGGAGGAAAACAAGGGGAAAAATCTGATTTCCCATCTCCTTTCTGTTGAGGAAGACAAAAACAGTAGCAAAGCAAAAACTGGGTAAGTTAATGAACGAGAAAATTATCTAAGCAAAATCTGACTCTCTATTAGAACGATAAAAAAATCCCTTTCTGTGATGTCTAAGTAAAAAGGGAAACAAAAAGCTTGCAAATTCCAGTTAAGTTTACCAACTATCTTTCTAAAAATTGTCATTTTCTAAAACGTTATTAATTGTTTTACTATCCATAAAGAATTTTTTGTTGTGGATCACCTACCAGAAACTACTACTTGAAAGCCCCACACCCAAAATAAAAGGACAAAAATAAGTGCGCTATAGCTGCGAGGGCTTCAGAGGGTTAAAACACAACAATTTGAAGAGGGGGCGGGGCTTGGCAGTCGTTGTGCTTGACACCAAAACCACAAAAAAACTTTAATGACTGCGACATCAGCCACAGAATCGTTCAAGTGAGGCCAGCAGCTGGTAGACCGCCTTTTAACACCGACCCAAAACCAAGAAAAACAATCGTTGGAGTCGGGGGTCATTAAAGCAACTGTCCTCTTAACTCAAATTATTTTTGGAAATAAATCAATTATATTTTCCTCAAGAGCAGAAAGGGTTACTTGTTTAAAAATACGTTATTTATTATTACAATAGATTGGAAGATTCTTGAATTCTAATTTAATTTCAAGAGCCATTATAATATAATTATAGTTTCCATATTTAATTCAAATTGAAAATCAATAGTTTCTTTGTATTAGTTACTTTGTCTTGATAATAAACATTTCAAGCATTTATCTTTTTTGCTCTAAACTACTTCATGTTTTTGAACCATAAATTGTATAAAAAATCGTAAAAGTATTCATTGCGTGTAATGATTTTCGTGTTCAGAACAAAGGACAAACACACTAAATATTTAAGTAACTGGCTATTCCTCGGCATGGGAATGCACTGGCAATTTAGCCCGTCAAAGTGGAGAGGTCTGAAAACCTGGCGAGGCGAAAATGACTCCAGACTGCGTCCTTATCGCGTGGCATTTTCCACAAGAGTAACCCAACAACATATCAACATCTCGCGTGCCCGGTGCAATTGACATTGACGTTGGCGCCGAGCAGTGGGTAAAATGGAGGTGAGAAGCGAGAAGTGGTGGAGCCACCTTCCCCCGGGGTGACC